TTTATTATTGTGTCCCCTTTCGTTCTTCTCACTTTGTAACATGACCTTCCATGTTTTAAGATCTTATAAGGCTGCAAATATATAGTTGGCCGGGCAAGGAACTATCAAATGCAATCTTTGCTCCACTTTCCCTAAGTTTTTTTTCTTGTTCCAATATTTTTCTAAGCACTTTTCTTTTTCTAAAGATAGTGCTCTAATAGCTTTTATGTTTTGCCCTCTTGAAATAGATCTTGCTTCTTAAAAGCAGTATTAAATGAAGCTCTTAGTGTGCATGTGCTTGATGGCTGCAATAGAGACTTGCCTTTCAACCCTTCCTATCTTTTTCCCCAGACACATGCTGTGATCAAGGAACCAATAAGAAAATGGGTATCTCATGCCACAGTTTGCAGGATCCACATGTAGAATGGCTCTGCAAATTGCTGGCAAACTGAAAGAGAATTCGAGGAGCAGCATATGGCCAGTTTCTTACTTATTATTATTATTATTATTATTATTATTATTATTATTGCATTTATATCCAACCTTTCCTCCAAGAGCTCAAGATGGCATACATGGTTCTCCCGCTCTCCCTTTCATCCACACAATACCCCTGTGAGGTATGTTAGGCTGAGAGACAGTGAGTGGCCCAAGGTCAACCCACAAGATTTGACTCCTGGTGTCCCAGGTCCTGGAAGGGAAGAAGAGATGGGATGAAATTGTGAGAGAGGTTTGGAGGAGACATGGAGAATGGAAAAACGCATATGTGATATGCTCTGTCCTGCATAGATATGCTAAGGCTTGGACCTGGGACCTTCTGCATGCAAATCAGGTGTTCTATCACTGGCTATAGAAGTGCAACCAAACAAGGCTACAAGACCCTCCCGAATAGGAGGCTCCCAGGGAAGGTGTTCTCCGTTTCCACACAAGGCAAGAAGGGCTTCAGAATGTGTCACAAAACACAAGGGAGCTTATAATAGCTTTCAAAACATCAAAAGACATACCAACAATATGAAGACAACAATGTGTATGCATTGATTGAAAAATGAGTCTGTAGAAGGCAGTGAATGCACTTTATGGCATGTGTCGAGAACATGTTGCAGAAGGCACTCGCAATAAAACACCAGTCTGGAGGGAAACACACACACACCTTATGTCCAAGACATTCTACAGCCTGAAGCAGAGCTCATTGCCTTTCACATTCCACCTGTGGAAGCTAACTGGACTAGTGATTGAATTTTTGTTCAGCTATGGCAAAGAGGTAACGTATTATACTCAAGGGCAGCAGGTTAGTGTAAGGGGCACAGGGCAGGCTATGTAGCCACAGCTCTAACCTCCAACTTGCTCACCAACAACCAGCATCTGCCACCTGAGGCAAGTACATCATTCTGAGGTAGAGTGGGCCAGGCCAGGACATTTTGCCTCCTGTACCATGGGTGCAGTGCACCCTCTCCACCACACGGGGCACACCCGTGGTGATGGTGGAGTGTGCCCATAGCAGCAAAGGCAGTGGCAAGGGCAGAGCAGCACACCTGCTCAGATATGCCACCTGAGGTGACCACCTCACCTCGCGTCATGGGTGGCAGGTGGCCCTGAACTCATCAAAACCAGTTTCTTTTGAAACTGGATATCCACACAAACATTCAGAAACTGAAAATCAGAATGAAAACTCTCTTCCTTCTAATTCAGATCACAGTCCAGACTGTGTTAAGAGTGGCCACCTGACTAGTGTTTTGCCAGCCTGCCAGTTTTTCCATTGTCTGGGGTAGTTCTCAGCACAGGGTGGTGAAACGGCCAGAAAACCTGGTCAGTGTAAGCATTTCCCTTTCCCTTTCCCTCTTTGCCTTACAGATTAGTGGTGTGACAGCAGCGGAGAAAAAGACCACCCAGAGTCCAGGCATTCCCTCTCCCTTTTCAAGGAAATATGAAGCTGCCTTATACAGAGTCAGGCCATTGGTCTATCTAGCTCACTATTGTCAGCACTGGCTGATAGCAGCTCTTCAAGGTTTCAGGTAGCCCTTTCTGGAGATCCTTACAACCCCCCTCCAACCAGCCTTTAGCCTTGGAAGGGTTAGAATTGCTCTATAAACCAACATTAAAAAAATTCAAAGCATTAATGTCAAAATTCAAGGTGGCAGCTAACCATATGTTTATTTTATTTTTGTTGAAATTAAATATTAAGTTTTTTAAAAAATAATATTTATTACTTTTCCAACAATTTAAACACTACAAAAACAATACAATACAATACAAAAACACTACATAACATTGACACATTAAACACATTAAACTAACAAAACAAAACAAAAACAGTTTAAAATAAATCAAACAATTTCAATATCTTATCTTTCATTCACTTATTTCCACGACCTCCTCACACCTCCCTTTTTGTATTCCACTTCTGTTAATTGTTTCAGCAATTCCTTTCCATCTTCCTCTGTTTTCTATCCTATAATTATCTTAGCACATTCTAACCTTATTTTTTCCTTTAATACTCTATTAATCTATTTATACTTAATTCCTTATAAGATTTCTACTAAAGCCATATAACTTCATTCCAACATTTTTCTAACATTCATTAATTTTACAGTATTTCTGTAAATAGTCTTTAAACTTTTTCCAATCTTCTTCCACCAACTCTTCTCCCTGGTCTCGGATTCTGCCAGTCATTTCCGCCAATTCCATATAGTCCATCAACTTCATCTGCCATTCTTCCCGGGTGGGTAAATCTTGTGTCTTCCAATACTCTTGCTGCTGTTGTTGCATACATAAAAAAGGTTCTATCCTTCTTTGGCACCAATTGGCCGACCATGCCCAGGAGAAAGGCCTCTGGTTTCTTCAGGAAGGTATATTTAAATACCTTTGTCATTTCATTATAAATCATCTCCCAGTATGTCTTAATCCTTGGGCATGTCCACCAAAGGTGAAAGAATGTACCTTCAGTCTCATTACATTTCCAACATTTATTGTCGGGCAAATGGTAAATTTTTGCAAGCTTGACTGGTATCATGTACCACCTATAAATCATTTTCATTAAATTTTCTCTTAGGGCATTACATGCCGTGAATTTCATACCTGTGGTCCATAACTGTTCCCAGTCAGCCATCATTATATTATGTCCAACATCTTGTGCCCATTTAATCATAGCTGATTTCACCGTTTCATCCTGAGTGTTCCATTTCAACAGCAAGTTATACATTCTTGACAAATTCTTGATTTTTGGATCTAACAGTTCTGTTTCCAATTTTGATTTTTCTACCTGGAAACCAACTTTTTTGTCCAAATTGTATGCCTCCATTATTTGGTAATAATGGAGCCAATCTCGCACTTTATTTTTCAATTTTTCAAAGCTCTGTAATTTTAGTCTGTCTCCATCTTGTTCCAGAATTTCCCAATATTTCGGCCTAAATTAAATATTAAGTTTTTAAAGAGCATGTAAATCAGTGTCATGAACTGGCAGGACAAGGGGGAAGAGGAAGAAGAGGATTCCAGCGAGGGGTATAGTTGGGACTGGGACACACTGGGGTTGGGGAAGGAGAGGTTGGTGACAGGGGTGGCGGAAGATGGTGAGCGGATGGTGGTTAATGCACAGGAACCAGAGCAGCAGGACCCATCACCAGAGCCAGATGGGCCCCTTTCCCCATGAACACAGTGGGCTCTGGGGCATAGGGAGCAGTGAGAGGGGCACTCTAGGAGGCTGATGCATGCAAGGGCCCACAGTCCAAACCCTAGCTGGGGATGTGGGGTTTGGCCATCTCTGGGAGGAGCTTCTGATTCCTCAGCTGGAGGAGGCTTGGAACATGTGAGAGTCACATGACTCATCAAGCGCAGAAGCTGCAATCAGCATGCAGAGTATAAAAGGGCAGTAGAGCTAAGGAGCTATGTCTGCTCAGCTGCTCATGTTGATGGACCTCAGCTTGGATACTCCAGGGTCTGTGTAGGACTGTGCTTCAGTTTGGACATGTGGATTAACCCCAGACTGGGGACTTGACATATTGACTTGTCGCCAAGTTAAAAGGTGGATTAAATCATTTTCACCTGGAGATGGCATTTCACAGCTGGCATAGAGAAGGTCCAATCCACATTCACCATTTGCCTAGTCTCAGTAGATGGGAATACCCAACAAGGACCTTGGGCAGTTTCATATGGGAGTAGGTGATTCTTGAGTTACCCTTATTCCAAGCCGTTTTCTAGGTCAACATCAGCACTTGTCACTGAACCTAGAAACAGGGTGCCACTTAACCTGTTACAGAACTGACAAGACATATAGCTACTGCATTTTGAATCGCCTGGAATTTGGTAAATTTTCAAGGGCAGCCCCATGTGCAGCACACTGCAGTAGTCAAGCATGGCTGAGGCATGGATGACAATGGTCACTTACAGGGTTGTTGGCAGGATGTCTGGGCAAAATCCTATCTCTCCCCGAAACATCTTTGCATGATAGCATTACACCTATAGGCAATATTTTTACAGTGCTGCTTGGTCAGAGAGTGGGAGAGGACACCTGATCTACAGCACTTAACTGATTAGGGGAGGGGAGAAAGGCTTTGGGGAGAATCAGAAGGGGGAGAAAGATCCAGGTAGGAACTGGAATGCTTAAAGGAAAAGGTGACAACCCTGCTTAAGAGCCTTGGAAACATTAGTCCACATGCTGATGTCAAGAGACTTTACAGGGTCCATTCCAACCAGTATAGTTGGCAGGCGTCTATACACTAAGAGCCTTGTTTCAGGGACCTCACAAAGCATCTCTTGAAGAGGAAAACAAGTTGGTCTTTGTAAATAAAAGTTCATGCATTTGCGTAATGAAGTCCCTTTCCAAAACAGTGCTGAATGATACTCTTTTTCTTTTTCTTTTTGCGAGCAGACATGATGATGAGGAGTGGGGCTGAGGAGAATTAGGACGGCTAATTAACTGTGTTCAGCTGCACATTTCCCCGCAAAGTATGGTCTTGCGATTCTCGTGAACCTGATCCTTTGGTCAAGAGAAAAGGCGCTTCAACTCCTCCCAACATTTAGAATGCCTAGAATCTCTTCTGCCTGTTGAGACTGCAAGCATATTATTTTTTAATTCCCGTTTTCTGTGACTGAAAGTGCTTTAAAAAATTACGAGAGACCATCTGAATCGAGAAGCTTCTTATTAATTAAATCCTGATTGTGGGGCTTGGCAGTAGGAAGTGATAAAGCAGTCTGACCCGTTGTGTGTGTGTGTGTGTGTGTGTGTGTGTGTGTGTATGGCAAAGTTTGAGTGGGTGGCAAGGAAGGTGGAAAAGGAGTGATGATAATAACAACTTGAAGGAAGCCAGAGCTTTGAATGCAGCCTCAGTCTGTATCCTGACAGAGTGAAGATAAGGTGGCAGCACAGCTCATGGTGCTTTCCTGGAATACAATCCGCATTTTGACACTCTCTGTTTAAGCACTGCCCATCTGTATGTTATTCAGCTGGAGCCTCTAGGGAGACAGAGGAGCTACAGGCACGGAAAGGCAGCGAGCGAAAGCAAAGGCACTCCTTTTAATAAGGATCTGCTGAAGAGCTGCCTTAGAAGTGCCACCTCTGGAAGCTGGAAGTTAAAACAACTGAGGCGCCACTGAAGCAAAGGGGGTGCGATTAAAGCAGGAGCAGAAATCAGTGCTCGGAAGCTGCAGAATCACTGCTGGATGTGAGGGGAGGAGATGGCTTTGATCTTGGCCTGGCCCCTGGTTTCTCCTCTATTCTTCTGCCTGGGATATCTCTCCCTCAGCTCTGCCTCAACGGAGGGCAACATTTTTCACGCTGACATTGAAGGCAGCTCAGCGGTCGGCAGCCAAGAAGACACCCTTATCAGAGGGCAGCAACAATCTGTATCTTTTCGAAGTTGGCCGCATTTTGCTGAGGTAGAGTAACTCTTCTGTCTGTTGACCTTTCTCCTTCTTTGTACTGTTTCCAGCACTCCCCCTCCCCTAACCCCTTTGTGTTTTTATAGTGTCTCCATTTGGCTCAAGCGAATGTAATCCACTGGGTGTTTTGAAGTGAGAGTGTGGAGTTTTCAGGATTTTAAGGCATTTCAGGGGAAACTCTAAAATATGCCCTCCCCACCCCCGTCCAAAATGTACATGTCACGCTGCCTTCTTTGAATAGGCTGTTGTATTATAAAGTCATGTTCACTTGCTTGGATTTCATACAAGAGCAGTAGAATGAGTCTGTCCCCCCAAAGCAGAGTTTCAGGTGGATAGATTTATCAGTGCACATTTTAAAAACCTGCTACTTTTTTGAGATTTTAATGCCTTTGGGTATCCAGAAAGGAGGAGCTTTTATAGGGGTGGGCAGCATGCGACAGGAGGCGGGCACTCTCAAACACAGTGTGTACAAAGTCTGGGGTGTATTTCAGTGCTTTTGACTGTGCTGATGGGCATGTGTCAATCCCATTCATTTCAGTGTGAAATCATTGATCTATGTCTGTCAGGGCCCACCTATCCTGAAAGTCCCTCTCATGTCTAATCTTGTAGTGTAGGAAAGGTGTGTATTTTTCTGGATTCTCAGCTCACTTCTCTTCAAATCAGTACTGTTTAAGAAGTCCTTGCATGATAGGAAGATGGTTGCCAACCTATCAGAAATGCTGTGGCAGTGGATTTTGTTGTTTTGCCAGGGGTTGGACTAAATAACCTTTTGAACCCCTTTCAATTCTATGTTTATGTGATCACCACATCCAGCGATCTCTTGGGGACATAGGAGCTCTGGTTATGCACACTTTTACTTCTATGAGTAAACGTGTACACTGTATATGCACAAAGTGATACATGTTCACTGTTGCATGTACTCGGTGTGAATTAGGAGCCCTGAATGTATGGGAGTCCTGTACGCACAGACCAATATTTGTATTGGGGTCTATGATTTTAAATAAACATGTTACTTGTAGGAGCATCCCCATGAGATGAAAGCCTAATGAGGAAAATGGCCACAAATCCTGTTGGTTTCAGCGGGATGTGTATGCCTCTATTAGGGTGCCATACAGGATCCTATAGTTCCTGCAAGAAATCTATATGAAAAAATATGTGCAGCTAGAACTGTTTGTTGACTTGTAAGTAGCTACCCCAGAATTCCATGGAGCTTCCTTCTAAGTTAGCTATGGAAAACAAGCAGCTGAGGAAACACCTGCAGAAATGAAATGAAAAGAGAAGCCTAAAACGCTTTTGACTTTGCCAAAAATAATGGCAATACTTTAGTGATATTTAAAAACGAAAAACAGAAAATGTTGAAGGTGCTCTTACTCTCATGTTTGTGTACACACATACACACTTAAAGGACTATCTAATGTGTCCATGTGAACCTTCCAGAGCATCAGTGTGGTTAGCGAAGTGCTGTGCATGGGCACCAGGAAGAGATATTAGGCTGGCAAACATGGGAAACAGGGCCTTGTCAGTGATGGCACTTACAGAACTCCTTCCCTCAGGAAATGGGATCAGCTCTGTCCCCATTGTCATTTGTGTTTCTTTTTCAGATTGCTTTTAATTGGCAGTGCAGATTAGGTTGCTATTTGTTTCTTAGTAGCCCTATCTTTAATCTTTGTGCAGGAATGGAATGGAATGGAATGGAATGGAATGGAATTGTTATGATTGCTATGATTTTACTGTTTTTTTATTTGTTTTAATATTGTATATGTTTTAAACTAGTTTTTATCTGGTTTTTGTATGGGAAAGTACGTATTATACAAAGTAGATAGCAAATCCATGCACCAACACAACAGATATTGTTGGCATAATGAATTCCCGCCCACCCCCCAGGCATCCCCCACAAAAAAATATACTCTGGAAGGTATAGGGACCTTCCAGAGCAGAATTTTGGTAGAGGTGTGCAGTGGTGGAGAGAGGGAGAAGAGGTCTAATCAGCTGCTGTTGGAAGCCACCTATATCAGCTCCCCAAAGGGGTGCTATCTAGATTCTTTTGGACTCCAACTCCCATCAGCACCCAATCAGCATGGTCAATGAACAAGGGTGATGGCAGGTATAGCCCATCTAGAAACACCATATAATGCCCTATATAATAAATGCCTCATTTGTTTTCTTGAAATCTTAGATAGTTGGAACTCATTGGTTTGGTAGCAGCTGAACAGAACTATGTTGAAAAAACAAGAATTACAAACAAGAGAGCAGCATAACATGAGGTTATGGAATGGGAGTAAGTACCTCCTGTGGAGGTGACTCAATGTAGCAGGCAAATTAAGCCACATAAGGTCATGGGAAAGGAAGGAGTGTGTATCTTGGCGCCAGATCTTGAAAATGAGCAGAGATTAACACAGCAATGTGAATATCACAGTAATGACATGTTCCAGTTACTAGCACTACTACACATAACACTACTGATAAATGAACAGCAGTCTTGGTTGAAGCTCAACATTTTTGGTATTTAATTCATATACAGCATTTTTTGCTTTTCCTCCAAGGAGCTTCAGCATGCATGGTTCTTCTGAGGTAGGTTAGGCTGTGAGATGGTGACTGGGCCAAGGTCACCCAATGAGCGTCATGCCTGAGTGGGAATTTGAACCCGACTCTCGCTGCTCCTAATCCAGCACTCTGACCACTATGCCACACTGGCACATATAGCTGAATCAAGATTCAACTAAGGGTGAATTTATTAAAAACAAAACTGTCATTCTATTATTCCATCAGGATTTCCTTCCAGTGTGTTCTGATATGTTGATCTCAATAAATATGCCTCATTTTTGGGTGGGTGGTAAGATATGGTCAACTAGAAAGCAGCCCTGTTCAGGTGCTGGTGTTCCCTCAGAGTTCCAGCTCATGGCAACAGCCTGTGTGCAGGGTTCCCTCTCTTCAGACCTTCTGCCAGTACTTGGACAACCTCGGGTGCAGTGCCAAGGGCAAAGTTAGCACCTATGGCACTGCTATGGCTCTCCATGCAATTTGAATCATGTGGGCACTGACTTCAGGATCAGGCTAGAGTTGATAAGGCTAGCCTTAGTCATTTGTAACTTGGAGAGAAGGGCTTAAGCATGTAAGGAGAGAGCAATTTCCATCCCACCTTGTGTTTGTTGCAATCAGCACTGTTTCTTTTCCTCTGCAGTCTGGCTTCCACTAAAACATATGTAATTCATCTCACGGGCCGCTATAGCAAAAACTAGCATAATTAATTATGTAAGTAATTTAAGTGCATTTCAAAGGAAGGACAACATTTTTAAAAAACTGCAAAAATGATGTACAGTGGTACCTCCGGTTACAGACGCTTCAGGTTACAGACGCTTTAGGTTACAGACTCCACTAACCCAGAAATAGTACCTCGGGTTCAGAACTTTGCTTCAGGATGAGAACAGAAATCACGTGGCAGCAGCAGGAGGCCCCATTAGCTAAAGTGGTACCTCAGGTTAAGAACAGTTTCAGGTTAAGAACGGACCTCCAGAACAAATTAAGTTTTTAACACAAGGTGCCACTGTAATTATTTACATAATGTTAGTGTACTAAAAAACCGAAACCTGCTCATATTCACTTTTACGATCTCTGTTCCTGACCAGACAAGCATGCAAACTGTGACAATTTCTGTTCACATTTCAGTTTCTGATGGAATTGTCTGAGATTCCCTAGGAGCGAGCATGAATACAGTCCATAATGTGGTGGGGAAATTGCCTGTTTAGAAGCTTGTTGAAATTAATAGTTAAGAAATAGGATCACCACCTGCTGCTTGGTGAATAAAGTATTTGATTTAAGATCAAAATGTACTTTGTAACCTGGGTGGGACATAAATGCTAGTTTGGAGCAGAAAGTGGTCACAACCTAACCAAAATCCAAGGGGGGAACTAAACATGTGCTTTAACCTTTCCCATAATCAGTGGATAAAGGAAGGAGTGGAAAGAGCATGAGATCACCCATCTCAGCCCACACAAAACAAATGATAGCTGAGTGCAATCTGGGATTTCTAGCTCCACATTTTTTTATATTGGGCTAGGTTTTACAAAACACATTTATTTTTTCCTTTAAGGGACATGGTTAGAACCATGCAGACACATCTTCTGTACATTCTTTAACTAGATTGGAATTTACAGTGAGGAAACAGAGTAATTTTTTCAGCGCAGCTTAGGAAAGATCTCCTCATGCTGACCAGTTGTGTACCACATGTAGGTGGCCCCATGGAATGCAGGCAAACTGCTACCAAGCAGCAGACAAGATACCTGCCAGCCATGATAGCTCAGTGGCAATTAACCATGTAGTAGGAAGGACCAAGCTGAGTAGTGCAGCTATTGTCCCACCTCGTGCATTGCATTATCTTGAATAGAGCACTGCATGCTTTTGCAGCTTTGGATGGGTCACAAATTGTCTGGTGAGGCCTGTTATTGGCTGAATTCCTGAACAATGAAAGAGAGGGGACTTCCCCACCCCTGTTAAATGACTGATCCTTCTTACAGATAGACCATAGAAAACCTCCCTTCCTTTGTATCAACAGTTGCCATGCCATCAATTGATAGATTGGGGATCTCTGTTCATATGGTGAGACACCAAGCCATTGCAACATCGATCTAGGCCATGGGCAGCCTTTGCTCATCCAGCCAACCACTGGACTCCTATGGACAGGAAGGGGTATGAGGACTTCCTGGTCACAGCTGAGCTTTCCTGGGCAACACAGATTTACTTAGCTTTGGTATGTTATTGTATCCTATGATTGTTATCTAGTCATAACTTCTGGCTTGCTTCTTGCTCCTGCTCTGGCCTCTTCCTGATGGATGCTTCCTGTGTTGGCAGCATCTCTGCAGGGTTTCAGACACGACATCCCCAACCCTACCTGAGATGCTGGAGATTGAACCCTGGACCTTCTGCATGCAAATAAGATGTTCTACCACTGAGCTATCGACTTTTTGTCCATATTTGTCAGGCATGATGCCTTGAGGAAGCATCCATGCAAGTTTCATGAAACATTGAGGGGAAATACCCAAATTACTAGAATAGAAGAGGTAAAAAATGAGTGTAAATAAAATAAAAGTAGAACAAAACAAAGACATCTATACTGAAAGAAGTGCAGCTTTTAAAACAAAACTATTTTTCCTTTGCACATCCCTTCACAAAAATGACTAGCTGTACTCAGCCAAGCCATTCAGGCTCAGGATTGCCCTGTATGTGAAAGTATATGAAACAAGTCATTTTATGAGCTTTATTTATATATATATATATTTCACTCAGAAATCCTTCTTGATTTATTTCTTAGTCCAAATATTGACTTGGGTTGGCCTCTCTCTCCTAAACAGACATAGTCTGTTAGTCATGGTCAGCAGTGCCAGTTTTTATAAAGGGTGGTTTCATGAGAACCACATAAGCAATTCATAGAATGTTCCAAGGTGGACTACAGTTTCTGAAAAACCACTAGGAAAATATAGCACTATATAGTGAAAAAAAGCATATTGAATACATACATAGGCAATTATGGCATGTCAGATGAATGCCACACAGAAATTTTCCTACAAATGATTTGGTCATAGACTGTCCATGCTGAAAACATATTTCATTTGAAATATCTAGTGTGGAATTCTAAACAAAATATACACCTTTATTAGCTAGAAAGGGTTGTTCTTTGAGTCTGATGAAAATATAATATGAGCCTGTTAGAGACAAGAAAAGCTGCAGAGAAGAGAAAGATTAAGGAGAACCACCATTAATGTACATCTGTTTCTCTTTTCCCAATGTGATAGTTATTAGTTAAAGGTAAATAATGGGGGGAAATGCAAGAGAGGCAGAGAGTGGTGGATGAGGCCTTCAAGGACATTTAAGCTGTGTTCCACTCCCACAAAGATAGCTCCCCAGCTGTCTGGGAGCATGAAGGTCTCAGGAAAAGAGAGTGTCGCCTTGAGGAAGAATGAAGCATTCCCTTAGAAGGGGCCCATTCCTTGAGGGACTCCTCTTGGGCTGAGGAAACTTCTCTGGAGGCTTGGAGATTGGGTGATTCAACCATTAGGAACATAAATAGTTGGGTGTGCAGTGGGCATACGGATGGCAGGGTGAATTGCCTGACTGGTGCAAAGGTTGTGGGTGTTGCCCTTTGCTTATATAACATGGAAGAGTTATCTGAGGAGGAGTCAGTGGTTTGTTTGTCACCAGTGACATGGGGAAATGTACTTGTTGAGATGCTGGAAGCCAAATTTAGTTTGCTAGGTAGGAGATGGAGAGCTGAGACCTCCAATGTAGCTTTCCCTAAAATGCTAGACGGACTCAGGTTTGTAGTCTCAATATGGATGAGGTACTGGGAAGAGGGATTTGCATTTGTTAGGCACTGAGAAACATTCTGGGGCAAGCTGGGCCTGTATAAAAGGAGCAGGCACCACTTGAACCAGGATGGAACCAGACTGTTGGCACATAAAATCATAAAGGTGTCAGAGCATATTTTAAACCGTTTGAAGGGGAAAGGGAGCCGACAAGAGCTGAGAAGGCTCCAGTTCAGAATGAATCTCCCCACCTGAGATGAAGATGATAAAGTAGATGAAAATTTAAATGGAGGTGGCAGGCGACTAGGTGTTGTGAGTGTAGGGGCACAGGACAGCAATTCAGAGGCACCAAAGCACTTCAGAACAGTACCAAAGACACTTGAAGAAAGAGACTGCATGCAAGCATTTATATTCTAATGCTAGAAGCTTCCGAGCCCAGATGGGTGAACTGGAACGGAAGCTTGGTCTTGGAGGATGGTATTGATATTTTGAGTCTAAAAGTAACCTGGTGGAATGGAGAGAACCGGTAGGACATGGTTGTCTCTGGAAATAAGCTCTATAAGAAGGTCAGAGAAGGACATCACAAAGGTGGTGTTGCTCTGTCTGTCACAGAGAGCATTAAGTAGTAAACAGCTCGATAAAGATGTCAACCCAGTGAATGGCCTTTTAGGGATAGTTAGAAAATGAATTGAAGATACAACGGCCAACATCAAAATGCTATTATACAACTCAGTGGTGCTGAGCTAGATGGGTCATTGGCCTGATCCAATAGGCTCTTATGTTCTTAGCTGGCTCAGATTCAGCTTACCCAGTGTGCTAGAAGAAGCCAGTGCAAGGGCCCAATGGGGTTTTCCCCAGCCCGCCCCCCCCCCAAGAATGCCAAGAACGGTGCTTGGGGGAAGAGAGAGGAGGTTGTTCCATGTAGCAAGCAGGGATGCTTGCGCAGATCAGAAGAGCACAGCGCTGAATTCCTCCACCTGAGACCAAAGTAGTCAGGGATGGAGAGCAAGGTGGGAGGCAGGTAGCTTAAAAGTCCACAGATTGTTACAGGTCTTTAATTATATTAAGTATGCCATTTATTGAAGGTGCCTACCTGCCTTTTTACATTTCTTTCTTTTATTTCACATCAAAGCTGCTCAACATCTAAGAAACTTGCATGTTTAATTAAATGCAAACCACCCAACTGTCATTTTCTATCTAGTGTGCCCTGTGAACTGATATGAGGAAAAATAACCTGTAGTGCACAACATCTGAAGCCATGAGATAAAACGACATATATTTACACCTTATATTAATTTTTTAGCAAGGAAAAGCCCCACCCCAATGATATAAATAACAACAGAATGACAGATTATCAACAGTGTCAAACCTTGTAGGTCACATTGCTATGGATGGCATTTTTTATGATAGCAAGCTTTGGAATTAAACAAATTGTGAGGCCAGAAATAATTTATACCCTAGAAATCTTGCAAACAGCAAGCATGTCTTTCCCCCCTTTGTAGGAAAGAATTCCCTTTAAGTTAAGGCTTTGTCTATCTCACTGTATATGGAAAATATGAGTGTGCACTTTTATAGAGAATGCCTAACTGCAAAGTGTTTATACTGGAATCAACCCCATCTCTAAATCACTCTCTGTTGCTGAATGGTATTTTGTTTTGCATTTGAACTAGGAGAGGAGCAGCCATGTGGAAGCTTCGGCAACAGAAGAAAACTAGATTTTACCATAGCAATAGATGATCTGATTTAAAAGCTACCCCCACCCTATATACACACAGAGAGACTTGTGCTTTTTCCTCAACTGCTGTTCAGCTGCATTCAAGTGCTGTGACACACTTCATGATCAGGAAACAGACTTTGCTCATAGTACAAATGATAAGCTCATGCTTAATTGATTTGAACAAAGGCAACCTTTTGCCCATTCCCAAGCAAGAAAATTTCCACTGCAGCTTTTATAGAATCTTTGTTGTCAGAACCAGGCCTGGCACCCATAGTCAGCCAAGTTGGGCATAGGTTGAAGGCCCCAGGGGATCAGAAGGGCTCCTCACCAACCTAACCAAGGAATGTTGACTCTCACCATCCTTCTCACTGAGCCACAGCATGGGTCTTTTGATGTTGGCGTGTGGTAGTGCTGCTTTTGAATGGGAGCAAAATTTTGTTTTCCTCTGTGGTTGCTTAATATAACTAAAATGTCGGACACTGCATTTTGGATAAATTAAGATGGTGGGTAGCCACCACTGATGGGAACCAACTTTGGCTCACATTCAAAAGCTTTACTGCCCACCTGCCCACTGTGCTAAAATGCCATCTGGGGTGGGACAGCAGGGAGGGCAGTTTGAGTGGTGTTGTTATTACTGCTTTGGCAGCAGCAAAGAAAGTATTATAGCTACATGCATACCCTCCAACATTTCTCCTATGAAAATAGGGACATCCCATTCCATAATGATAATTTTAGTATTTACATTCCACACATCTTACTGGGTTGCCCCAGCCACTCTGGGCAGCTTCCAACATACATAAAAACATAAGAAAACATTAAACTTTTTTTTAAAAAAACAAAACATTCCCTATAAAGGATTGCCTTCAGACGGCTCGGGGGTCAGATAACTCCATACCCTCCAACATTTCTCCAATAAAAATAGGGACATCCGATAGAAAAGTGGGACATTCTGGTATCAAATTAGAAACCAGGATGGCTTCTCTAAATCAGAGACGTACATGGAAAATAGGGACACTTGGAGGGTCTGTACATGTGTGGATGTTGGAGTGCAGTGGGCCCATTGGCAGCATTGTGCCTAAAGTTGGGCATCAGCTCTGCTCATGTGGATAGACTGAACATGTCAGGGAAGGAGCACGATTGTGGTGACAGACCTTGCTCCTGTCCTTAACATGTTCACCAGTTCTTCTCAACAGAGCCTATGAACATAAAAGCTCTGTGCACTACTGAGAATCCAGGTTTTTCTGGTTCCAAGATTATGCAAATGTGTTCATACAATTTTTGTATGGGTGTATCAATATGTGCAAACAATTTCTATATGGGTATAGGATATGTACAGAAAACCCAAAGAGCTACCTGTTTAGGTATTAGATGATTCATTATTAATTTTAATAATGGAGATTTGTTTTACTTATGTGGGTGTTTGGTTATTTCCCTTCTTCATTGTAATTGTAATGAAGTTCATATAGAGTAGATAATCGGGGCAGCATTCTCCCAACCCCAAGGGCTACCACTTGCACAATGGGGCTTCCCTCCTCTCTTCTTCCTGAGCGCCTTCACACCCCTTGGGGGATTGTGAGTACCCCCAGAACAGCACATAGGGTGAGGGTTTTGTTCAGTCTCACAAGCTGATAAGCTTGCACACATGGAATGTTCAGTATAGTGTGGTGTTGATTTCCACCCTATGATTATTTGGAATGTCCTGAAGTTGTAAGATATGCCTTTTATATCCCAGTAAAATAGGTCTGATAAAGTAGATTAATGAATGCCATTTCACTGGACTGGCTAAGAGTTTGCCTATCCAGTGATTCAGTATTCATGGTTACTAATGAATATAATAATTAATTATGTTCTATACTAAACTATATGATACTATATGGTGTGTTTTATTTATTGTTTTTGACTACTGTGGTTATATTTGTAACTATGTAATTTGTTTCATGCTGTAAGCCACCTTGAGCATGGTTTTAGCTATGGAAAGGTGACATACAAATAAAATTATGTATGTATGTATGTTTATTGTATCAGTATTCATAGCACATATTTAAATTAAATTATGTGCATTATCATCTAACAAGTTCGCTCCTCTTAGACCATTAATCCAGATTCTAAAATTACTTGCTTGAACCACTGGGTGTGTTTAATCATTCCACATTGCACATTGCACGCTGCAGCTGTGAAACAGTAGTAATTTTCATCACCATCAATATACGTATTGTGGGATTGTGTTTATTCAGAAAGTACTGGCTTATTTACATTTGACTTTTCAGAACTGAATCCAATGCAGTAAACTGGTTAGTGAGGAAAAGGGGGAAGGGTCTCTAGACAAAAGATATTAGGCACCGGCTGTTCATAATAATAATAAAACACTTTCCAAAGGAAAACTTAGGGCACCTCTGATGATGAGCCAAGTACAAACAATGTCATTGTGTCAGAAGCAATGAGGTTAGAAATGTGAAATGACATCCAAGCTCTTTTCATCAACAAGGAAAACATTCAGTTTAGACAGGGCTGAAAGGTAACCTATAAATAACAAATGTGAATTGCCTGAAATAGAATGGTGAGAAAGTGAAGACTGGAGTTTAATGCTTCACCACCCTGAGCTATGGGGCCTTCCTCTACCTAACAGACCATAACAACAAACAAGCCTCATCACTGCCATGGATGGCTTGGTTACAAGGCTTTGCTTTATGGGTCAATTTTGGGGGCCTGTTCCTCTGCAGTAATTTCCCCATAACCACCTTTCTTTTGCAGTCTTTAAAGTCAATGCGAACATGATTCCTCAGAGCAGGACTTATTCATTTACTTCAGTGGTTGTGTAAAGTATCTTGGGAGAAATACCATTTAACAAACTTCCATAACCACAGCAGAAGTGAGCTGGTTATTATTTAAAATGCATGAGCGTCTTGTGCACATACCAAGAAAATTATGCTAGAAGAATACCATATAAGCAGGAAAATTAATCACTTCTCCTTCTGCCTTGAATGGACTTGTGTATGACTAAAGTAGGCATGGCTCGAGATTATTTTTATTCCACAACTTTCAGTATTATATATGACTTTTGTTCTTGGTTATCTTTTCTTATTTTCACTGGGCTATGGCAGTGAGATAATGTAACTTGTCTTGTAGTGCCCAAGGCAGACTACACAGGAACTGTTCAGTGAGCACCAAATAAGGCAAACCCCCATTCATAAGGGCATTGGGGCCCTGGTGGATCAAGCCAATGGCCCATCTAGTCCTGTATCCTGGTCTCACAGTGGCCAACCGGATGCTTATGGGAAGCCCAGAGGCAGAACCTGAGCAAAATAGCACTCTCCCCACCTGTGACTGGTAAAACATAGCTGTCATGAACATGTCCTGTCCACCATTGAGCAACATATCAAGACAATGTTAGAGTTAGATCAGGAATGTGAAACCAGCATATAATGGGTATACAGAATGAATTATAGTTGTACATAAAAGGAAAAACTTGATAGAATCATCATTATGAAATGTAAACTGTAATGGTTGGAGATGCTATTGTGAAAAAATGAAGGAATGCTTTGAAGATTGATGAACAGAATATAGAAGTGCTGGCAGATGTTCATCCAGATGTTTTGAGGAGGAGGAGAGCTATGTGTCCTAGGGAAGAATGTATTTGATACAGATGGATCTTCCCCCTTAGGTTCTATGTATTTATGATGAAGAATGTGTTGCTGTACATAATATCAATGAGGAATTACCACTTTCAAAAACAAATAAGCAACAGCATGCAGAAAATAAGTAGTTAAAAGAAGTTAATATCAGGCCGAGACTGTGCCTTCAGTTTGGCAGTCCCTGCCCTGTAGAACTCCTTGCCAGTTAAGGTTTGGCAGAAATCATTCCTCCCTTCTTTTAGACATCTCCTAAAAACTGTGTTACTCAGATGGGCCTTTGTAATGTGAATACCAACCAGTACAAACTGTTTACTAATCTTTTTGCTAATATTTTATATTGTTGTAACTTTTAAAGCAGTATACTGCCTGACCATATTGTTTTGAAAGTGCAGTCTATAAATATTTTTATAAATTAATATGTGTAGGATGCCTGAATGTATGGTTAAAAAGAAAGAAAGAATAGAGGAGCAACAGAGGTCTTGAAATTTAAGCCACAAGATGAAGAAATATCAAAACAGTTGGGAGTAGTTATTATAGCTCTTGTTGTTTTGCAAACTGTTTCCCATCAATCTCCTGAAGAACTGAGTCTTTGTGTTTGTGTTTGCAAAACTGCACTTCTGGACTCAGTGTACTGGTTGGAATTTGAGGCAGCTGCTACTTTGGTCAAGATGTGATGGTATTTTGAAATGGTGCCGCATCCATGAGAATAACAAGAAAGGCACACAACACAAACAATTCATATCCTATAAGAGATGCTAAAGATTTTTTCTTTTGTACAAATAGCGTTTGATGCTGTCCAGAGCATGAACTTTGTGGTTAGTTAGTCCTTTCTAACCAATAGTTTGGGGTCAATGCCATACCAAGATAACTCTGGAACTTTCATTTAATTTGGCACATTGAGAATTATATGATGACCTCACAACCACCATCTTCCCAGTGGTGGGAGAAACCCCAAAATGAAATAAGCAGGAATGATGGTATGGTGGGGTGGGGGTATGAAGCCACCCTCCCAACAGTGGCATCAGTGTTGCTTACTGAGACATTGCAGCAACGTTAAGGCTCAGTGGGCACACTGATAGATGCTCCAATCTGGTGCTCCCACCAGTGGGTACCCACATAGGCCTCTCCTCCCCCCCCCCCCGTGCCAGTTATTCCTGATAATAAGGACATAGTTCCAGTCCATTGTCTTAAATCTAGCCATGTAATTCGACCTTCAGAGCATCCTCCATGATGTGAAAGATCTAGAAACCAGTAGACAAAAGATTCATTGTCTTTGTGGACAATCAAGTTCAGGTCACTGAACTTCAGTACAACAAATGTGTCAATGGTTATATGAAAAATCTGACTGAAGTCTTCATGGGTGGTACCAAGACTGATATATTACTGCATGTCCCTGGTGGTAAAGTAATGCAGCCAGTTCCTTCCAGGTCCCTAATACTACAGTTGCTTCATAAGTATGCTCTACTAAGTATTGTAGTTAGTGAGCTTCTTTATTACTGAAGTGACCTTCTTGTGCTGTCACATGCATTTCTTTTCTTGCATGTATTTTTAACTTTCAAAATGAAATTTCATGGTGAAAATTGGTGGCTACCAAAGTATGGTGTGGCAAAACTGCCCAAATCATGTATGCTGTAGTTTAAGAACTTATATGTGTCCTCCAGAAAGAAAGTAACAAGATTATCTGTATTTCCCCAGTGGAAGGTGCCAAAGCCTCAAATGTGGTATTTGTGGAATATTGTAGCAATGAAGAACCTCAAGAAGAAACTCTATGAGAGCGAGATATCATAAGGCTGCTTACATGTTACACTGAACACAGGTGCAAGCATCTCCACAGATGTACATTTAAAGAGTATGCAGCTCAACTATCATGTACCCTATATACTCCCTGATTGTGAAGAACTGTACAAGTGTACAGGTGAACTATCTATGTACACAAATTGTGCACTCATTGAATGTGATGTGTGTATATATATCTCTATCTCTATATATCGCTTTAGTCATCTCGCAGTGATGTGCCAGTAACCTGTTTGATATACTTTGTTAAGCACTGCTGATGTTGTAGTTTAAAGATGAGACACGTTCTTTGTGGCTGCAAATCTCATTTCTGGGCATGGAAGTTCAAGCAGAATGAATGAATGAATGAATTTCACAAAAGTTATTCCACAATTAAAGTCAAACAGTCCCATAAACCTTATGTTGATGGGATTAGTTGTCTAGTTTAGACCAGGTATTGTGGTATGAAATGAAGAACAGAAAATCGTGTTTAAGAAGCGAAGCCCCTTTGTATATCATGGCAAAAGCAGAAATCGAGAAACAGAACACCAGAAGCATCTTGAGGAAGAAGGTAGACAGTGTAACAGGAAATGCTTTGCTCCGCACATTTTATAACCCTGATTTTCCATGGATACAAACAGCTCCCTGCTTCCACATGTTGAAAGGGAACACAAATTGAGCAGAGGGGATGCAGAGCTAGCGTGCTCATCCTCACTGACTACTAACAGCAACAACTGAAGAGGCTTTAAGTTGTTGCATTATCTGGTTACCATTTAATTGCTGCTGGAATTGGGCTAGGGTGTGGGTGTAATTTAAGATTGTTAATTCCAGTATTGTTCACAGAATGGGCTTTATTCCAGCCTCCAAATCTGGATATAATTAGTACATCCCTTGTACTGCGCACTCCACTGTCTCTCAAGACAGATGGATGCCAACAAAAATGTACTGAAGGCACAAATTTCTTACATGTGCTGCTGTATTATTATCATTTTAAATATGATGTATCAATAAATTGTTGCTGGCACGGGGAGCCGCACAAGGGTGCTCCTCTGCTGCTCTAACATGAAGTGGACATAATGGGTGGGGAAGGCCTGAGCTGAGAACTGGATTTAGAACTGCTTGCACTGACCTTACCATAAAGTGAGCATTTTATCACTTATTATACAATGCAATGTAAGAGAGCCGATATTCAAAATCTTTTTCACAGAACAAAAGGGGATGGGAGGAATTTTTCCCCCTTTGCCTTTGGGAAGGAAATGTGCTTGGCTTATGATTTGTTTGAAAGAACCAAAAGAAAATGTATCTTAATAAGCTAGTCATGTTACCATAAAAGTAGATATGCAAAGGAAAAAGCTTTTCTTTCCATTACACACAGTCTTCCTTTTCCAACAAAATAGAAAGCAGCTGCTATGTCTTATTCCTTTGAATCTATTTAGTCATTTAGAGTTCTGAGCTTTAATTGACTCAAAATGGAGAGAATTTCTTTCGGAGCGGAATTAGAATGTAGAAACTTTGTGGTGCATTCATATAGGGTCTTCCAATGATAGCAAATTTTCCCTCTGTGAAGTGCTTGATCTTGCCTCACCAACTGCAAGACGTTTGTGTGCATGTGGATAAGGATTATGTGCCATTGGCTCTATGGTGGTCATGTTCATTCTTTACCAATGTGGTGCTGTCCAGGTGCTGTTAAACTACAACTCCTGTCATCCTTGGCTATTGGTCATGCTGGCTGGGACTGGTGGGATTTGGAGTTGAACAAGATCTGGACATTACCTATCCCTGCAGTAATGACTTACCTGAAAATGATATTTTGTTCCCTTCCATCGTTGTACCAAAAGGTAACTGAAGCATATAGCCTGAGCCTGTTTTTCATTTTATTAACCTATTTGTTACATGGGTTAAATGCTTACAAAGAGCTCAGAGTAGATTTCATAAGGTCCTCTGGCAGTTTCCCAGGCTAGATTTCATTAGTTTCAACAGTAGAACTGGATAAGATGCATTCCAATTTTTAAAAGCAATTTCTAACAGCAATTTAATAGCATAAGAACATAAGGAAAGCCCAGTTGGATCAGGCAAAAGTCCCATCTAGTCCAGTATAATGTTCTCACAGTGGCCAACCAGATGTTCCTAGGAAGCAGGAGCTGTTGTACAGTAGTGCTGTCCCTACTTGCAGTTCCCAGAAGCTGGTATTCAGTGGAAATTAAATTACTAGAATTAAAGAAGGTTCTATTGGGGCAACCACAGTCAGCCACCAGCATGCATCTCTCTAATATAACATGATGTACCATTTCAAGAACCCTGGCTCAGATGTATTCATCCCACAGGAAAAATACTACCAAACCATGTGCTCATGGTGGTGATCTGCTTACTCTTTGTTCAGGACCAAGGAATCTGTTCTTTGAACTTTCTACTGTGTGATCTGTCCTGAAGAGGAGGAGTATGCTGGCAGAATTTATAGGAAGGAGATGCGATTGGTTTCATATATTTCATATATGTTCCATACATTATTTCATATCTTTTGCTAGAGACTGTAGCCTAAACAGAAAATATAGTTTGTATAAAGTTAATGCAAAGCTACGCCTTGCATAACAGAAGTCCTATGGATGCTGCTCTTCCAGGGTTCCACTCAGTGTGGCCCTAGTAGGATTAGACTGGAGGTAAACATGTTAGAGCAAGTGATGGCAAGGCTATGTCCCATGCCAGCCCATCCCACAGCTTTCTGCTATAGCTTCCATGGCCAACGACAAATTTTACAGCTTGAGCAATACTGCTTTTAAGCAGCGTCTTTTGGGACTCTTCACTTTAGATCAAGAGGCTGAGACAGGGATTCAGATCTGACAACAGGCTTGTTTGACTTGAAGCGGCACATATAATGTTTGCAGACATACTGTATATAAGGGCTCAGTATCTCACCGTTGAACAAAATGTGCTTTTTATTGTCAGTTTGAGAATATCATCTATTTTAATGGCTAGTTCCGAGCACTATGTGATTTTATTGTGCATATCAGCTCAGAAGTAATCCCACTGAACTGAATGGAGACATTCAAGCCCAGGATAAAACACAGTACTGCCAGAGCGCTCAGCCCTTCCTCTGGATGTGTGTTGGAACTTCTGTAAGTTAGACCCATCTTTCATTTCGGGTGCAACAAGCGAAGGGTAAACAAAAACAGCACTACTGCAATCAGTTGATGTTGTCAGATAGTATGGTTGGGGTAGAAGTTCAATTCACTTCACATTTAAAGGCAAACTTGCCTTTCTGGTAGTATATATAATTTGCATATCTAGTAATTCTTTGGGAATTTTCTCACAATGCTTAAGTAGATCTGAACTAAGGTTTCTCAGACTACATTCTCCTGAGAAAATGTTTGAATTTTTTCTCCTTTTTTTCTACTCCCCCCTCCCAAAAAAGGTTGCTTTGCATCCCCCCCCCAAGTATTTTCCACCATTTTTAAAAATTGTGATGGTTGCCATTTTTCCCCCACAGTGCCCCAGAATGATGCCAAATCATTTGCTGCTGCTGCAGCAAAAAAATAATAAAGGCAAAAAGCCATAAGAAAGAAAGAAAGAAAGAAAGAAAGAAAGAAAGAAAGAAAGAAAGAAAGAAAGAAGCTATGCTACTGCCACTTATAATAGGGAATCTGATAGGGCAGGGATAGTCAGTGTGGTGATGTCTAGATGCTGTTGAACTTCAACTCCCATCAGCCCCAGCCTGTGTAGCCAATAATCAGGGATGAAGGGCATCACATTGGCTACCCTTTGTTAGGCCATAAGGCACTGTTAATCCTTTGTCACACTTTGCTTTTATTTAAAAAAAGAAGAACTTTCCAGTTCACACACATCCTGTTTTAGGCTGGTTTGCTTTGTTTCTGCTTTGACCATGACACTTCCTTTCCTTTTTATATCATGTTTTGTTATCTCTACGCTGACAGCTTTACGCTATGCCATTAATACTGGCTAATGCAGGATAAAGAAGCTAAAAGGGAAGAGGAAGTAATATCACTTATTGTCTGATTTAGGCATAGCAAAATGCCCAAAGGAAGACAACAATCATTTCTTTGGCATTATGGGATTGCAGATGTATTCTGTCTTCAAAAACAAAAAATGCAGGTGTCAAAACAACTTAAAATATGTTTCTGGGATTAGTAAAACAACTGTTGAATAAACATGCTTTCTCATTTGTAGACTGGAAAAAGAATCCCAACCCCCCCGGGCTTGAACCGACCTCCAGAGCCAATAAGTGTTTTAATCCTAAAGAAACAATTGAAATACAGGCTTGATATTTCAGCCCACCAACTGTTTCCAAAGTTCAGATACAGGCCAGGGAATGGAGAGGTGGGTTAATTGTTGTCCATGCAATGAAGAAAGCCAAGGGCAGTTTGCCAGATTGATTCCTTTCCAGACCTGCATACACACACCAATCAGTTATTTTATGCACCAAGGAACATTAAGTAATGCAAATCATTCAGCCAGCCAGATGCTCTGATGATGAGCTTTTCTAGTACTAGAGGCATAATGGAACATCACTGGTTTGTCTCAAGAAATAAAGACAAAGATAATGACGATAGCAGCCTTAGAGAAAGATAGCATTCTGGACCTGATATTCAGAACTCAATATGCTTCAACAGAACTCTTCTGCTTTCATCCGTTGCAAGGAAAGAGCCATGCTCCTTATGGTCAGTAGTCAATACAACAACATCAAGAGCTGGTCTGGGGAATCTGTGGCCCTCCATATATTGTTGGACTACTGCTCCCATCATCCATGGCCATCACGCATCCTGACTGGGACTAATGGGAATTAGACTGCGTACACATTACCAGCTTAAATGACAACAGGGTGGCTCTTTTTCTCAATTTCAATTAAAGCTTGTTTGGAGTGGGGGTGATGATCAAAGTACCGTATTTCATAAGAAATGGCAGGATAGATATGGATTGTGGTTCACATTGTGTGTATACTGCTTCCCAAACCAGCAATCAGAGCACACTGGATGCAGAATAAACAGAAGTGTGTACACAGCCTAAGACTACAATAACATCTGGAAGACCACATGCTCCCCATTCCTGATATACAAAGAGAGAGAAAGAGAGCTGATAATTTGTGTGTATTATCCTAAACAGCTATATGCCTGTATTCATGGGTTTTATTGGTTATCACATAATGTCACCACCCAACTCCTGAAGTCAGTTCTTCCCCTGATATTTTCCTTCACAGCCTGCTAAACTGTAAACGTCACCTGATGAAAGCTATTATTAATGGATACAAATAGCCTACATTCAGATTAGCTCTGCACCCCTGGCTTGTCATTTTCTATATCTTCTCCCATTGTATCCTTAGTTACATGATACTGAACCAGAAAGCCTGTTAATCTTCTCACTAAGTGGTCATGGAAGTACAAAAATGTCTATTATCTGAAGCTCTGTTATCTGAAATGTCCTGTAATAAAGATCTGCTAGAGGCCTGGCTGGTAAAATCCAGTGCACACCCTACCTCATTTCTTTCATTTGTAAACCTCCTCACAAGTCTCTTCTTCTCTGCCCTTCCCTCAGCACCAGCTCAAACATCTGTTCCTCCATCACCCATCTCTGCAGCTTAGTGATAAGAGTATCTGCTTTGTTGTAGAAGGTCCCAAGTTCAATCCAGAGCATCTCCAAGTAGGCCGGGGAGTATCTGCTCCCTGAAACCTTGGAGTGTCACTGTCAGCCAGTGTAGACAATAATAAGCTAACTGGACCAATGGTCTCACTCAATATAAAGCGGCTTCCTATGTTTTTATGTTGTTGGCCTGCCTTGCAGTTCCTATAACCAAAGGGTTACAAAAATGCAAGGTTGTTTTAGCAACAAAAACAACACACACACACACACACACAATCCAGAACCCTTAATAACCTGTGTAAAACCTCAGTCATGTATGCATACTGAATGTTTTTCTTGTATTTGTGTTGCAGAGATGCCAGGAAGGGTTTTTCCGAACTTACTCAGGAGACTGCAGCCCATGTGAGTGCAACAACAATGCATACAAGTGCCTTGATGGATCTGGTGTTTGTCTGGTAAGTAGCCTTTTCTGGTTACTTGTAGCACAATCCTAGCCATGTCTACTTAGAATTAAGACCTACTGAATGCAGTGAGGCTTAGTCCCAGGTAAGTGGATGCATATTTCGTCAAAAGTAATAATGAATGGTATCTGGACTGAAAAGGCAGATCATTAACAGGCCTTCCTCAGTTCTTGATAAAACCTTGTTCTTGCTCTCTGCCTGAGGCTGAACAAATAGAGCTAGTGAAGTGACACAGGTGGGACTCTAGCCCCGTCCCTCCCCCTCTCCAATGCAGCAACCCACTGTGCTGGAATGCCAAGAGAGCAATAGACGCTACCTCAGTGGCTGCTACTGATTGCACCTGAAGAAAGCAGGCTAGCTTAGGGAATGGCAGGCAGGCATTCTCCAATACATTGTCACTTCTTCACACTCTCCGGTTTCTGGTGCCTGAGGCAGTTGCTTTGCTCTACTTAATGTTGGGTTGACCCTGATTCACACAGATAATTGAGCTTTGTCACAGGAGTTTTGTCACTGTACTGCCTTTAGCAGCAATAGGTACAGGTGTCACACAGCTATTAGTTGGAAGGCTTGAACATGACACTCAGGGAACATTTGTGGCATGGATATGTATTACAGTAGCAAACACATAAAATTCTGCCCTGCGCTTTCAAATGACTAAAATGCAAAGTGATGTATAAAGTATCTACAAACTGCAAATAAGTTCTTTTAAAAAAAAATACTAAAAGCTTTCACTAAAGGTAAAGGACCCCTGGATGGTTACGGTAAGTTCAGTCAAATGTGACTATGAGGTGTGGCACTCATCTTGCTTTTCAGGCCAGCGTTTGTCCACAGACAGCTTTCTGGGTCATGTGGCCAGCATGACTAAACCACTACTAGTGCACAGAGGATCGTGAGAAGTGCCAGAGCTCATGGAAACGCCATTTACCTTCCCACTGCAGCAGTACCTAATTATCTACTTGCACTGGGATGCTTTCAAACTGCTAGGTTGGCAGAAGCTGGGTCAGAGCAACAGGAGCTCACCCCGTGGCACAGATTCGAACTGCAAACCTTCCAATCGGCAAGCCCAAGAGGCTCAGTTGTTTAGACCACAGCACTACCCGCATTCCCTTATCACTAAACCATGTTGCTTTGTTGAAATTAGAGTGTTTTAAAAAGATCATTTTCTTCTCTTTCATTTTCTGAAGGCTGCAACAATGTTATGCACCACTCTGTTAAGAATAATGAATATGCGAATCCTTAATAAAGTGAATAACACCAACCTTTCAATCACTGCTAACCTGCAGTTTTCACTGAGACTCCCTTTCAATCATTATTTTACAAAGAAGGACCAGACTTCTCATACCAGTATGCATCCTCTTTGAAATGTAATAATAATTGTAGGTTCACCGGAATACACATCAGTGACCAGTCTTGAATGAGGAGGTATCAATAAAAGGGATTGTTTATTTTGAGTATATCCAGCCATGGACAATTCTGAATGCTAACAACTTATTTTACTTCTTTTACTGCTCATCAATGGTTCCTCTTCATCCTGGAGAAGAGTGACTAGTGGAGTGCCACAGGGTTCTGTCTTGGGCCCGGTCTTATTCAACATCTTTATCAACGACTTGGATGATGGACTCAAGGGCATCCTGATCAAATTTGCAGATGACACCAAACTGGGAGGGGTGGCTAACACCCCAGAGGACAGGATCACACTTCAAAACGACCTTGACAGATTAGAGAACTGGGCCAAAACAAACAAGATGAATTTTAACAGGGAGAAATGTAAAGTATTGCACTTGGGCAAAAAAAATGAGAGGCACAAATACAAGATGGGTGACACCTGGCTTGAGAGCAGTACATGTGAAAAGGATCTAGGAGTCTTGGTTGACCACAAACTTGACATGAGCCAACAGTGTGACGCGGCAGCTAAAAAGCCAATGCAATTCTGGGCTGCATCAATAGGAGTATAGCATCTAGATCAAGGGAAGTAATAGTGCCACTGTATTCTGCTCTGGTCAGACCTCACCTGGAGTACTGTGTCCAGTTCTGGGCACCACAGTTCAAGAAGGACACTGACAAACTGGAACGTGTCCAGAGGAGGGCAACCAAAATGGTCAAAGGCCTGGAAACGATGCCTTATGAGGAACGGCTAAGAGAGCTGGGCATGTTTAGCCTGGAGAAGAGGAGGTTAAGGGGTGATATGATAGCCATGTTCAAATATATAAAGGATGTCACATAGAGGAGGGAGAAAGGTTGTTTTCTGCTGCTCCAGAGAAGCGGACACGGAGCAATGGATCCAAACTACAAGAAAGAAGATTCCACCTAAACATTAGGAAGAACTTCCTGACAGTAAGAGCTGTTTGACAGTGGAATTTGCTGCCAAGGAGTGTGGTGGAGTCTCCTTCTTTGGAGGTCTTTAAGCAGAGGCTTGACAACCGTATGTCAGGAGTGCTCTGATGGTGTTTCCTGCTTGGCAGGGGGTTGGACTCGATGGCCCTTGTGGTCTCTTCCAACTCTATGATTCTATGATTCTATTCTAAGATACAAAAGTTGTACAGAGTGAGTCAGAACTGCCTCCAGATATATGCTTCCAGAGATAGCCTTGCTCTTGTAGGCTGTTTTGTCAAAAAATTCTCTGGCAGTCTAGCATTACTGTTCAAAAGATCTCCATTGGCACTGCACTGCCAATTCCAAGCCCTTTCAGTTTACTCAGTCGATTCCTGGAAGGTTTTGGTAAAGGGCAGAAAGTCTTCTCATTCTGCTTGCCAAGGACGTTTATTTTAATGCTTTCTGCTAGGCATGAATTCAAAGTTCCTTCCTTTGCTGTTCACAAGTGTCCTCCTCCTTCTTTCTATTTAATTGCAGGGTTGTCAAAGAAACACAACTGGAGACCACTGTGAACAATGTCCAGATGGCTACCTGGGAGATGTCACCAGAGGAGCACCCAGCTTCTGCCAACCTTGCCCTTGTCCCTTGCCACTGGTTGCCAAGTATGCTCAACTGATTTATGTTATTGGTTCCAGCAGCTGTTCTCCCTGCTGCTAAGTCATCTTATGGCCAGATTCCATGAGACTTTCTAAGGGAAGGGAGAAATGACAAAAGAACAAGTAATTTTGACCTACAGTGGTGCCTCGCAAGATGAAAATAATTAGCGGCTTAGCGGCTTAGAAAAAGGGGGGGAGCGAAAAAAATCGCAAGACTCGCAAGACATTTTCGTCTTGCAAAGCAAGCCCATAGGGAAATTCGTCTTGCAAAGCGCATCGAAAAACGGAAAAAACCTTTCGTCTAGCGGGTTTTTCGTCTTGCGAGGCATTCGTCTTGCGGGGCACCACTGTATTTGCTTTTACTGTCAGCTTGGGAAAATGCAATAGCTTTTCCTTTTTTTATTATTATTACTTCCCCAGTCACACCGGCAATTCCAGCAAGCACACAAAGAAGTACAATGCATTTTATTATCTCTGAATCCCCTTTTCTTTTTAAACTTTGAACTATGTGATGGCTTGTAAATTGGCATTGCTGATAGACAGGGGATCAGATGCACAGCTTTGACATGTCTAATCCCTCCAGTTTGGACTCCTGTCCAAACACAACTGGTGGGCGCCATTTTAAGCCCTGTTAAGATATCACATTGGCTGGTTCCCCATTTACCTCTTTAGTAGAATTTAGTAGATTCAGTCCTCACCCTCTCCAGTGAAAGAGCATGTGGAGAAGGGATAAGAAAGATCCCTGCATAAGTCATTGGCTTGCTGCTACCTATCAGAGTAGACAATTCTGTACCAGATGGACCAATGTTCTAGTGACCTAAAATAAAGCACCCCTGCTTCTCATAGGTATATGTTACTTACAGCAAATCTCCGTAATTAGAGCATGGGAATGCATTCATTCACCAAAAGCAGTGGAAGATACATAAAGCTGTATGCATGAATGACAGAATCTATGTAGTCTCTGAATGGTTAATATGCACATTTGCTGGTAATTCTGGGCAATTCTATTGCTTTAATATATTCATATCCACTTATCACTGTTTCATATTATTGTGCAGTATGGCTGGTTATGCAGATACTCTATAAAATTAGCCTTGCTATGCAATGGTAAGGCCTGTCCCTGACCTTCACACATTCACTACATTGTGTGTACCACCCATTGGGAGTCTTGCAAAATACAAGGTTCCGCAAACAGCAACAACATCTATTACAGTGGTGTAGCTGCTTTTCAGCAATATATCAAGTCTAGCACATCAGAAGCCCTTGGTCTTTATGTGGCATGCCAATGCACATAAGGCTACCTACAGCAAGCTCTTGATAAATCCTTGTTCCTGCCTCCTGCCTGGAGCTGAAAAAACAGAGGATTTGTCAGCTCGGCAGAGACGGATGAGGAATTGCATGCAAATGGATGCTGCACACACAATTCCTTTCCACAGTGTAGCTGTTGGGGCTACACGCTTGTACATCAGCTGACTGTGGCAGAGTTTTGGATGCAGTCCTTCACGGAGGTTAAGTCTATCAGTGGGTATGGATCGTGGTGGCTGTCTTCTACCTTCACCTAGGAAACTGGGGCAATTGGCAGGCCCCCAGCTGGCCCCAGCCCACCAGCCAGTGTGCTGGGCGATCTCCAGTCCTTGGTGCAGCATCAGCAACCCGAGCTTCAGAAGCTAAGGCACGCTACTCAGCAGAGTAAACGCTACGCAACAGAAGTGGCAGGAGAAGTTGTGTGAGCATATTTACAAGCAGTTTATTCAGCATACAGCAGGACAAAAGGAAAACATGTCCAATCTCCTTCGTGTCCAAGCAAGACGGCATAAGCAAAAGCTATACACAAATAGCAGTTCCCAGCAAGCTGTGCTGGAGTGTAAACAGACATGTGACATACAACAATTCCACACGTCTGTTCTTAAGGTGTAACGGAATATCCCAACAGGAGACAGCTGCAGGGAGTGCTTAGAGTGTTGTTGTGCTCAGGTCTTTTTTCAGGCTTCCCGGTGAAAACAGGATGCTAAACGAGATGGACCACTGGCCTGATCCAGTAGGCTTGTTTTATGTCCTCCTGTAATCCCATCCCAGAAAACGGTGGGTTTTCCATTTTTTAGAAGGGACCTGTATGCTGAGCTACAACTACTCCACGTGTTCTGTTTCATCACAGCTTAATGGCTTCTCTTCAGAACAAGAACTTTCTCTGATAGTAAGAAGTTTAGCAAAACACCTATTGCTGTTTGCCATTACAAGGGCTAGGATTTCAGACTTATTAAAAAGAATTATCTTGAACTTGTAATTAAAAAAGAGAGACCCTAGTTCTCTGGTCAGTTAACTGGGTTTGTAAAGGGTTAAATGATTATAATGATTTATTTCCCTTTCTTCATCCCTTTGTTTTATATGGTGAGGGAAATGGAAGCGGAATCAGATTTCATACCTTGAAAGTGTGAGAGGAGATAGGGCTTGCTCTTCTGCTTGCAACAAAGGAACAAGCCCCATGAATAACATGCCAATGGGTTTACGAAGTCTGACAAATACTGTATCAAAAGCTCTAAGATGGCAGATTCATTATATACACAGTTGTTCTTGGGATTCATCTCTGTGGATTTTATTTCAATATTTTTGTCTGGCCAAACAATTTCCATCCATATCTGATATCCTGGGAACTTGTGGAAGAGTTCTCATTAAAAAGAGCTATCATTTGTTTGGAACAACTGGATACCAGCTGCTCCAAACCCTTGCAAATGTGCTTAGGTTTTTTATTCGCTTGGAATTGTAAGACCACTTTGTTATTATTATTATTGCTTTTTTTGTAATGAAACCTCCTTTTAAAGGCTCAGGAATACTTTTGGCCTGTTACTGTGTCCCAATGAGCAGCTTCTTAAGAAATTAACCCATTCATGGGAAATATATCTAAAGCTCTGTTGGGATGGTGTCATTGAAATGTTACAGAAGGAAGTGTATGAGTATTGTTTTTCACGAAAATTGCAAACTGAAAACCTCAAATCTCACTGACGCTATAAATGTCTCCAAACAAGGCAAATAAATGCACTCATTTTAACTCTGGAGAATAATTTCATAGAAAAGCAGATGAAAAAACTGAATGTAAGCCAGAATCCTTGATACTTTTTTTTCATTCGTAAGGGAAACAATACACAGACCACATTCTTTCCTTGCCTTCTGATGATTGACTGATCACAACAGTTCTTTTAAAAAAACACACACAAAACCCACTCCAAAATATTTTAGTGGATGGTGGCATAACCCATAAGCTCTGATTTTATTTTATTTTTATGTATGCTTAGCTTTGCAGTTTCCTGTTACAGAAAAAATGGAGTGGTACGCTGTATGTGCAAAGAAAATTATGCAGGGCCAAATTGTGAAAGGTAAGTACATTTTCAGGTGCAAATGTTAAGGATTATGAACCTTTGTGCCATTTATCTTGACAATATACATTTGGTTTTACAGATACAGATTTTATATTCCCTCCCAGCTTTAAATGGGCAAAGAAAGTCTTTCTGCTGTCAGTGACAGTGACAGACCTGCTTGGATTGAGAATGATAAAAACTGGCTGTCATCTGAAGGTTTTTCTGAGAACTTGTCAGATCTGGAAAAACAGTGCTTCATTTAGCAAGAAATTCCCCACAACTCATGGAGCTACCCAAATTATCCAGAAATATGAATGAATATGGGAGTACAAAATGGAAACTCAGGAATTATCTTTCATCCAGGGCTTAAAATTCTTCTTTGGTTTAAATTTTGAATCAAAGAACACATCAAAATATCTTGATCCAGCATTGGGTGATGCAGAATTCCTGTTGTGGAAGGGCCCAATACCTGAAGGCGTACATACCCTCTCTGGAGGTCCCAGTTTGTAGTCCTTTGGCTCAAGGGTCCCCATGTTGAGAGGTTCAAGACACACCAGCTCAGGGCAAGGCATTATATTGGGGCAGTATCTATCCCCCCTTCACTGCCTGTACATCCACATGGTAGGCACAATCACGTGCACCAACCCAGTGTTTGTTCAACTTCAGAGTGAGATTTGTGCCACTTGCACTCTAATTTTTGTTAATCCAGCTTGCTTCATAGCCCATAGCTCCCCAGAAAACCAATGAGCCCATTGGGCTCAACAGTGGCAAAGAGGACACACGAGGCAGTTGTGTCTACTGCCCATCTCATTTGCCATTCTACAGTAAGATGCGAGCTTCAAGAGGATTGTCTGCTTTTTCCACTGGAAAAAAACCTGAACATTCAGGAACCTATCAGGTTCCATCAGTCTCCAAGGGTGGCCCATCTGAACAGGTCCAGAATCCCTGCAGGGGAGAATGGCCACCAGTCCAAAATTTACCAGATCATGATCAGACCATGACAATTGGGTGCACAGCCCCTCACCTTACATTGATTTTGTTGACTTGACCACAGAGAATGCCCCCAAGCAAAAGAGTTAACAAGACATTGCCATTAATCATTGCTGAATTTGTGTTTCCTTCCAGGTGTGCTCCAGGTTACTATGGAAATCCCTTGGTGATTGGCAGTTCCTGTAAAAAATGTGACTGCAGTGGCAATTCAGATCCTAACCTGATCTTTGAGGATTGTGATGAAGTGACAGGCCAGTGTCGCAACTGCATGCGCAACACTACAGGGTTCAACTGTGAACTATGTGCTCCTGGTTATTATGGGGATGCCAGAAATTCTAAAATATGCACAGGTATTTGCTATGTTCATATTAAGCCCATTCATTGGTTTGGGGCCAGAGATATTTCTGTTATTGCCAGTCTGCTTTTTGCGTGTTTATAGAAAGGAAGTTGGCTAATGCTGCTGTGACTGAACAGAAAATTATTCTCCTCAATCTCTTGGCAGCTTTCAGTACTATCAGCTATGGTATCCTTCCAGAATGGCTGTCTGAGGTTCTGTTAACAGGGGTTTCCTCAGATTGAATGGATGGAGTGCAACCTATTCTGGATGGATTTCGCCATGTCACACCCTGAAGAAGCAGGTGCAGAGCTGGCGAGTGCTTCTGGATCCCTTACTGTCCTTGGAGGTGCCTCTGTGTTGCAGAGTGCCTTCTGTCACTTGTGGATGGTAGCCGAGCCATGACTCTTATCTGGATGTGGATAGCCTTGCTGCAGTTGCACATTGGTAACTTATAGGTTAGATTACTGCAATGCTCGGAAATTGCAGCTAGTGCAGAACTCAGGAGTCCAGTTGCTGACTAGGCCCAAGCCAGACAGAACATGGATTCTGGCTTAACTGCATTGGCTACCAGTTGATTTACATGCCCTATAAAGCCTTGTATTGTTTTTGACCCCAACACTTTTCCCCATATGAACCTACTTGGACATCAGAGGGTCCGCAGAGGGTGATAATGCAAGAATGACCCCAAGCAGTGGCTGCCCATTGCCTGGGAATGCTCTCCCCAAGGAGGTTTGCCTGGGTCCAACATTGGTTTAATTTTAGTCCTGTTCTTAGTGTTCACCTTTTAGCTGGATGGGAAAGGATATTGGTATTGATTCTTGGTCCATGTACATTTTAGTATGGTTTTATTGCTTTTGTCCATTTTATTGTATATTTATCTTATATGTCACTTTGAGAATTTTTTAATGGATATATTTAATTAATACTACTGCTGTTATTACAGTCATACCTTGGAAGTTGAATGGAATCCATTCCGGAAGTCCGTCCGACTTCCAAAACGTTTGGAAACCAAAGTGTGGCTTCTGATTGGCTGCAGGAAGCCCTGGACATTCGGCTTCCAAAAAGAATTCGAAAACCAGAACTTCCGGGTTTCGATCATTCGGGAGCCAAAACATATGAGTACCAAGGTGTTCGACAACCAATGTACAACTGTACAATGATGTCATTATTTATGCATTTTTAAGATCCAAGCAAAACCTGCCTATGGGTAAACATGGGGCAAGCTAGATTGGAGTAGCCCTCCCAACCCCACAAGCCCACAAGCTGTTTCTAGGTTGTTGGTTTTTGTTTTGTTTTTTAAAAGCACTTACTAGGTCTAATGGGTGACGTGGGTGGCGCTGTGGTCTAAACCACTGAGCCTCTTGGGCTTGCCAATCAGAAGGTCGGCAGTTCGAATCCCCGCAACAGGGTGAGTTCCCCTTGCTTGGTCCCAGCTCCTGCCAACCTAGCAGTTCGAAAGCACTCCAAAAAGTGCAAGGTACCGCTCCGGTGGAAAGGTACCGAACAGCGTTGCCATGCACTGCTCTGGTTTCAGTGTTCCGTTGCGCCAGAAGCAGCTTAGTCATGCTGGCCACATGACCCGGAAAAAACTGTCTGTGGGGAAACACCGGCTCCCTTGGCCTATAGAGAAAGATGAGCGTGCAACCCCAGAGTCGTCTGAGACGAGACTTAACTGTCAGGGGTCCTTTACCTTTACCTTTAGGTCTAATGACTTACAAGGTCTAATGACACATCTAGGCTGGCCCTAACAATGCCTTTGGAAAACTTAAAAGAATGGCACAGAGGAAAAATCTTCCCATGTTATTTACTCCCACATCTAATACTTAGAGACCTGTAGCCTTGGATGTTTCATTTTGGTGTTGTGGCTAATAACCAGTGAAATACGCCAATCACTGCTTTGGAGCTACTTTCAGGTAGAGGCTTCTTTTCCCTTTTTGCCACATTAGCTGTCCCACTTTTTGTGTCATTGCAAGTAAGGCAGACTAATATGCTCACATTGCTAACCATAAAAGGCTTCTGTCTGCTTTTCAGTGTTTCATTAGCCATGCAATGTATACATTACATGTCTTTAAAACAAACTACCCCTGGGAACAAAGCTAATTTTAGAAGCCATAATAAGATGAAATGGCCAGAAGGTTTTAACATACTCTGAAAATGCAAACTTTAGAAGAGCACAGAATTTCTAAGTGGTAGGTGATATACTGTGGTTCTTAATCTCTGCAGTAATAAATAACAATTCAAGCAGTGAGAGATTTAAAGGACCGTTATTTTACTTCAGTCATGTATAGCAGTAATATGTGCAATTGTAACAGAAAACATACAGAGACATTCCATTTAAGATCTGCCTCCACCTTCTCTGTTGTAGGTCATTAGGACTGTGCTTTATCATTTTATCAATCAAATGTGATAAAGAAATGCTAAATGGCATTGTTATTACACGACAAAACACCTTTGGAATTCTGGTTTTAAATTTATTCCTCATAAGTAATGTATTTAATGTTACTTAGATACTTTGAATAGAAATTATTCAGCTGCTGCCTATAGCAGTTTGAATTTTTTAATCGTTTAGTTTTTTATGAGCAAACGAAAGCACGTCAGTTTGGCAGAGATCAAAATATCACATGGGAGCAGTAGCTATGAATGAGAGGCTGAGAACTGGAAAGAGCTCCCAGGAAAGGAGACCGTCTAGAGCTATGAAAATACTGAAAAAGGGGACTCCATGTGAATGGTAGATGAAGACAATGTAAATTCAAGGAAAGGATCAGAAGGGGTGGGGAACCAAGAAGGGGCTAAGAAGAGAAGTTACGCATTTGGTTGTAGGTTTCCAGTTTTAAACAATTACTATAAAATTCTCTCTCTCTCTCTCCTTTCCTAGCATGCAATTGCAGAGGAGGACCTTGTGACCGTCGAACAGGGCAATGCCTAGCAGAACCTCCAATGTCTCCTCCAGTCACAGATTGCCCAGTAATCAGTAAGAATAGCAATTATATGAAACATTGGCTGCACTGTCAACGTCCTCCAGCTTCCCCCTTTCCAGAGCATCTGTATCTTGAAGGACATACATTGAGGGTTATGGTCTGATTATGTGATTGTTCTTATTTCCCTCTGTCCCTTTCCCCTACCCTAAAGAAAAAGATTATGCTAGTGATGCTAGTGACCAGTACTGAGGCAGCCATGAAAACATATCTGAAATAATGTTCAGTAGCGGTGTGGGAGAAAGAACCAGGGCAGCAAATTACTTGGGCCTGTGGTAGATGAATTTAATACTTATCCCAGCCCATTATTTACCATGTGGCACACATTAGTCCTACCCTCCAATCATGTGGCTACTCATTTTGGAGCTGGTCATTCTGAAAAAGGCAGGAAGCTTCTCTGTCCAGAAAAAGTCCTGACAGGCCAAATACAGCCTCTTGTATCAAGGATATCAGGAAAGGAGTCAAGAATAAAGCAGGCCTTCTAAACACAATGATTTTTATTTTTATTTTGCTACATATGCTTCATATGAAGCTATTCATAATTTTAATAATAATAATAATAGCAGCAGCATATCTGCAATAACCTTCATTTGTTAGCCACAGCACTGACTTCGAACCTCAGTGCTCCCCAGCATACAAAACACAGTCCATTGTGGTTAGACTGTCTGCCCTTAACTCTAAAAACAAAGACTTGATTCAGTGATACAATGACACAGTTGCTTCTAATGGCAGTGCTGTTTTAGAACGAAACATGTAATAATTGGTGGGGTGAGGGATTCCAGAGTAATTTGTAATTTGGAAACCCAATTCATACATTATCTGGAGCCTTTGCGCAGAAGTGGAGCATTGTGTTCTCCACATGGCCTGTTGGACAGGGGATACCAAGCTCCTGGAGGGAGGCACAGATTTGGATGCAGCAGGCCCTGCACTGAATTCCATGTATCAGAGGCAGCAGCTGCTGCCACAACCCCACTGTACCCCTTTGCCGTGTTTGGTATCTTCTGTTTGGTCATATCAACAAGGCTACACCTTAATATCTATGAGGCCAGTGACGTCAGAGCAAAATACTGTTGCTTAGGCTACAGCAGAGAATAGACTGTCTAAGCATCACTGAGGCCAAATAAAAAAATAGGCACAGGGTTTAATTTGAGCTCTAACCCAGAACCTTCCTTTTTTTCAGTGCCAGGGTTCAGCCTTGGAACACATGTGTGCAGTAAGGAAGCAGAGTTTGCATTTGTGTGTGTGCAATTCCCTTTTTAATAATGCCCACCCCTAATATATTTTGGAGTAAAAAACAGTAATTCGGGCAGAGCAACAGAATGCCAACATCAGTGAAACAAAGACTGCTGAAGTTTCAGACTGCATTTAGAAGGCTCCTAAGGTTGAACCCCTCAGAGAAGGAAACCCAAAACATCTTTTGTCTTCAGGCAAGCCCATACAGGGGACATAGTATTGTGCCCTTCATCAGAGTCTGTATGGCTTCTGAGCAACTCTGAACCTGGCACTTCTTCTTTTAGAAATTAAGTCCTGAATATCTCTTTAGCTAGGGGGTGCAGGGGATGCAGCTTTTTCTACATATTTTTATGGCAATTTTTGGGGGGGCAAATACATTTTTCACAAAATTACATACAGACATATTCTGCATAACATGACATAATATAAAAAGTGTGTCTGTGAAATCACTCCTTAATAGCTAAAATTGTTTCTTTTGTAGAAAACCTGCTTAGCGGTTAAGCCATTTTTCTCTTCTTGCCTGGTACAGTGGACAGTTTCTATATTATGCTAAATCTTGATATTTATTTGGATATAGTTGTGAGAACATGGCAGATTACAATGGGTACTGCCTTTCTAAATGCAAAACAATATTGCTATATGGATTACAAGTTAGGAGATCTTGACAACGTAATGAATTGGTTATCCTTATTTGTAGCTTTTCTCTCATCCTCTTGGAACTGTCTTTTCTAATTTCAATTTTATCTTCACAACTGGAAAAGCTAATAGAAACTTCCCTTTTCCAAGAGAAATCAGTGGATTTCAAGATTCCAGCAGGAATGTATTCCCCATTCAACTGCCCATATTTCATTTCATTTCATTGCCAGGTTGTGACAAATGCATTTGGGATTTGACTGATGATATTGGCTTGGCAGTTCAGTCCATTGACGAAAGCAAAGCTACCCTGCAGAGCATCTCCACTGGGGTTGCTGTTCACAGACACTTGAATGACCTCAACTCCACTACTTATGTGCTGAAGGTACCAGTTATACCTTATTTGGTTGCGTCTCTGCTTTTCTTTCACCATTAATATGCTGCAGAAAGGTCAGAGTCAAAGTAGATGTGGTGCAATTAAAAACAGCCATAGAGAGACGCCTCAAATCAAGACTGAGGAAGGAAGTTAATCCTTCCACTTGCTGGCATGTTCCTGTTTTAAATTGCCATTCCCTGAAACTATGGCTGCCCTGTCTAGGGACAGGGGTGCAGGGAAAGACCCTCCAAGTGTCCCTATTTTCCAGGGACAGTCTGGTTTTACAGGTGACCCAGTTTCTGATTTGATCACAGAATGTCCTGCTTTTCCTTAGGATGTCCCTATTTCCATCAGAAAAATGTTGGAGGGTATGGAGTTATGCCACCCCTGAGCCATCTGAAGGCAGCTCTGTACAGGGAAGTTTTTTAATTTTTTATTATGTTTATATATATGTTGGAAGCTGCTCAGAGTGGCTGGGGCAACCCAGTCAGATGGACAGGATATCAGTAGTAAAATTATTATTATGGAATAGGATGTCCCTATTTTCACCAGAGAAATGTTGGAGGGTATGCAGGGATACAGATATAAATATGGGTAAGGGCTGTGCACCCTGACTGAAATGCATCTAAGGTCTGAGTCTTGTTCTCAGATGCATGTCCATCACTCTGTGCCTCAGGCTGAGCCCACCCATGAGGCAGGTGAAGCCATGGGTGGCAGAAGCTCCTGAGGCAGCAGTGCCATGAACACCCTGCCTGTCCTGCATCCTCTGCCAGTGGCAGAGAAGCAGCACTGAAAATCAGTGCTGATGCAAGTGCCGCTTGTCCACTGCCGGCAGAGGTAGTGGGGCAGCGCTTCCCATTCACCACAGGTGACAAAATGGGACGTGCTGGCCCTGCCATGCCTGCAACATGATACTTTACACATGTGAACAGGCCATCCCAGATCTATCACCACTGTTTTTCCGTGCAGTCAGTTCTCACATTCTGCTTTCGGTCATGAAGTGTTTGAATAATTAAGTGTTATAAACTCAGACAGTAGTCATGTGCATGAGTGAATTGGTCTGTGAGGTGTAGTGGTTGGAGACAGCTGACGTATGTTCATCCCCATTTAGCCATGATGCTCATTGGGCAAACTTTTGTCAGGTATTCTCTTTTAGCATAACCTGATTTGCTGGATTGTTGTGAGAGTAAAAGAAAGGGAAATACAATATATGCCTACTTGGAGTGCCCTCTTGGGGAAAATGTGGGATAGAATGTTACTATAGAGCAGCATAGGCTGCTGTAGTACTCTGTGCAAAGAGAAAGAAGACAAGATGAATTGGAACTAAGAACATAGGAGCCGACAGGATCAGGCCAACAGCCTATCTCGTCCAGCTTGCTTTTCTCGCAAATAGTTGTCTGTGGGAAACATGCCAGAAGCAGCTGAGCACAGCAGCATTTTCCCCACCTGTGTTTTCCAGCGACCGGTATTTAGAAGCATTACCTGCTGCAGTACCTTTGAGGAAAAAAGTAGAACAAGTTGGTGTGGAAAAAACTGTAAATGAGAGAGGAATTACCTCCCTTAGATATATAGAAGAGGTTCATAAGCAAGATGGTAGGTGCGTGTAAAGGTTGGCTCTCGCCACATCCTTCTCACTCTAGCACTCAGCCAGACCATGCATATCTGTGGGCCTTGACCAAGGCTGAAAGGTGTTCTTATTATCTCCTGAATGCCCTATTGCCTTTTGGTACTTTCCAGAACCATTTTCCATCACAGCAGGAAGACAGTTGTTTTCCCTCACATCTAAGAACAGAAAAAGGGGCATTGGACCTAAAGTATAAGAAGCTATACAGTTTAGTGATCATTTTTTTAAAAAATCCTGTAACCCAATGGTAAGAATAGCAAGTTCAAATTCCTGCTTAAATTTGGGGGTTATGTTCTGTTTGTGTGCTGCAGACAAGAGCAGTGCACACACAAAAGGTAGCAACGCATTGAACTTTAGTAACTCTGTACCCATGCTCCCATACCCCATAACAACAAAAAGCGTCAGGCCCCCTGGCCACTTTGCACTGGGATGGTATGCAGAGTGGCATGTACGGTATGGAAAGAACAAACAAGTCCAGACCAGGAATGTGAATCCTCCCTCAGACAATAGGACAAATTCCCTGGGAATCTATGCAATTGTCCTCAATGGACATTTTTAATAAAGCACTAAACAAACATCTGTCAGTGACGATTTAGAGCTAGTAACTCCAGCCTCACTGCAGTAGGTCAGCCTAGCTGCCCCATGAGGTCCTTCCAGCACTGTGATTCTATGACATTCACTAAATACCTCATCAGTGTGCTATTTTGATGATGCTCATTAAAAAAAAAGAGGAAATTGGCTTTCACCTATACTGAATGAAGATGCTTCGTTAAAAACAACTCAACCAACCCTTGATCTTTGTTTTGCTTTATTAGGAAGAATTGTCAGAAAAGGATAACCATTCTCTACTGAGGAAGAGCCAGATTGATAATGCTACGATTGAAATGACAGAGCTGCTGAAGGAAATCGACGCACTTGATGAAAAGGTTGGCTTGCCATTTTGTGGTTTCATTTCCTTTGATGAAAAGGCCTGTTATAAAGCTTGTTAATTCTATGGAAGTTATTGTGAATTTCATTGGGTAGTAAGGTGGATTAATGCTACATCTTTGGATAGACCTGAGGGACAAGGGTTAACAAATTTCAAAGGGGCAGCCATATTCATCTCTTACAGCAAAAAAGGCAGAATCCTGTGGCATCTTAAGGTCTCACAAATTTTACTATGGCATAAGCTTTCATGGAACCCATTTACAACAGATGTATTAAGTGTGATCCTCAGTAATCAGATATTTTTAATATTATTTTTTTTTAGTTTCAGACACAAAAAAAATATACAATATAAAACCTCACTGTAGTCAGAACTCAAAAACATGAGCCCCTGCCCCACCATCCAATGACCCTCCCTCACCCCTTCCCCAGAGAGCTTCATGTCATCAGCACATCAAAAGCATATTCCTAGTACTTGGTTAACAGCCAGGAACAGACAAGTAATCAGGTATTAACACATGAATGTAAATGGGAAAACTGTTCAGGTTGTGGTTATGTGTCAACTCGATGCAGAAAATATGTTGTTGTTTAGTCGTTTAGTCGTGTCTGACTCTTCATGACCCCATGGACCAGAGCACGCCAGGCACTTCTGTCTTCCACTGCCTCCTGCAGTTTGATCAAACTCATGCTGGTAGCTTCGAGAACACTATCCAACCATCTTGTCCTATGTCGTCCCCTTCTCCTTGTGTCCTCAATCTTTCCCAACATCAGGGTCTTTTCCAGGGAGTCTTCTCTTCTCATGAGGTGGCCAAAGTATTGGAGCCTCAGCTTCACGATCTGTCCTTCCAGTGAGCACTCAGGGCTGATTTCCTTAAGAATGGATAGGTTTGTTCTTCTTGCAGTCCATGGGACTCTCAAGAGTCTCCTCCAGCACCATAATTCAAAAGCATCAATTCTTCGGCAATCAGCCTTCTTTATGGTCCAGCTCTCACTTCCATACATCACTACTGGGAAAACCATAGCTTTTAGTATACGGACCTTTGTTGGCAAGGTGATGTCTCTACTTTTTATGATGCTGTCTAGGTTTGTCACAGAAAATATAGTCTGTGACAATTGTGTTTTTTCACATTTATGATCAAATAGGTCGCATCAGATGCAGATACAGAGTTAGTTATTTCCACTGGAGATCTCTGAATATTCCCCCTTTTTCTTGTGTAAAATGGGGGTGAAGCATTTCTTATTGAAAACTGGAACATTTGGGGAATGGGTAGGAAATTTCCTATTGCCCTGCTGCCGGGCCATCAAAGAGTACTTGATGATTCCCACAGTGGTGCAATCTACCCTTATGAGTCCTAGGAGCTCAATGAATTACTAAAGAATTGTTTAATTTTGCATAAAACAAAACACATTTTTTTATTTAAAAAAAATGTGTGTGCATGGGGAGACAGTGAGGGAGGGAAGAAATGTTCACATGAAGAAAAAAGTTTGGCATAATAGTATGGGTTTGTCCCCAAAACATACATAAAATATTTCTTAATGTGGGGCTCCATTTATGAGGGGGCAAGCTTCAGTTGCAGAACATCAGATGTGGTGAACTGGTGGCTCTGCAGATGTTGTTGAACTCCAAGTCCCATCAGCCCCAACCAGCAAGGCCAGTGATCACCTGAAGGGCCACAGCTTTTCTTCTCCAGCATTAAATGCATAAGGTCCCAGTTTCAACCCCTGACTGGATCAGTTAAAGTTTTGATGGACACCTGTTTGAACACTGGAAATTTGCTGCCCCTTAGGCTAGGACAGAGCTAGGTGAACAAGTAGCATAAGGCAAGTACCATAAGGTGAACCTGACATAAGGCAGCTTCCTACACATCCTGCTTGTCTGTTATTCACTTGGTGCTACTTTTTCCCCCCTAATGGAAATATGGCATGCCTACTTCAAATTCTAATTTAAACTGATTACAGTAATCAAGATAAATGACATTCAGTTGCTTTTCTTTCTCTTTTGGATATTTCAAGCTATGGGTGCTATGCATGGAAGTTTTCCTAGCATTTCCAATAGCACAGTAATATACTTCAAAGTCTTCTCCGAGCTTGTTAATTATCAGCAATAATCGTTTACACAGTAAGTAGCAGGCGCTTAGATAAGGATCATAATTTTCTGGTAGGGATGAGCTAATCAGGATCACGAAGGGTCAGTATGAGTGGAATTATATTTGTGGTGCAAAAGCCACAACAGTACAGCTCTTACCTGGAGATCCTGCTACCCTCCAGGTAGTCTTGGACTCCCATTAGCCAGCATTAGGAATGTTTTGATTTGTAGTCTAGTAACATATCAAGGGTCACAAGTTCCCCAATCCTATTATACACATTAGATCACATCAGAAGTTCTCAATCATATAATCTCCTCTGTGGTGGAGCTGAAGAACCACCCCACTCAAGGTCTGCATACTCTTGGTCAAAGGCTGTACACACACAGTTCACACACACACACACACACACACACACACACACACCACTAAGCCCCTTCACTCACATCACATTCTCACATACACACCACATATGCCACAAATTCAGTTATAAATGCATGCAGCGCAGTTAGAAAGAGACACCTTAGTGGGTTACTTTTGGCCTATGGTCTGGAAGCTCCCCGTCCCTAGACTATGTGGTAGCTGTTGAAATAAAAACAATACATGTTACATGTGATCACACACACACATACCTTTATTATTATTTTGCTGTACTGGCTGTGCTTAACACACTGGAAAAGAAGCTTTTGTTTCCTGTATTCTGTATTTCTCATCATAGCAAATACTTTAGTGTATAGTGCTGTTGTTTGGTGTAATATATATTTATTTATTTCCCCAGCTATACTGTTCCTGTAAATTTCTTTTTTGGAACAGGTCCAGAAACAGGATACCCATTTTGATAATTCTATCAAAAGAATGGATTTTTTAAATTTTTAAAAAAAAGCTCTTCTAAGTAGAGTATGGCTGGAAATTCCAAGGTCTAAAATAAGCCTGGGCAATCTGTGCTCGCCTACCTAATTTCATGAAGCAAAAATCTGATTTCATCAGAGTGGCAAGGAGGGAAAAAGCAAAGGGAAACGGGATTGCAGAGAGAGAGAGAAGGGAATTGCAGAAAGAGCAAGAAAGGGGGGCTGCCCCACTCTCTCTGACTCTGAACATGTCCACTGCCAGTGTATGGCCTCTGACAGACCACTTATGAGGGAATGCAGCCCTTAACATAAAAAGCCCTCTAAAAGCAGGTTCCCATAAGCACAGCACTAACAGGAAGAAATTCAGGTCTTCGATCCTACACCAACAAATATGTTTTAACTGTACATTTCCATATCAGGAGAGGACACAAGGGAGAAGATTTGTTCACATGATTTGAGGAAGTGGCTATGTGATCTTAGACTCATTTCTTTCCAACTGGTTGAAAGCGCCACCTGGTGCTTCAGCAAGCAAAGCACTGATTTGCAAAAGAACGTGACACACTGAGTCACGTTATATGACAAAACTAGACACTACATGCCATGCAGACATGTGTATTTTTTTTTAAAAGCCTAATGACTTAAAAGAAAATCAAAATTAACATGAGAAGGGGAATGGGGAACAATTTTTCTTGTTCACCATTTTTCTAATCTACTTTTCCACACACACATACATCTCCTCCTTTTCCAAATTGCCTCCTTCAGAAGCTGCTTATTAAAAAGATCATCAAGATAATGTTGCATATGTGGTTGCCAAATATTTTCTGCAGAAAATTTGCTCAGATATAAATCCCACTATATTCAATGAAACTTCTTTCCTAGGGAAGTTTGCATAAGGATCAGCTTCTGCTTCAGAGTTGGATCCGATAAGTGACGGTTTGAGTGCAGCAAATGACACTGAAATGTGGAGCAGGTTTCCAAAGCCTGCATTGTAAATACCAAGCACCTAATGAGATGCAGCTCTTTTCTTCCAACGTTGCCAAATATCATTTATACGCTCAATAGACCTTCCTGCACTCATTAGACGGATTTTGCTTACACTAGTCAGACCTGCACATGCCTGGAGATTGAAAAGAAAATCTAATATCGCAATTGCATGGTTTATTCATAGGGAAATCAAGAATCCAGCAAAGGCCAATTGATACAGAAGGAAACCATGAAGAGCATTGACCGTGCAGCTGTTCTTGTGGAGGCACTTGGAAATATGATAGATAATATCCAAGGTAAATCTGTGTTTTGTCTTGGTTCATCTAAATGGCGAGAACAAAATGGCAAGACTGCCAATGGACAAAAGTCATCACAGGAGCAATACAAGTACGGGAGAAGTAATCAGGCTTTCTTGTACCACCCCAATACATTTTTGTGCTGAGAGAAGGAAAATAGCTGTGCAAGCTATACATTGGTCTCACAGTTGCTCCTACCAGCTGTGCGGATGAGTGTCGGATGAAGTTTCCTGTGTGTATTGAAACAATACATTCAATTTCCTGTGTAAGAGCAGTGATAATGTGGCTACAGTGAGGGTGTGACAGGAAGTGAAAAAGGCTCCCTGTGCTGATGCCAATCAGCAGTCCACCAGAATGTTGTGGTTTGTTTCTTTCAAACATAGGGGGAAATGCCCAAGTCCTGTCTAGACAACTCTTAGCAAACTTAAGTATTTTGACTGAGATCTTTGAGATCATTTTGTCTACGTAGCCATCAAAATACCAGTTGTTGGTCCCCCCCCCCCCACATTTATTATTACTTTATCAGAATACAAACGGGAGAACTAGCTCTGAGTTTCTGAAAGAATAGCACAATCATTTGGGGCTGAAAAAGAAACAAACTGCAAAAAAGAATTTAGAGCTGTTTTCCATTTGTAACCAAATACAATAGATGTTAAATTATTAAATCTTCCTGCTGCCCTGGGACTTATAAAACTGCTATTTATTCATACTAGCTTATTGATCAAGAGAGATAGCATAAAAGCAGCCCCCTGAAAGCATTGCAACTTTGTACAAAAGAGGCACAAGTTCCATGCCACTGGTGTATCGTGAAACGTTTGCTACCAACTACAAATTCTGCATAATCCAATGTTCTTATAAATGCAGGTTTGCAATTCCAGAAAATGAGTTGTTACCAACAAATGATTTTTGCAACCGGCCAAAAGGCTGTTTCTACAATACAGAGAAAGAAAACCACATGGGCACAAGAGTTGGGTACCCTAAAGGACATCAGGGGGAAGGGACTATAAACATATCAATAAAGATATGAAACATTCAGGGTCTTGTCAGAAACCCATGATTCAAGGGGGCTTGTGTAGTTATTTGTTCAATCACAATTCATTATTGCTATATCTGCCTGGGATTTGTTCACAGAAGTCAGCAGCAAGGTGGAATACTATGGCATTGAACATGACCTGAGGCCTGAGGATATCATTCAGAAGCTCAAGGCAGCAGAAGAAATGGTGAAGGACATCAAACGTCGCAAGCCATTCACTATTCAGATACCACTTGCATATGAAGAATCTGATGCAGCGCAAGAGTGTGAGTTTTCCTTCTGTCAAGACAGTGTAATGTGGCATTGGAAAAGCGCAGTTGCATATTGAAATACATACTCACAGATCTTTATGAGTGTCAGCCATGATGGCACCAATTAATTCAAAATCATATGCAATTCATATAAAAGAGTACAGTCGTACCTTGGATCCCAAACGCCACAAACCCGGAAGTGATTGTTCCGGTTTGCAAACATTCTTTTGGAACCTGAATGTCCGATGGGGCTTCTGCGGCTTCTGATTGGTTGCAGAAGCTTCAAAGTTCACACTTTTCTGAATTTTGCAATGCAATTCTCCAGCCATGTAATGTGTACAATATTGTAAAGTGCATATAAAAGCATATATTCATCAAAATAATATTTAAAAATGCATTCTATGGGGGGGTTCTGCAGAAATGTGTACATTAGGCAAAATTGCATCCAGAATATATAGAAATAGAAATACTTTATTGTCACTGTACCACTTGTTTACAGTGAGATTAAACGAGCCCCCCACAATCTCTCAGTCCTTGTTACACTCTGTGTGCTGTCGTACGACCACCAACCCCGAATATAGTTTATTAGGATAAATTTGTCCTGAAATGCTAATGAATTTTTACAATTAAAAAAATAGTAATTGCAAACAGATATGGAAATGTGAAGAACTGAACTGAAATGAGAAAATGAAAGAAATTGGCAACAGTTTGTTCATCCCTAACCATGTGTGGCTAAACTTGCTGCAGAAACCAAGAGTAAGGCCATTCACAATGGTTAACCAGCTTTATCTTCTCTTAGTGCTAAAAGAAGTGGAAAAGTGGAGACAGACATACAATGAAACCAGATCTCTGATACCTGTCGTTTTGGACCAGCTTGGGGATTACAACACCAAGCTTGCAGATTTGCAGAAGGCCCTGGACCAGGCTGTTGATGACATTAAGAAAGCAGAAGCTAGAAATAAAGAAAGCACCGCCACGTTCCGAAGGCAGGAGGTACCATGCAGTATATTGCACTGTGAATCTGTGAAGAACATTCCCCTCCTCCTGCCCTGATTAGGAGAGTGGGAAAAGAGGATGGTGATTTCAGGAATTGTTTCCTTTCCCAGCATGATTCCAAAATCTGCTCCAGAGGTTGGAGTAAACCACAGAGCAGATTTAAGGGTCACGCCCCCCTGCGTGGACAGAGGGGAGGGAGGGGAAGTACAGCTAGAGGTCCTTGCACTGGTGGAACTGTTTAGCTGGATGCTGCCCTATGCGTTTTGTTGCTGCCATGTTTGGCTGCAGAAAAGATCATATACAAAATGGGTTTCTCTTGATATGAAATGTACAAAGCCCTGGCTATAAATGTGCACATTTATGCACTTCTTTGCCCTGGTCTTTGAAAATTGAAGAACAGATTTTGGTGTCCTTCCTGTGAGGTGTTGTAAGGTATCATTTTTTTATTGTGTTTATTGTGTTTTCACATGATGTAACCTGCCCTGGGATTTTCTGGTTAAGGGTGGGTAAGTAAAACTACTATTGCTGCTACTGTACTACAATGAGGCCAGTAACAACTCAGGAAAATACACCATCTACCTTTCTTCCCAATCCACTGCTTTTTCAATCTTCTTTTTCTATATTTCAAGTCTTTTCTCAGAAATTGCCTAAGATATATTAGCTGTTTCAAGTCTTATTTCAGAAAGTCGTGTGTGTTGCTCTTGGCAGAGTTACTGAATGTCTAAAAACAGACTGTGCAAAAATGACCTGCCACAATAGGACTCATTTAAACTATCTATTATCTGCTCTCTTTTAAAATTCCATTTTTCTTAATTCAGAACCTCCTAATAACCTCAGCTTCCAAATTTTAATTGGATGACAGAAGTTCAGCAGTGCATTTTTAGGATAGATCAAAGCCACTAACCCAAAAGAACATAATAAATGTATCCAACATTTCTGGGAGCTTATTCATTTCATTCATTCATTCATTCATCTATTTTCTCACAGAAGCAACAAGAAGTAGTGGAGGCACAGATTAACAGTGTCAACAGTACCCTGCTGCAGGCAAGAGATATTTTAGATGTACCTCAGCAACTCAACTTGGAACTGAGTGAGGCAATCAAGGTAACTTCCTTGTGAATGACACATTCCTCACTGACCTTAATCAGAGTTAAGAAGAAGAAGAAGAAGAGGAGTTTGGATTTGATATCCCGCCTTTCACTCCCTTTAAGGAGTCTCAAAGCGGCTAACATTCTCCTTTCCCTTCCTCCCCCACAACAAACACTCTGTGAGGTGAGTGGGGCTGAGAGACTTCAAAGAAGTGTGACTGGCCCAAGGTCACCCAGCAGTTGCATGTGGAGGAGCGGAGACTCGAACCCGGTTCCCCAGATTACGAGACTCTTAACCACTGGCTCTCACCAGTGTTGCATCAGCACCAGCGTTTCCCATGGTTAACGTCAGTGCTTTTTTTTCTAAAAAAATGTTTAGGGGTACTCTCATTTCCCTACTCATATTGAAATACTGCCCCTCAGGGGTATGTGTACCCCTGCGTCCCCCCATAAAAACGCACTGGTTAACACTACCCAATTTTTCTTTTCCAGCGTTTGCTAACCAGCTTCAAATATTGACTAAGAGTAACTTCCCCAAATGGGACGCGGGTGGCACTGTGGGTTAAACCACAGAGCCTAGGACTTGCTGGTCAGAAGGTCGGTGGTTCGAATCCCTGCGATGGGGTGAGCTCCCGTTGCTCGGTCCCAGCTCCTGCCAACCTAGCAGTTCGAAAGCACCTCAAAGTGCAAGTAGAGAAATAGGTACCGCTCCGGCGGGAAGGTAAACGGCGTTTCCGTGCGCTGCTCTGGTTCACCAGAAGCGGCTTAGTCATGCTGGCCATGTGACCCGGAAGCTGTACGCCGGCTCCCTCGGCCAATAAAGCAAGATGAGCGCCGCAGCCCCAGAGTCGGTCACGACTGGACCTAATGGTCAGGGGTCCCTTTACCTTTACCTTTACCTTCCCCCATAGCATTAATCATGGTCAACAGCAATGCCCAGAAGCAGCTCACCAGGTGGGGCAGAGTCACTGCACTACCTTCCTAGTTAGTGGGATGCTGTTGCTTAAAGGGTGGGAGAGGAGAGGCAATGGGGATGTTGGTGCTGTGCAAATGTACTGGCAAAGCCCATCCAATGCTCCTTCTAGTACACTTGTACCATGCCAACCTCCCTACCGCCATACCTCTTTCCCTCCTGGTAAGTATTAACAACACACCTGCTGGGAAAATAGTATCAATTTCTAGAAATATTAACCTTGAATTACTTTTCCCCACTCTGTACTCTCATTTGAACAGAATGCATCAGGGTTCTATGCAGAAATAGATGGAGCTAAAATACAGCTACAGGACAAACTGGCCAACCTCTCAAGGTTTGATGGTGATTTGGTGCAAAGGGCCATGGAATATGCACAAGAGCTTGGTGTTCTTGCAGATCAGCTAGACAGGTAAACTGCCATCAGTTAATATATATTAATATATCATATTAACTGTGCTCTATAAATCAAACAAATGAGCACAATTCAGCCAGCAGCCTAGTTTGCTACCATGGCTTCATGTGACTCCACGAGTATGTAGGCTCCCAGAGAGGAGTTCGCTGCCATTTTGGTCATTTTGCTCCTGATGTGCTGTCTCCAAGACTTGTCCTAGATTTTACAAACCTTGTGGTTTGTCCATAAGTCCAGGTTCCAGCAACATACTCATGGCTTAGCTCAGCGTGGTGCAGCAGCAAAGTGACTGGGGAGAAGCAGCTATTGCCTCTTCTCCCAAATCTTGTGTATTCATGCTAAGCCATGATTTGCCTGACTGTGATGTGTAAACCAGTACAATGTGAAGTGCATTTCAGCCTTATGGAACAGAATTAAATGTGTGGTTTACTCTCCCACTGAAAACAGTGGAACTTAAAAGTGCTTTGCTTTGGCTGGATTGTGTCCAATGTTCATAAAAGGATTGGCTGGTTGGAAGGAAAGTAGAATATAGCAATACAGTAATTGTACTTTGCATTATAGTCTTTTCACCACTGTGCTATGTATACCAGCTCTCAACATAGGGTCCAACTAGATGATCAAATCCACCATTGTATTTTTCTTTCCTTCAAAGCAGCTGTTTAGAAATAGTCATCACACAGTTTTTAGTGAATATCCATTTCACTTTCCAAACCATAAAAAGTCCAATTCTTTTCTAAAGTGAGTTTGCTGCGCTATAACAAGAGTCCTTTAATCCACTTTAACTGTGCAGACATAAAGTTCCAGTGTGCAGATGGACCTCTTCTGCAAAATCATGACAATCTGGAGGCAGGTTTAGTATTTTTATTGCAAATAATGGGTTTCAAAAAGGTAGGTATATCTCCAATCCCTGTTCATGGACAGATTCAGCAGCAGCTCTGCAACTGATACTGCAGCTGACTTGTGCAATGCTGAAACTGAGCTGCTGGTGAGATCTGTACTCACCTTTTAGCATGTGCGTGTGCCATTACTGAGCACTAAATAAGTGCACAAAATCACTGTCTCTCAATTAGTTGATTCAGCTCTGGCAAATACTCACCTGTTTTCACCTGTAAGTAATTCAGATTATTATTGTTATTGTTATTTCTCCTTTGCTGTAGGACCTTGCATGGTGTTGATACAAACGGATTAGTCCAAAAAGCATTAAATGCTTCCAATGTTCATGAAAATATCATTAATTACATTCACGAAGCCGAACAAATCTCTACCTTGGCATTAAACACTACAGAGCGGGTCGGTGATGTAAGTAAACCCTGATCTATGCTCCATGACCCTTGTATCATTGGGATGAAGCAAAATTTCCAGCGCCTGCTGAAAACTCTTTTATAGAATTTTTCACATGTAATGTCTAATTATTAGGCTGCATACAAAACACACCAGCAATCATGTGAATGTTATTTTCCATAACTATTGCCCAGTTCACCAAATGAGAAGAAATACATTTCAGTCTCAGTCTCTGGTATAATTCTTTTTGGAGCCATTTTCTAATTTTTACTGCAACAATTCCATAATTTCTGTATACTTGCAAAAGTTACAATAGGCTAGATTCAGAGCACCCATGAGTGGAACCTGGGTTGCAGAATGCCTTTGCTGGGCAAAGTGGAGTTAGAGACTTTTTGCCAATTTCCCATCCAGCCCCTTTAAAAGTAAAGGGCCAAACCACATGTCACATTCAAGCTCCCAATGTAAATTTTCTTTAGTAAAATCAGCTGTATGGGCTGCCTGATTTGGATATGGCTGTGTCAAAGGGGAAGGGGCGGTCTGAGTCTTTTTTTTTAATATAATTTTTATTAACAGGCCAATCAAATCACATTATTTCCAAATCACATTAGTTCCAAATTATACAGCCAGATTTTAAAATTTTTGTTGGGGGTACCCATACTTCAAGCTCCGAACAGGGGTCCAAGCATCACTTATATTGCTGCTTTAATGAGACAGTTCTATCCAGTTCTGTCCAGATAGTCTCTTTGTTACTTTCCTCATCTTCTTGTTGTTATCATATATTCCTTTCTTTGCGATCTCTGATAATCTTCACAAGCGGGTTGAAAACAAACATCCTCTGTGTGGATTTTACACTCTCCAAAAATCATATCACATAGGGACAGACGCCATTTCCACAACTCCGTAAAGAACTTTCCCTCAGTCTGTCCGTTGATTTTCCCAGGCTTGCCAAACATATCTCAGAGGGCTCTGCCAGGTCTAGATCAAATTCCGATCACCATTCACATTCCGATGACCCTGGTCCTCCTCCCCCCGTCCTTCTTAGGCAAGCCTGTCTTGGCGAGACACCATTTAAAACTGCGTCATAAAACTTTTCTCCGTTCTCCGATGTTTACCAATCCTCTCTTTGATCCATAATTCACTCCACACAGTTCTTAAATTCCTGCTTGTGATTAATAAATTGCAACGATTCTTCTCTCTGGGGTGGAGGGTTATTAATACTCACATAAGGCAAAAAAAGAAAAGTTTTTTCCTCCACCCCCTTTCCGTTTCACTCCAAACATACCAGTCTTTAAATGGTGATTCATCACTTGATTTATTTGTCCCGCCCGTCGCTCCGCTCACAGAGATCCATTAATCAGCAGTCTTTACACCCGATCTTCGCTTGATGTATGTGCTTTAGCTTCTTTCCAATTATATATTTCGAGCTAAAGCGAACCAGTGCGCTGATTGGAGACAGCGTCAGGAAGAGCCGACTTCACCCGAGGGCTTGTGCCAAGTGTCCGACCCCCTTCTTTCGAATCCGGGGGTGAATTATGGACACCGCTGGCAAGGCAGTCCCCCCCATCTCCTTGGGGGGGCGGGAAGGCTGCATACTTCCCATAGCAGCTTCTTAATTACCTCGTGTGGGTCGGAGAGATGTTATTGTCAGCCATCTTCCAATGCGCCACCTGGTGGCGGGGCGGATCTGGGAATTCAGATCACTTACCTTAAACTGCTATACATGGGACTCAGCTATACAACTGCAAATAAAAAAATTTAATGTGTCGTAAAGTGCAATATACAAGAGTGACACTAGATGGCAACAGTGAGCTATGCTAAATTCAATGTATTTTTCAAAACTTTTTAAAAGCATTTTCATAACGTTTTGTATATGTGTGTAGATTCCACCATGGTTATGGGCTTAATAGCAATTTGTGCTTCATAACTTTCCACTATCTGTTGCAGAAATTACGAGGGGGGGGAGGGAGAGAATGAGGAGAGAAGGTTTTTTGCTTGTGGCTCTATGCCTGTGGAATTCTCTCCCTAGGGAGATACGTGTAATATCTCTACTGAAACGAAACCCTTTTTTTATTTCAAATTGAGTTTTATTTTAACTGCTCCTTTTTTAGTGTCATTTTTAAATGTTTGGGTTAGGTCATAGTTTTGACATAAGCTGCCTTTTGGGGAGGGGTTGCTCTGAAAAGGTGGCATAGAAATCCTGAACATCAGAAGAAATAAATGAGGTTTTATTCTGACTCTCTTTCTAAAATGAATTTGTAGGCTGTTGTTGGAATTGGCACCCAGATCACTTACCATAAAGAAGAAAGCAAAAAAGTTCTCAATCAAGCCAGCGATCAGGAGCAGACGGCACATGCTAGTAAATATAATCCTGTTTCTTGATTTGGACACTTCTCTGGAAGTATAATAGCTCTGCATATGGAAAGGGAACATCATGAAGAATGAAAAATGTTGACAGGAGAGAATTAATCATTATATCCCACTGAGAATTCTGTAATTCAAAAGCTTGTCTATTTTCAGTAGAACAGAAGCTGGTCTAATAAACACTCATTACTTTATCCGTTTTGTATCTCTTGTTCTCTGGGACCTGCACTGCAACAAATGTCTGTACAATTACCAGGCCATATAGAAGATTTACAGGATGCTAGTACTTCTTTTTCTGAAACTTAAAACTATGGAAATTACTGCTTTTAATCTGTCAGAAGCAAATGCTTTTCACATTTGTAGTGCATTATTTTTCTAATGTAAATGTGCTGTCACCTAGCTCAAGAGAATACCATCTGCCAAATTCTTTTTAAGAGGTCCCTGAAGACAATTCAGTATTCCATCAGGAATTGTTGCTGGGCACTGACAAGGAGACTATTGAGAAAGCCAGACTACCTAAATGTGTGTCATTAAATATCTCCTAATTAAATATTGTCATGATTAGCACCGGTTATACATACGGTGGAGTGCCTTTTTGATAAAATTAATACTAAGACTAGATGTAAACTGTTTACAATGATAAGCCACAGTGAGCCACAGTGAGCATTGAGGTTGCATGCTTCTAACATCCTATTCTGGAATTGCCACAAGAAAGAGTTTAGAAACTTTGCTGCCTTTTAAGACTAACCACAGCTTGTGGTGACATCCAAATTTAGGCAAACTGTGGTTAGTCATGAACTGTGGTTAATTGGGAAAAGCTGACTTCGAACCATGGGTTATGAACCTCACTTGTTTTCACTAACCATAGTTAAAATTACCACAGGGATTGGATATAGCACTAAAACTGTGGTTAATCTAAAATGAAAGCAGAAGCGTTTGATCTTATTGTCAAAGCTGCACTGGAAGAGGGGAGGAAGGAAACCACGAGGCTTATTGCAGTTCATCCTAATAACATGATTTAGCACATGTGTGAACTCGGTCTTGAGTCCGCCATAGTGGTAAAACCGTTCCTTACATTTTATTTCTCCTTTACAGATTATTTAGCTGTTGCTGACGCAGGTCGCCGTGTTAATGGAACTGTTGCCAGAAAGAATAATTGGAAAAGCTATTTGCTGAAAGTCATTTCAAAAATACAGATGTCAGAACAAGGTCAGGAGATAAATACTGAAAAATTTAATCTTGTGAAACTGATTGAAGAAGAAATTTATACTAGAAATCCCCTTAGTGATTATGTCAGGAAGGATTTAAATCAAATCCTACTTTTGCTGATTCTTTTCAATAGTTGAATCACAAAATTTCCTTCAGATTTGTTGTGTTTGTTGGATCTCCTCCATAAAGGTAATTGTTAATTCTATTCACAATTGATTTTGGCAATCTTTGCAATGTTCAAAAGGGTTAAGCATGGTGCAAGGCTGCCAAGTTACTTAGATACTAAAATACATTTTAGTGCCCATGCAGAAATACCCCTGAATGCCTACATAGCAAATAGCTGGCATAAGTTATTTAGAACAAACTGAAAATCACATATAATGTAGCAAAACATCTCTGCCCATCCTGACTCACACCTCTGTTTTCAGTGTGTATGTGTGTCTGCAAGGGGAGACAAAGTTGTATCCTATGGTAGCTTTGCCGTAATAGAAAGTATAGAAAAATAGGAAGTTGCCTTTAACTGAACTTGAACTTTTTGTCAGTATTGGCTGACAGCAGCTTTGTAGGATTTCAGGCAGGGGGTCACTCCCAGCCCTTCCTGGAGTAACATGGGGGACCTCTTGCATGCAAATCAGAACATCTAACAACAATAAAATATTTGAGGCAGCCAATTTTGGCCATTTCTCTCCTTGCTTCTGCATCCCTCTCTACTATATCTTGTTCTGTTCTTGGTTTCCCCACCCCAGCCTCCACCCCAGTCCTCAGGTTCAAATTTTTAGTGATTTCTTACTATAGAGAATTCCCCCCTCCCTCTGTCATTACAGTGTATCTATCCTATCTACTGGCTATTAAGAGTCATTTTTTTGCTTTTGTTCTTTTAACAGATAATGCAAGACAACGTCTGAACCAGTTGAAAGTCATTACAGATCAAGCTCTAGATACTGCTGCAGCAGTAACGCAGACTACTAGTCCAATGGCTGAGAATGTAAGCAAATGGTCCCAAGACCTGAAGAACTTTAAGCCTGAAAGAGCAGCCTATGAACGTGCCACAGTCACAACAAGGGATACAGGTACGGTGATGGGAAACACTAGGATGCAAAATGGGTACCAAAATTGGTGGGATCTTGGAGGGCTGTACCCTCCCAACCCCACCAGTTGTTTTTTTTGGGGGGTAGCGAAGAGAAAAGAGAAGAGAGGTCCAGAGAGTGGCAACACAAGCACAGGCCTTCTCTGTAGTGGCTCCCCAGCTGTGGAATGCTCTCCCCAGGGAAGTTCGCCTGGCGCCTTCATTATACAACTTTAGGCGCCAGGCATCCAACACCCTTTTAGAATGTGGCTTGGGGGGGTATTGGGTTATTGCTTTTGGTTTGATTTTATATGTTGTGGTCTTGTTGTGAACCACCCTGAGACCTCTGGGTATAGGGCGGTGTATAAGTTGAATTATTATTGTTGTTGTTGTTGTTGTTGTTGTTATAATAAAATAATTGAACCCTGCAGTGGGAAATGCCCAGCACCCTGATGGGACGCAAATCACCTCCTCTCTGTTCATGAGATTTCATATCTGCCTCTGTGTGTGCACAATGAGAGGTTGTGGAGTGGCTTGAAGGCTCAGCCAAGGGTGAATGTTGACTCAGATCAAGAAACATAGGCAGTTTATTATAGCACTAGCAGAAGAAGCACAACAGTAAAAATGTCCTTTAGAAAACATGTTTAGTTCTTTTCTTACATTTATATCTCACTTTGCCCCTTCATGCATTTCTCACAGAAATACAAGTACATCATTGTTATCCAGTCATTTCTATGGGTCTGTGGCATATTTCATTTTGGAGCCAAATTGCTGTAGTTTTATTGGATTTTAGAATTACTTTAAATATTGTTACTGTCTGAGAGCATGAACTATTTTCATGCTCCTTAGGGATAAAATGGCAGCTACAAAAATAATGTATAAATTGTTATAGTGGACAAATCTTGCTTGTAACAAAGAATAAAGAGCCACTGCTATATAATATTATTCATATATAGATAGGTTACAAACACCTCAGGTTACAAACACTTCGGGTTACAGACTCCGCTAACCCGGAAGTAGTACCTCGGGTTAAGAACTTTACCTCAGGATGAGAACAGAAATCATGTGCCAGCAGTGTGGCGGCAGTGCGAGGCCCCATTAGCTAAAGTGATACCTCAGGTTAAGAACGGTTTCAGGTTAAGAATGGACCTCCGGAACAAATTAAGTTCGTAACCAGAGGTACCACTGTATAGATATAGCAGTGCTTCTTCTTCACTCCTTGCTGCAAGTAAGATTTTCTTGTGTTTGTGAGTTCAAGGTTAGAAAATGTACACAGAAGAACCTTTTAATTTTTCACAGAATGGAATCATTACTTTCTTCCCCACCCTCTTCTTTCCTTTTCCATGACAGTGAAGAGTCTCACAGAAGTTGTCCCCCAGCTGCTAGATAAGCTGCGGACAGTGGAACAGAAGTGGCCCGCAAACAATGTCTCCGCCAGCATTCAAAGGGTCAGGGAGCTCATTGCACAGACAAGGAGCGTAGCCAACAAGGTAAAGAGGCTGCTGGAAACTTTATGTGTTCAAATAATATAGTAGGTTATTTATTACAACATCTCCTAAATTTAAACTTGGTGTTCAGTTATATCATCTAAGCTGGATGACCCTTGGCAATATAGCAACTGTTAACAGTCTGAATGGTAGGTAAAAGGTAAAGGTAAAAGACCCCTGAATGGTTAAGTCCAGTCAAAGGCGGCTATGGGGTTGCAGCGCTCATCTTGCTTTCAGACTGAGGGAGCCAGCCTTTGTCCACAGACAGCCTTCCGGGTCTTGTGGCCAGCATGACTAAATCACTTCTGGTGCAACGGGACATTGTGACAGAAACCAGAGCACACAGAAACGCCATTTACCTTCCTTCCACAGTGATACCTATTTATCTACTTGCGCTGGTGTGCTTTTGAACTGCTAGGTTGGCAGGAGCTGGGACAGAGCAACGGGAGCTCACCCCGCCGCAAGAATTCAAACCACCAACCTTCTGATCAGCAAACCTAAGAGGCTCAGTGGTTTAGGCTACAGCGCCACCCGCATCCCTCCTGAATGGTAGAATAGCATTGGTACTGTAGTTGGTACTATAGTATGCTAATGTTTACTGCCACAAACTCTAGGAGACCTCCAGGATGCCCAGAGCTGGAGGGCAACTGGAGACTATTGTCCTCATGTGATTCTTATTGGTTTCCGATGGCATCTGGTTGACCACTTTGGAAAAACAGGATGCTGGACCACATCGACCTTTGATCTGGTTTAGTGGGGCCTACACACACACACACACACACACAAATAATTTGTCATGAAGTGCGTTCCAACTTCATGACAAATTATTTGTGTGTGTGTGTGTAGGTGTAGGGTCATATTTGACTAAGTCATACTCAAAGTTAGACCCACTGAAATTAATGGACATGACTCATAATTTCAATGGGTTTACTCTGAGTATGAGTTTGCCAAATGGGTCTAAAGCTTTTCTGTTGCACCTTTATCAGAGAGGAAAGAGTGGCAATGTTGGAAAAAAATGTTTTCAAAAAGACATTTAAATCTGCAGATTGAAACCCATCACAGTGCTTTCCATCCACTTTTATTTGTTTAAGGATTTATGTCCCACATATAAATTAAGGATTTATATGTGCAGCTAACAAGACAAAAAAAATGCTGCATGGTATACATTAAAATGAATTCTGATGAATAAATGAATACTTTGGGGTGGGTGTCCTCACATTCATTATAGTCTTACACTAATGCAGCTCCACTGCATATATTTTACACCTGAAGTACATGAGTGTGAGACCAAAATGCAGCCCTCTTATATTCAAAGCAAAATACTAATTGCTTTTAATAATATAAATGGCACTGGATTTTTATTTTTTTCATTTTAGAAAATTTCACAGGGCTGGATATCAGACTTCTCACAAGCAAAGTTTTGCTAATAAATACCCAGTTTCCCTTGATTTCTCTTTCTTCCTTCTGCACCCCCAGGAAAGCTAATCCAGATGGTTGGGAGGCCTTCCAGAACAAATGGGAGGTGGTGCTGGGGGCTGCAGGAAGAATAGGGAATCAGTGAAAATTGCTTTCTCTCCCCCACCCCCTTCCATATGCAGGCAGTCTACTGTATTGCAGTCCTATCTACAAACAGAAGACCTTTCATTCATGGAAAACCATGTCTGGATCCATCCCATAGTTTATTAATCTTCTCAAATACTTTTTTACACCTCTGACTGTGGAATAGTGCATTAAAATGAATTAATGAATGATTTACATTTTCTAGTTTATTTTAGTTGTTAATCTCTCCCCACGCCCTCAAAACACGTGAGCCACCAAATCAGATATACCCGGTAGTTCATTAACTATGTATCATGCTGTTATAAGGTGTAACTGTTGCCTGTGATTTTTGCAAACTGTCCATAATCTTTGTCTCTAAGGTAAGCATAAAATCTAACACATTTTATCTTCTAGGTTCAAGTCTCAATGTCATTTGATGGTCAATCCGCTGTTGAAGTCAATCCCCAAACAAACATGGAAGACTTAAAGGCTTTCACATCTTTGAGTTTATACATGATGCTTCATAAGGACAATGCAGAGCGGACAACACCTCAGGATCAGTTTATTCTGTATCTAGGAAATAAAAATGTAAGCATCATTTAATTGTTCTCATAGAAAATGCACTGTTTTATGAATTGTGTGATTTAGCATTTTTCATAAGTATGGTTCTATTTTTTAATGAGATTTTCATAACAGCATGAACAAAATTATTGATTTTTCAAACATCCTGTGAACAGATTCTCTTTCCATATTCTTCATTGTGCTCTCCAGTCTCTCCAAATAGCAAATTACATCATCTACTATGGTGTGATACTGAGCTTCCACATTTCCAATCAACTCTCCACAGACATTGAATATATTGAGGAAATGACTCCACTTTAGCTTTTAAGGTTCACATTCAATGAGCAGTAGATTGCTTGCAGTATATACATCAAGTGCTCCAGTTCAAAGATAAAGAGTGCTTATTTGCCTATTGACTGTAAGAGTTTGTGGTTTTCCTAGCAAACAGTAATGGCCTCCCTTGTGCCCCCAGAAATCTTGTAGTCACATTCAGTAGCAAAAGATGTCCTAAAGGCTGCATTACAAATTCATAATAGACAGCTCTGAATACTATGCTGAACCAAATGTGTTGTCTGTAGCATATCTTGAAACCATTGTGACTGTCTATTTTTCATTCCTTCTCTAGACAAAAAATTACCTGGGTCTTGCAATTAAGAATGACAACTTAGTATACATTTATAATTTGGGTAGCGGTGATGTGGAGATACCGCTAGACTCCAAGCCAGTCAGCTCCTGGCCTGCCTACTTCAGCCTTGTTAAAATAGAGAGGTAATATGATCTTGACCTGCTACATGTTTAATGTGGTTGGATGGGTTGAATAGAATGGAGATGAAATGGGAAACATTGTTTTAAAAAAACTTACATTGTGGAGTAATGCTTAAAGGTGTTAATTGTACCTTTTGAACAAACTGATAAGATGACAACCACCCCTTAATTATCATCAGCACTTACTGCTTCAGTACAACAGTCCCCAGGGGAGGAGAAAGAATGTAAGTTTGGAAAAGTTTCCATTCCTTTTTCTGATCACCATATATGCTAAAAAGTGGGGGGGAAACATTCATCCTGATTTGCTTGCGGCTTGTATAAGCACCTTCCCTTTAATTCATTCATTCATCCAATACTTTTCAATGCATCACCATTACCAGTCCTAGCCTGGCCTGATCTTAATATCTGTTCCAAAGAGATTGAAGTCTTGTTTGCATAAACCAGATTCAGACTTTAACTCATGTTTGTTAACATAGTTTGCTACATCCACAACCCACTATCCCAAGATTACACCCCTTGTCTATATGTACATCAATGGTGAGGGTGCTAACCATCTTGCGTCATTGAGAGATTAATTGTGTTCCTTTGTGTCCTGTGGCAACCCAGAAGTACCAGAATGGGTTACTTCCAGGTTTTGCCGCATGCGCAGAAGTGCTAAATCATGCTTTGCGCATGTGCAGAAGCGCCAAATCGCACCACGCAGATGCAGTGCTTCAAGTTGCAGGCTTTTCACTTTACGGACAGGCCTCCGGAACGAATCCTCTCCACTGTAGTTAAAACCACTAATCTCGCTGCAGATTGATTCTTTCTTTTTTTGTCTCATAAGCAGCTTGGAGGTTGAATTGAGTTTTCAAGTGTTAGGCTTACTCATAATATCTGAGAGGAAGACCACTTCTGAATATTCTGAAATGATTTTTCTACCTATAGAACTACAGCTCTTCATTTCCAAAGAAACAAAATTGAACAAGAACATGATCTAGAATCTGTAGTTTAGTTCTTCCTTTCGAAGTCTAGAATTTCAGACAACTGTTGCTTTTGCTGCTGACTTCAAAAATATTAACTTAAACTTTACTTTTTGTTTTTGATTGTTTAACAAGTCTTTTGTAATTCAGCTAGCGAATATGACCTTGGGTCCAATTTCTCACCCTACTCTTCTTCAATAGGATTGGGAAGCATGGCAAAGTGTTTCTAACTGTACCAAGTCTTAGCAGCACAGCTGAGGAAAAGTTCATCAAAAAAGGAGAAGTCCCAGGTGATGATGCGCTGTTGAATCTGGAACCTAAAAATACAGTTTTCTATGTTGGTGGAGTGCCTCCAGATTTTAAGGTAAGCAGAACAGGATGGAATAATTATTAAGTTGGCACCTTTATCTTGGAAATACCTTTGTAGACAGCTGGTTTGTAATGTATTAAACAAATAAGATTTTTATGTTGTCACCTAAGTCTACCTTACAAAAAGCCTTTTTACAGATGCAGATTGGCTCACTATCTCATTTGGCATTGACTTGAACACAATCTATTTTGCTTCCTTCTCTCTACAGCTCCCTCCAAGCTTGGCTCTGCCTGGATTCACAGGCTGTTTGGAGCTTGCAACTCTGAATGATGATGTCATCAGTTTGTACAATTTCAAAAATATCTATAACGTCACTAAATCAGTACCCTGTGCCAGGTAAGGTGAACTGTATTCACTCTACTTCTCATGATGGAATAGATTTAGCTATATTGCATTTAGCCTAGTGGCCTGGTCACACGTGTATCTACTTGGCTTGATTGCGCATTGCAAGTTAGCAGGCATTAATGTGTACCTCTCATCAGCCATTAGTTCAGTCGACTCACTTCCTGTCCAGCATTTCTGAGACACCTGTCTATATAAATAGGAACATGGGCACCCACCTTATACTGAGTCAAACCATTGGCCCATCTTGCTCAGTAACTGACTAGCAAAGGATCTCCAGGGGTTTCAGGCAGGGAACATTCCCACTACTACCGGGAGATGCTAGGATAGAACTTGGGACTTTATGCATGCAAACTAGATGCTCTACCACTGAGCTACAGCCTTTCCTCTGATGATACCTGTACTACATTAGCCTTATTTTACAAAAATAAAAAATAAAAATCATATACAGCCCCCTCAGTTGATCATACTGATTTCTTAACTCCCTTGCCCACTTCACACGTTTGCAGATTAGTACAACAAAACGTGCAAGCAAAAATAATACAAACACTCCCAGGAAATTTTACATAAGGTAGCACTTTAAGTAAACAGTTTTACTGAATAATAATGCCTTGGCATTGACTATATTTCATTCAGGCCAACAACCTCGTTTCCAGAGTTCCCCTTTCAGTATTGCTTCGATAATAATCTTTCTAGGTTGGAGAATGTAGGCCTTCAGGCTTCTGATTTTTCTTCGCCTCTTTTCCTGTCCACCCTAGGAATAAGCTGGCCTTTACACAGAGCCGGGCTGTGAACTATTTCTTTGATGGCTCTGGCTATGCTTTGGTGAGGAATATTGAGAGAAGAGGGAGGTTTGGCTTGGTGACACGCTTTGATGTGGAAGTTCGGACACCAACAGATAATGGACTTCTCCTCCTGATGGTTAATGGAGTAAGTGAAATGAAAAGAAAAGAAAAATCCCTAAAAGTCTTATTTTTCATTTTACTGATCCCTAGTTTCCAATTCCTAGTTTCCAATAAAAATCATAGTGGGGTCATCCTTGGTCTTGGCATTTTTCTGGTAGACTCATAGAAAAACTAAAGATTGAAGATATTAACATGCCTACAACCATTAGTTCCTCTGACTGAGAGGTCATCTAAGCAAAGAGAAACTTGTTTAAGAACATAAATAGATGGTTGTTGTGAGTAGAAAAGCACATCCACTTGTGCAAGATTGTCTCCTTCTATTGCAGTACCTACACCCAACATTATGCTGTTCCAAAAGATGGGTGAAGTGGACAGGAGAGGGTGTTGTTGCATAAAGGGAACTACGCTCGTGCCTCACTTACAGCTATAAATTTAAAGTAATAGGCAGTTGTGCCATATATTGACAAACAATTTGTGAAACCTTATAAATACCTGAAATACAAATCCTCTCAGATAAATCTCACTGGTTTTGTGTGTCTGTTGTGCAGAGTATGTTCTTCAGCCTAGAGATGCAGAATGGGTACCTGTATCTACAGTATGACTTTGGCTTCCCCGGTGGCCCTATGATTCTCGACGATCATTTGAAGAAAGCTCTGATTAATGATGCAAAATTCCACGAGGTATATTGTTGTTGACTTTCTGAAATTTGCTTTTATTTTATTTTTTTAATAGTTACTGTATCGTCTTAGTATTATTATCACTATAGTGATTATTATCACTATAGTTATCTCCCTTAGGTGCTTTACACAGAAAGACAAGGTGTAATAATAAGAAATAAGTAAATAACTATAGATTATTGAGCAAAATAATGCAACATATTATATTAAGTACCAAAAACCTTTATTGAGTGGGAAATAACACAGTTTCCAAGAACAGGTTGAGTGAAGTGGCAACAAACTCTCTGAAAGACATGGTGACAATGAAACTGCAAACTGAGTATGTCTTCTTAACTACAGTTGCCAGGTAAGAACCGAGTAAGAACTCTGAGCCTTGTTTCTTTAGAAATAGGATCTTCTGAACACAAAACATACGGTATGCTTTAACCACTGCCCGAATGGGCCCTCTCCAGTCCACCAAAGTTACTAAGTATATCTGCAAAACAATTACAAATTAACAGTAAACAGACAATAAAGTGTCTTTCTCTCTTTTAAAAGTCCTCTTATTTTACAAATTTTTAATGCATCTTTCTAAAATGTAGTTATGTACTATATTTACTGTGGTTTTTAACTCCCTTTTTTTCAAATTTCAGATATCTGTTATATACCACAATTCCAAGAAAATGATCTTGTTGGTGGATAGGAGACATATCAGAAGTGTGGAAAACGAGAAGCAAAGCATGCCCTTTACTGATATCTATATAGGAGGGGCTCCTCCTGAGATTTTAAAATCTAGGTTGGTTTATAATCCACATTCAATCACCATTAAGGCTTCAGTAATTTCTCATTTTATATGTTGCAATGAATTTACTGCACCCACATTGCTAAATTAAAACATGTAACCCTGTGGGGAAAAGTTTTTATCCAATAGGACAAATTATATATGTAGGCATATTGTTTTGCAAACATTGTATATTTCATTATTTATTTAAAATATTTATACCCTGCCTTTTGGAGCAAGCCCTCACAAAGTGGTTTACAATTTGGAAAAAAGCAAGAAAGAATAAACCTAAGATATAGCAGTGCTATTAGCAGTGCTATTTTCTAGAAAAAGAGGTGCCAGAACTCACCTTATTCTCTTAGAAGGGCAATGGTACCCACCTGAAAGGTGCCTGAACCCACCTAAGAGATGCTGTAACTGAGTTCCAGCTGAAAAAAGCCCTGATTAAAAGCATATAAAATGGGCCAGCAATAAGACTACAAGAAAGCTTAGTAAAAAAAAAAAGAATAGTATTTGGGGTCTGTTAAAAGGCCACAAGAGGCAGGGTTCTGAAGATTTCAGGGAAAGGAATTCTGCAGGTATGGGACCACCACTGAAAATGCCCTGTCACTGATACTTACCAACCTGCTTGCCCTTAGTGAGAGGCCAGGCAAGTGCTTGCTGGCACCATCATAATAGGAACAATTGCTATTTCCAGATACATCACCGCAGCATTTAAGGCATGTTGATAGAGTAGGACTAGTGATTATCTTACTGCATTTCAGCCTTGATAGACTTCCCTAAGACAATTAATGTTCTACAATGTTCCAATGAGTTTAACGAAACTGCGGGAGGCAGTGGAAGACAGGAGTGCCTGGCGTGCTCTGGTCCATGGGGTCACGAAGAGTTGGACATTACTAAACGACTAAACAACAACAACAGTGTTCCAATGTGGTGTATCTAACCAGCAAGATGTTCTCTGGCAGGAACTGAGATGAGAATGGAAAGGTGATTGGAGGGAGGGGAAAGTAATAAAAGTGCTCTCCCCTTTTGACCATCGACCATCCTGCAAGTGGCAATGGACTACTCCCTGCATCAAACCACTGCTTACATCTCAGACAGAACCTTGTAGAATGGACATTCCTCACACAATATTTCTGTACCTATGACTGTGCATGCTGTGGTTTTGTGTAAGTAGTTAACTGGTTCCCTCTGAATAAACATTGTGTCTTCACAGTAGTATGAGCTCACATCTAGCCACCGCCACAGGCTTTAGAGGCTGCATGAAAGGCTTCCAGTTCCAAAAGAAGGACTTCAACTTGTTAGAGGAACCAGGAACTCTAGGAATTGGCTATGGATGCCCAGAAGAATCACTTGTAAGTATGATACACAGATCTTCTGTTTGTGTTTTTCAACATTTATATATTCTGATATTTTCCCCTATCTCTACTGAGTTTTTCCTCAGTTTTTAAAGTGCAAAGCATTATTATTTTTCTCCCCATCTGCTTATGATACTTAGGGGGTAGGAACAGATGATGTTCTCCAAACAATACACACAAAAAAAATAAATTACATTCTTTTAGAGTACAGAAATGGAAATGTAGTGCTCCTTATGTTATGGAATGTGGAAAGTAAATTTGAATTTGAAAAAACCCCAGTGTGGTAGGCCTCCAACAGTATGCACCCACTAAGAAATCTGAAAGCTTAAAAAATCTTTCTAGGCTTACTTCAGAAGACATATTTTAAACTAGCTTTTAATCTTCAGATTCGCATACTTGGCATAAACAAGTAAAGTACAAAAATGTATGATGCCAAACAGCAGAATTTCAGCTGCATAATTTTGATGAAACCAGAGGAGCCCCTTATGTAAAAATGTTTTGTGGCCTCAGAAAGGGAAGACACACAAACCATAAAGCAAAATACAAAACTGAACATAAATATGAGGGCAATTTCTCTCCATCAAGTAAAATTTCAGTCCCAAACAACTGACTTGTAGAATTATGAGTTGCATCTAATATTAGTCCCACACAGTGCAGACCCACTGAAATGAATGGACATGACTAACTAAGGTTCATTAATTTCAATAGGTCTAAGGCTAAGAAGTAAACCCTACACAAATCTAGAGTGGAGTCCCTAAGACGGTTATATGCCTCCTTCCAGCAACTCCTGCAGCCAAGCTGGTGCCAAATATATTCTGCTTTCATTTGGACCACAACAGCAAGGCTGAGAGGGGGGGGTCTTGTCGTCTGGGCGTCCCAGGACCGCCCTACTCACAGCTTAGGGAAGTCATTCTAGTGCTGCTAACACAGCAGTTTGACTTCATCCCCAGCGGCACGCTCCATTGTCTCTTGAGATGGGAGGATACCAGCAACAACCCTATGGGCAGGATTCAACTAATGAGTCCCAACAGCAGGTGCCCTGTGCAAGAACTAACACAATAGCTCTTAAAGGTCCCAGCCTTCTCCAGTAGTCTCCTGGAGCCTTGGGCATTTTGCAATCAGAAAACAGCAGTGCCACATCCTGGGGGTGGGGGTGTCCTGCACTGGCAGGTTTATCTGAGAGTGCTTCTTGCGCTGGCATGTGTGGCCTTCCAGTTCTGCTTCGGAGCCCTTGCTTTCATCCCTGACAATGGGGGATCTATTTCCAGGCCATAACACAGAGGTTCCAAGAGGGGTAGAGTATCATCCAAACAGTCCCTTTCTTCCACTTGAGACACAATTCATGAAGTACTGTTCAACAGCACTTAAAAGTGAGCTGTTCCCATGTAATAAGTGTTTGCAATATCCTATCGCAATGACATGTGAAACACAGGGGTTGCTGGACTTTTATGAACATGAAAACTTACACACCTGTGGCCTGCATATTCTGTTTCTTCTATTGTTATTTTAAAAAAAAAAATCTACAACTACCTCTGTTCTGTTTGTTTGGTGAGCAGATGTCCCGCAAAGCATATTTCAATGGAGAAAGCTACATTGCATCCAGCCAGAAAATCTCCCCCTTTAATGGATTTGAAGGTGGCTTTAATTTCCGAACTTTACAGCCTAATGGACTGCTCTTCTATTGCAGTGAAGGAGTAAGTAGAGTTTCCCCATTAAATATAATAAAAACCTGTGTTGTTTTTAAAGAAAATGTTGTTTCTAAATAGCTTTGTCAGTAGATATATTTCAGGGCAGCCTATGGGCTGAATGGCAGTGGCAATGACCCAGAGAAACTTGGTCAAAATAAAGTCCCATTGAGATTAGTGGAACATTATTCTTATTTCAGTGGACCTCAGTGCAACCAGCTTTTGCTAAATTGGGGCCAAAGTATTAAATTCTCCCTGAGACCTGACAGTAAGTGCAAATGTGAATGTCCTGTACATACAACCGTAGTTTAACTTTGGATGGAATTTATTTGTGGTCAGTAAATAACACCACTTTCAGACTTTTAAATGGTGGTGTTAAAAAATAAATAATCAAAGTGTGCATAGGTCTGGGCAACTGATGCTAAAAAATCAGCTGATCACCCAGAAGCCCAGTTCTATGTGTGAATTTCTTTGAGTAACTTTTCACAACTTCCTGGAAACTACCTTGCACATTCAGATTCAGTTAGAAGATTTAGCATAATAGTTGTTCAAAGGGGAAATGGCACCAGTCCAGATGAATTTGTTTATTTTAAACATTTACATCGAGCTGCCTTTCCAAGGCAACTTACATAAAACACAATGAGCAGGTTAAACAAGACATATCAAGCCATAATAAAAAAAAATGCATCAACGAATTTACAGCAGTGGGTGACAAATCAGCTGCAAAAGGCACTCTGGAATAAATAGGTATTGCATCATTTATGAAGAAGCAGAGTAGAAAGTGCAATTTCAACCCCCCTCTGAAATGTCAATCCAGAGCCCTGGGACAATTGCATTAAAGGAGCCACTCCTTGTTGCAGAGGCGGCCCTTCTCCTACCAAAGGACCCTTTCTGTTCTGCCTAATTCTCAACATGGTACATCTGAACAGCAGTTGTGAATCTCTGAAAGACTGTTAGGGTGGGGGGAGTGTGAGCACATATGCAGAACTTTTAGGTCCTTTTGGATCCCAGCCAAGAAAATGACCTCATTTCTTTCTCCACCCCACCCTCGCCATCTTTTTAAAAAATGCTATGATAGGGAAAATGCTTAAGCACTTAGAGACAAAACAGGTGTGTTTACAACATGAGGTTTTTTAACCCCACAATGCATTCACACACATCACATCCCATCCGTTTTGGTTCTATCTCAGTACGCTTACTTTGCTCAACTACATTACAAGAATTATTACTAACCGTTCCTTGACTTGTGGGTCTAATGTTTTTCTCTGTGTTTCAGTCAGATGTATTCTCTATTTCCTTGGAGAAGGGAGCTGTTGTTTTAAATGCTAAAGGAGTCAAAGTTCAGGCAGGAGAAAGATCTTATAATGATGGCAAAGCCCATTTTGTCATTACATCCGCCTCACCAGAAAGGTAAAACTATTAAAAAAACTATTTTTGTTTCGATACACATCTTATTACACTCACAGTTCATTACTCCACTTGGATATATTTATTATAATACAAAATGCACACTAATACATTCCACACTAATATCTTCTTTAAGAAGGTCAGCATGGAATAGATGTATCCCAAAACTAGTAGGAACACCCCAGCTCAGCAGAAGAGTATTACAGTATTTTTATTTAACACAATTAATAAAAAGCTCAGGTCCAGGGTACCGTTGGCCCTCCAGATGTTGCTGAACTATAACTCCCATGATCCCTGGACATATGCCCATGTTTGCCGAGCTGATAGGACTTGTAGTTCAGCAATATGTGGAGGCCCATAGGCACCTGCAATAGGTCAATATTCTGAATATGCAGCATAGGTATTAAATGCCTGGTATATCTTTGCGACATTGAAACTGGCAAGATGCTGTGTGGCAGTCCTGCCATGTTAGATCTGTTTCCACAACAGCAGCCCAGTGGTCACACACAAAGATTGAAAAATCAGTACGAAAGGAATGAGTGGGGGCATGGCATCTGCATGCTTTTTATTCAGCCATATCAAAACAATGTCACTCACATCCCTGCCACATGAAATATTATAAAAACTCAATGGCTTTTCAATTTCTGCATTTCCTTTGTCTGTGATGCTGCTGTAAGCATAGTGTTATAGTTAGGATTGCACTGTGACAATGATTTACAGTGCAATCCCACCTATCTCTACTCAGAAGTAAGTCCAACTAAATTCAGCGAGGCTTGCTCCCAGGTATTGCAGTTAAGATGTTTGTGACTTCAGTATTTCCAGGGGTTTTACCGAGCTGCCTCTCATTTCTGAGCACACTCGTGGTTTGATGGTGCCACCTAGTGACTCGTTCATCAAGTTCAACATCATCGAAATGGCTACGTTGCTTGGGTAATATATATTATCACATGCTGAATTTAAAAGACTCCGTGTAAGACGCATTATTTTGTTCTGCAGACTTGAGCTTTTGGTAGATGAAGAAAAGAAAAGTGTAGATAATTCAGCTTATGAAAGTGAGGAAAAGCCAGTGAGCACCAAGAAATTCTACTTTGGTGGATCTCCCATCACTACTGAGTTTGCCAACTTCACCGGGTGTATAAGCAACGCTTATTTCACAAGGCAAGTGCATTTCAACTTGTATATTTAGCTACTTGATGCATTTCTATACCACCGTTAATCCATCCTGGGGCAGTTTAAAACAAAAATAAAAGCAATTATAGCACAATAATAACAAATTAAAACACCATACCATGAACCACCAGTATTTCTCCAGCATTTGCGTATGTCAATTACAGCTGGTCTCACCTCATAGCCTAGTATATTCTAATGGCCTATGATGACACTGAAACCCCATTACAGTGGTACCTCAGGTTAAGTACTTAATTCGTTCCGGAGGTCCGTACTTAACCTGAAATTGTTCTTAACCTGAAGCACCACTTTAGCTAATGGGGCCTCCTGCTGCTGCCACGCCGCCAGAGCACGATTTCTGTTCTCAACCTGAAGCAAAGTACTTAACCTGAGGTAATATTTCTGGGTTAGCGGAGTCTGTAACCTGAAGCGTATGTAACCTGAGATACCACTGTAATTAATACTCTATGTACCTCCAAGGCTAGAGAGTTGCATAATAGAGAGCGCCACTACAAAAAAACCTCCATGTCTTGCATCACAGTGAGCCAAGCTCATTGGTGGGATGATGAAAAGGGGCACCCCTATAGATAGCAGCCCGGGCAAGCTGGTATAGAGATGTTCCTTCAACTATTTGGGTCCCGAACTCCTCCTGATGGATATATGGTTATTCTTCATCTTATCAATTTTTTATGTGTCATGAAAAACATATTTTCTGCTTCAAGTCTTTGGGAGACCTAATGGGCTGTCTTTTCCCGGGACTGCATTGGTTTTGTTTGTTTTGATACGCGTTGACTCCATGGTTGTGTGATATGTTGATATGTAGTATTTCCATGTAAGGGTATGTACTGCTCTGATAACTATTGAGTACAACCCCGGGGCATCATAGCTACAGAGGTGCAAAGAGCAGTTTCTGCCACAGAAGCTAAAGTAATGTCATCTGCTAAGAAACAAGATAAGAGAACAACAGTTACCCACTTGTTGTCAAACCTGCTTCAGATTCAGATTACTGCCTTAAGGCAAAGGAGCAAGGATCTAGGACCGCCCTGTATACCCCATGCAAGGAGCCAGGAGTTGTGTTGCACGGAAGAGAGAAAAATCAGATTCACCTGTGTCAATGGCAGCTTCTGCTGCATAGGCTTTCTGAGGATGTGATCATGTCTTTTGATAATAGAATTTGGATCTTGATACATCTTTTGAGTAATAGGATAACTAAAACAGAATAAATGAACCTGTTTTTCCTGGCAATGTTTTCAGTGTTAATGTCATTGCTGAAACCAGGCTCAAAGGATTGAGCAGTTATCCTCTTAATATTGGCCATTTTACCTACTGCTGTGTTTAAATTGTTTGGTACCCACCAAGAGCCTTCTAGGATGGGACAGGATTTTAAAATGTAATGAGTGCATTAAAATATATGCTACTGAGATAAGCTGCTGGAATACTTCAATAAGGTCAATTGTTGATTGCCTGCAGTTTTAAAAGGTTAGCAAAGTCTCCGATCTACAACCATACACTCTTCTGTTTCTGCTTTTCCCTTGAGGATGAAAGGCGATCTAGATCATATATCCCATTTATATTTCCATTTGCAGTCATTTACACACTAACAAACAGACATACAGCCACTCAGTTTGAAATATAATACAAAAATTATATGAATGATGCAGCAAAGGTTGGCTGTAAGTGCAGCAAAAAAAAGTGGCAAAGGGCTGAGTTTCCATGAATCTATTCCATGAGCGTGTAGTTCTTACAGACATGGAATTTTTTTAAATTTCTAGCTGTTGTTTGTTTTTGAGGGCAGGAAGAAAATCCCTACAAGCACAATCATAGTGGATTGTTAGGAATAACAACTTTATCTTTTAAAAAACCCACACAGATTGGATCAAGACGTTGAGGTGGAAGACTTCCAGCGGTATCCTGAGAAAATACAAGCATCCTTATATGGATGTCCTGTTGAATCTCCTCCTGCTGCCCTTTTCCATAAGAAAAGAAAGAATTCCTCCAAACCCAAAGGAAGCCAAAAGAAAAGGGTGAGCTGCTCCAGACTTACAACTGCTCATGGTGCTTTCAGACCAGGGATTGGGGGTAGGGGACCCAAGTTCCCTTCAACACTGGCTCTCAATGATGTCTTGGAAGGAACAAAGACTTTGAACACCATTGAATGTTGGACTTGCAAAATACTAGTTCATTTAGGGGAAAGTATTGGTGTCCCCAAACTGTGGCCTGAGGACCACCAGAAGTCTGCATGCTTCATTCAGCTGGCCCACAGCATGTCTGTGAAGAAAGGCAAGCACAGCAGCTGTAGAACCTGGCAGTCTGGTCTATCCTGAAGGTGACCAGGGCAAAACAGAATTGAGGAGGGGAAGAGGCACTTGAAAGGGGTGGAGAGGATTAGCAGCACAAAAGACAGAGCAGCAAGAAGAAAAAGGCAGCAACTTGAAAGGAGTGGAAAGGGTTCTATGGAATTCAAATTGTTATACAATTTGTACGAAATAAAAGAAGCATTAAAATGCAATTAAAAATCATATAGCATCTAGCACCACACATTACAATTGCTACAACAGGCAGAAAACCAATGGCCCAAAAAGAAAAAGGTTTGGGAACTACTGGTGTAGTTGATAAGTGTAAAGGTTGCCTGGTTTTCCAGGGATGAGCCTGTGTATTCCTGTTCTCAGTGCCAAATCTGGAGTGGGGTACGTGACCTTGACTGTTTCCCTTTAAGGAAAAGAAATCAAGGAACCCATCAAATGTGATGGACCGCAGATCTGTTTTGTCTGCTGCAATCATATATAAAGAAGGAAACATGGGTGAGGACAGCTGGAGTCTTTCCACATCCTGTAGTGTCTCTCTCCAAGGGCTTTAAATAAATCGGTAGCTGTTTTTACCATGGGCCTGTGCAGTTTGATTAGAGCTGATTTATATTAGCACTATAGTGAAGATTAGATCTGATAATCTGAAGTAACATCTAGAAGTAGACAGAAGATTGTACCAACTCTGCAGCAATTGTTGTTGTTGTTATTTATTATTATTATTATTTATTTGTATGAAGGTTGGAAAGGACAACATAGCAGCCTCACAATTTTCAGCAAACATTAAAAGAAAAGGTCAAGAAGAGATCGCTCAAGGGGACCCACATTGTCACTTCCTCAGCAGCCCCAAAGCAACTGAGCATACATATCTGTTTGGAGGAACAGCAAATAGCCGGCAAGAATTTGATTACTTACCAAAGGATTTCAATGAAAGGTACAGTCAGCTAAGCATACACTTGTAATATTACATATAAATGCCGATAAGCATTTTTACAAAATGGAAGGAATAAAAACTAAACTAACTAAAGTAATTTTTGACATTTCACAACTATTTTTCCTTGTATGCATATTCCCACCAAGTTGTGCAAGGCAGGTTGTTCACCAATTTCCGTTCACATATTAAAGTGCCGTTTTTGTTTGACAGATCTCAGTTTTCCATTAGCCTGAAGACTCACTCATCCCATGGAATGATCTTCTATGTCTCTGATCAAGAGGAGGAAAATTTCATGGCCCTTTTTATTGCCCACGGCCGTCTGGTTTTTATGTTCAACAGTGGCTACCGGAAATTAAGAATTAGAAGCCAGGAGAAGTACAATGATGACCAATGGCACAATGTAAGTGGGAAGAGAAAAGATTATGATGTGCTTTAGAAAAGTGCTATTCCAAAGAAACATAAAATCTGTCTGTCAAAACATTTGGGATTTATTGCAATAAAATGCCAGGCTCCCACTTGAGAAGTGGATGAAGAGTTTCTAGAGTAGTGGAACAAATCAAACAGTCTCCTCTAAAATACATATGATGCTATACAATTCTATATTATATACTAGTCTCTGTATGCTAATGTTGACTTCACCTCTGCCTTTTTTTAGGTAATGTTTGTTCGGGAGAAAAATATTGGCCGCTTGACAATTGATGGTCTCCGGGTACTTGAAGACAGTCTTCCTTCTTTTGATAAAGCATGGCAAGTTGCTAGACCCTTTTACGTAGGGGGTGTGGCACCAGGAAAAGCTGCCAAAAATATCCAGGTAAAAGTATTTTTCTACAACAAAGCCTGCATATATTAAGATCCAGAGCAACATTTATAACATGGGAACTAACTGGACAGAAATGTTTTAAAGCTCTGCATCTACTGGAGACAATTTGCAATGAATCAGAATATATCCTGCATTTGAATCTGTTAGCACTAGTATATTCTGGATTCATTGGCAATGATCTCATTCCAAACTTCCTACATCAAATGAGATTAGACTAGAACCTCCAGTTATATGATTAGAAAATAACTTAGGCTGCTTTGACACTAACAAAAAGAACCAAGCAGACTGTGAGAATCATAGGCCATTTCATTATTACTCCCACTATTCTTTTTGGCCTTAAATTGCTTTTTTGAAAAAGTATCCATAAACAATTGTACACCTAAGCAAATAGAAAAGCCAAAGGCTTTACTATTTTGTTTAATCTGTTTTGTTTTATCAGATCAACTCCGTCTACAGTTTTAGTGGTTGTCTCGGCAGTTTACAGCTCAATGGAAGACCAGTCAGTTCTCCTTCACAAACTTTTAGCGTAACTCCTTGTTTTGAAGGCCTATCAGAAGAAGGAACATATTTTTCATCAGAAGGAGGATACATTATACTTGGTAATGTATTACTAACCATTGACTATTCCATCAGACTGATGCCTGAATTGATACCAGTTGCCTAGTGAAGGGGGGGGTAGACATAATTAAATTGAAATGAAACCGTTATTTGAAAATTATGCTGGGTGCCATGTAGCCTTATTAGCATACAGTAGAATCATTTGCTCTCCAGATAACCTGACTCATTGGAGGAAGAGATTCCAGTCATTTCAGTGGCAGCACTAGTGGGCATTGATCAAGTCCAGCCATTAGTCTTTGGCTTTACTGTAGCAAAGGAACTGCGGATGTCACCATCAATGCCACAAATTATAAATTCATAAATAGTGCCTAGTGGTTGCTCACCTAAAAACGGATAAGCATGGAGCCATGCCCTCTTACAAAACCAGCACATTGCTCAAGTGGCAATGGACTGAAATTCTGCTAATATACATAATATATAGTATACCCATTGATACCCACTGAAATGAATGGTCATAACTTTAGCCATGATACTGGCTTAAGTTTACTGGATACCACCAAATACAAATTCAGGCAAAATATTTAAAGCAAGGATTGAAGAGTATGGCTCTTAATCATCATTCCTTGAGGCTATCAAGGGAGGGGGGCTCATATTCCCAAGATGAAAAATATTTAAGAAATATACGTACACAGTTGGAAGCCATAGTTAATCTTTATGTCCTGCAGCAGGTGACTATTTTTTTCCAGTTAACTCTGGTGCAAAAAAACACACCACACAAAATCATTCTGTGATTTGTCATGATTTTCTCCTACAGATGAATCCTTCAGTTTGGGGCTGAAATTTGAAGTTATTTTTGAAATCCGTCCTCGAAGCAGTTCAGGAATCCTGATGCATGCACACAGTATAAATGGAGAATTCCTGAATGTACACATGAAACAAGGGCAGGTATGAAGGAGGACTAATATTTCCCTTTACATTCTTATATGCAGGCCTTTCCGAATGCTCATTATGTACAAACCAAAATTCGCTCTTAATAGCAACAGGTTCTACATTCTCAAAAAGGGGATCCCATTTACCCATAAAAGACACAATATACACTAGTTGTAGTTCTTCTGTTTCAGGTGCATTAAGAGTCCACGCAATAAAAAAAAACTTCCATTGTAACATCAATTTTTAAAAACACTGTCAAGATGAAGGGGGGAAATATTTGACATTTTTGTGTTGCTGCCTTAAAAATTCAAAATTTACAGCTGCTACCTAAGAACACAGGAAGAGCTCTGCTGGATCAGACCAAGGACCTATCTAGTCCAGCATCCTGTTTTCATGGTGGACAAGCAAATGCCTGTGGGAAACCCTCAAGCAAGATCCAAGCACACAAGCACTCTCCCCTTCTGTGGTCTCCAGTGACTGCTAAGAGACTGCAGGTTAGGAGTTTTGCAGTTAAGCTGCAATCCTAACCCCCCTTATCTGGGTGTAAGCCCCACTGAATTCAGTGGGACTCACTTCTGAGTAGATGTCGTTGGGAATGCAGCCCTAGTTAATTTTAGACCCTGAGCTTAATGGTCTTATGAAAAGCCCTTTTTAGATGATAGTTTGGTACACCAGCCCAGCTGTGTTGTCTGCTGAATGGCCCTGGCAGCTCCACTAGGCTAGCTAGGTAATTTTTCTTTAGTTTTGGATCAAGTGATAATTTCTTTATAGCATGCATCACAAATACCATTTCCTGTGAATGTGTTTGAGTGTCCTTGAATAATAAAGGGGGAAGTGACAAAAAAAGCCAAAGAACTCAAGAATTAGATAGCTATGAAAGCATTATACGGTCCTCGAGACAAGTTTATTCTGGATAGCAAAGCCTCAGCCTAGAGGATAGTACCAGCATCGCTTAGCTTCAGCGAATAAAGTCCTTCTGAGCAGTCCATCCTCAAAGCTCTGTAACTGCCACCATAGAAACGGAATCGTTTTTATCACAGCAACTGATATTGGTAGAAGCTAATATGTTTTGCTATAATTTAAAATTTCTGTTTTGTTAGTCACTAGATTTTATGTTGGGCACAAGCTTAGGAAAGATCACATTTTTCCAATGAATTATACAGTGTAATGTAGCAGGGCTAACCAATTACTTTATGTTATTTATTTATTAGCTTCCTTTTGTGTTTTAAATGCTGGAAATATTTCATCTGAAGGCTATGGTAGTGCTGGTATGGTGTAAATCCTGAAAGTGATGTCCTGGTTCAAATTATGCCATGGTAAAAAAAAGCTCACTAGGTGCCCATTGACAAGCCACTATTTCTCAGCCTCACCTCGTGTAGACATTGGAGGTGGTAATCAACCATCCAGGATTTTTGCAAGAATTAGACTGCAATCCTATAGACATACTTGAAATAAGCCCTGAGAAACTCAAATTTACAGCTGAATATACATGTATGGGATTTCATTGTTACTGTGAAGAAATATAAACCTTATGCCTGTGGTATAAATTCATGCTGACTCATTTGGAGAACAGTATGTTTAAAAGCCTTTATGCATTTTAATTAAATCTTTCCAGTCAAAACTAAGGTTTTAAATGTGAATCAAATGGTTCTCCCAGGTCATTGTGAAGCTGAACAATGGCATCAAAGACTTCTCAACCTCAGTTACACCAAAACAGAATCTCTGTGATGGCCGATGGCACAGAATTGCAGGTGAGTGAACACCTAAAGTCCTGTTCAGTGTTGATTCCTGATCTTCCCTCTCATCAGTACTCTAAATCAGGGGTGGTTGATGGGGTGCTCCCTCCAGATGTTGTTGGGGCACAACTCCCAGCATCCCTGAACATTATCAATACTTGCTAGGGCTGTGAATCATGTCATGTATGTAAATGACTTAGAATTAGAAGGCCATGCATGTGTGGAAATCAGGTAGTGCTTGGTCTGAAAAAGGGTGACAATGTATCCAAAATTCTGTGGTTAAGAGTTTGGCTGCTACTGAAAATGGAAAACATCCAATTAATCTCCTATCATCTTTTGCAGTATCTGTCACATTATCTATTTCCCTGCTTCTAGGCTACTTGCATAACAGGGTGTGGGGAACAATGCCATGTTATATTAGGATGTATATAATTTGTCCTAAGCATGGGAGGGAGGTTAAATGTCATTTCCATTTTCAGCATTTCAGCTTGTCAGACAGCAACACCCCCCCCTTTCCTCCTCAAATGTGCTGTTCTTGAGGTTCTCACAAGTCCCCTCCCAGCTAATTTTAGAGGCAGAAGGGGGAAAGCCCCATGGTGCAATCTGAAGCCCTTGCACAGCGTCCACTTACGGGATTTGTTAGGTGAATCCTGCCCATGGCTTTGGAGCATAGCTGTTAACCTTCCCTTTTTTTTGCGGGAAATTCCCTTATTCCAGCGCTGTTTCCCCATTGCTATCCCGGATTGTTAGATATCCCATAGACTGTCCCCGGAACAGGTGAGGCTGCTGATCCCTTATTTTTGAGGCTGCTGATCCCTTATTTTCAAATCTGAAAGTTGACAGCTATGCTTTGGAGTTATAAGATCCACGTTGGGACCTACTGAGCTATTCAGATATGAGAGCATATCCAGGCCATGGGAAAATAGTCTAGTTCTTTGGGATTTTCATATGTTTATGAGTACTGTATGCTTGCATGCTTGTATGCAAGAAAAATCAGAAAGAAGAGTGGTTGACAATATAACAGAATATTATTCTTTTTTGCTTCATATGACAGTTATTAGAGATGCTAATGTGGTACAGCTGGATGTAGATTCAGAAGTGAATCATGTAGTAGGACCATTAAATCCAAGAGCAACTGACCACAGGGAGCCTGTGTTTGTTGGAGGAGTGCCAGGTAAGATTTATACTCATTTTAATATTGTTTTCAAAGATTAATCTAGTGTGTGTGTGTTTAAAAAAGTATTATTTAAAGTAATGGTCATATACCTTGTGCTGTTCATTAGCAAAGATCTATAATTTGGGGGAGGGGGTTTTAGATTTTAAATGATTGTACTCCTCCCTCCTTATGCTGGTCTACAACTGTAATAAAGATTTGTTGTTAGAGGTGGGATGGAGTAGCTTTCTATACATCTTTGTGCTATATTTTAGAAGGAGTACCATAATTTCAATACAAGTGATTGACAATATAACAGAATACAAATATAAGACTAAAATAATTTAGTCTATTAAAACCTTTATTTGACATCTATTTATAAATTACACACACACATATATATATAAACACACACACAAATACAAACATATATATATATATATATATATATATATATACACACACATATACATACATATATACATATCAAAGTAAATAGCAGTAACAAGGGCAATACCATTCAAACAAACCACATTCCAAGTTTTACACAGCTGTCTCTTTTAGTTAAACCAGTCCTAGCATGATCTTATATTGATAATGGAGTTCTTGAATGACTTATGTATATATATTTTTACCTCTCTACAGAGTCTCTCCTGACATTCAGCCTTACCACCCACAGTTCCTTTACTGGATGCATCCGTAACTTTATGATTGATGAAAGACCAGTAAGTTTCAGTAAGGCAGCTTTGGTCAGTGGTGCTGTGAGCGTCAACCTATGTCCTGCCACTTGATGCACTGCTAACTGCAGGGGCCTGTACAGCCCCAAAGGAGAAAAACAACTGTGCTACCTTCAATTCTTAGTACCAAGGAAATAAAAATATATCACTCACTATATGTACATGATAAAGCATTATTCTTTTTTCATTTGGAATTTGCTTCCAAAAAAATTATAAGTATGTTGCAATGTGCCAAATTACTGAGGGACATAAGGGCAGCTGGGGAATGAGTATTATGAGTCTAATTCTAAGCAGATACAGTGGTACCTTGGGTTAAGTACTTAATTCGTTCTGGAGATCCGTACTTAACCTGAAACTGTTCTTAACCTGAAGCACCACTTTAGCTAATGGGGCCTCCTGCTGCTGCCGCGCCACCGGAGCACGATTTCTGTTCTCATCCTGAAGCAAAGTTCTTAACCCGAGGTAATATTTTTGGGTTAGCGGAGTCTGTAACCTGAAGCATATGTAACCTGAAGCGTATGTAACCCGAGGTACCACTGTATAGGTTCACCAAGCCCACTGAAATAACGGATTTAGGCATGCCCAATTCTGCACAAAATTATAGCTGTTGTGTGAATCAGCAAGGAGCCCAAGCAGAAACCCACCCATCTGTATCAAGAGGCTCCAAACAGAGAACTTCATTTCTTCTATTGTGACACTGCAAATGCCTTGCTCATCATTGCTCAGAAACTGCACTTCAAATATGGATTTCTGCTTCCCCCACACTTAAAATCATTTTGTCAATTCTGCCCCAACTGAGTCTGGGTAGCAAGCCTTTCTAGGTGTATTAAGAGCACTGAAATGTTCATTGGCTATGAACAAGTAAATTAAAATCTTTTAAAAGGTTTAGCAGAACCAAAGGTTTAATTTCAGTTCATATGCTGCAGATTTGCTAAAACCTTTGGTCACTACAGTCAACTCGCAATTTATGCACATTAACTTGTGTGAATTCAGCTTTATGTGCTTGGCCAGGAATTTTTTTTTAAGAGTGCAAGCTCCCAGCAGAAAAAGCACTGGCAATCCCACTATTCATTGCACTTGCTTTGGGAGAGAGTTTGGAGATGTAAGGCACATGAATTTTGACTATACAAGATTTTGGCTTTATACACTATCCCTGGAACATAACTCCTGAGGCAACTGTATTCACTATGGATCTACAACAAATGCATGGAGAATCCTCATCCCGTCCTATCTCTCTGCCCAGTGCAGTACTCATGAAGCCTCAATAACTTGCAAGGCACACTACAAGAGGAGTGTTGCCACATGTGCATGTAATTAGATGCACCCATTGGTGGGAAAGGGGGGAAACAGATCTCTTTTGAACTGTATTGGGATCCTTCATGCACAGGTGCTCTGCCTGTGCTGTGAGTGGATCTGTGCTTGTAGTTTGTACTGAATAAATCTGTTACATGTACATTACAAAATAAACTATGTCATGGACATGCTTCACAAGTAATTGTCTTTTGAATCGTTTTGTTTCGTCTCTTTATTCTTCATTCAATTAGACTGGGGAAAACAATTATCACAGGAAAACTGATATTTTATTCAATTTTCATTTGAATGCATTGAACTTACTATAATTCATTTCCATAACTGACAAATGTAATTAATTCCTTATTTTTTTTTTGCTCATATTAGTTTTATAGATAAATTTCAGCTACATGATTTTACTCTTAGCACTCTTATTAAGAAATCAGATTTTCAGTTAAGGACAAAATGACATACTAAGTTGGAGGCAGAGTTATGCATTTATTCCTGAAACTAGAAAAAAAACCTGAACAATCATTTTCCACTTGAAAAATTCTAATTTTCCAGCCTATACCTTAAAACAAGCTGTACTCAGCACACTGAATGAGTGTTCATTTAAAAACTATTTCAAATGTTTTAAATTCCAAATGTAATTCTTGTTTCAAATAAAAGAACTGCATGCCTCAAATGCTTGTGCCTTTATTTCTCTATAATGAAAGCCAAAACAATGGCAGTTGATTGACCTTAGCAGAATAATCTCTATGGAAATGTAAACAGGAGGAAAATGAGAAAGAATAAAGAAATAAAGCTTTAAATTATGTATCTGCTATATATACCGTATTTTTCGCACTATAGGACGCACTTTTTCCCCTCCAAAAATGAAGGGGAAATGTGTGTGCGTCCTATGGTGCGAATGCAGGCTTTCACTGAAGCCTGGAGAGCGAGAGGGTCGGTGCGCACCGGCCCTCTCGCTCTCCAGGCTTCAGGAGAGCCCCAGCGCCAGCCCCACAAGGTCGGGGGACAGAGGGAGGCGGAACGCCGCCATCCCGCTGTCTCCCGAAGTGGTTTGGAGGCTGACGGCGGGGAGAAGCGCTCTTCTCCCCGCTGCCTGCCCCCAAGCTCCGGGGACAGCAGGGAGACGCAGCGCGTCTTCCCGCTGTCCCCGGACCTGATGTGAAGGCGGGCGGCGGGGAGAAGAGCGCTTCTCCCCGCTGCCTGCCCCCAAGCTCCGGGGACAGCAGGGAGACGCAGCGCGTCTTCCCGCTGTCCCCGGACTTGATATCAAGGCGGGCGGCGGGGAGAGCAGCGCTTCTCCCCCGCTGCCTGCCCCCAAGCTCCGGGGACAGCAGGGAGACGCAGCGCGTCTTCCCGCTGTCCCCGCACCTGATGTGAGGCGGGCGGCGGGAGAAGGCGCTTCTCCCCGCTGCCTGCCCCAAGCTCCGGGGACAGCAGGGAGATGCAGCGCGTCTTCCCGCTGTCCCCGGACCTGATGTGAGGCGGGCGGCGGGGAGAAGAGCGCTTCTCCCCGCTGCCTGCCCCCAAGCTCCGGGGACAGCAGGGAGACGCAGCGCGTCTTCCCGCTGTCCCGGACTTGATATCAAGGCGGGCGGCGGGGAGAGCAGCGCTTCTCCCGCTGCCTGCCCCAAGCTCCGGGGACAGCAGGGAGACGCAGCGCGTCTTCCCGCTGTCCCCGGACCTGATGTGAGGCGGGCGGCGGGGAGAAGAGCGCTTCTCCCCGCTGCCTGCCCCCAAGCTCCGGGGAGAGCAGGGTGTCGCAGCTCGTCAGCCCGCTGACACCGGCCCTGATGTGAGGGCGGGCGGAGGGTCGAACAGCGCTTCTCCCGCTGCCTGCCCCCAAGCTCCGGGGACAGCAGGAGGCGCAGCGCGTCTTCCCGCTGTCCCCGGACTTGATATCAAGGCGGGCGGCGGGGAGAGCAGCGCTTCTCCCGCTGCCTGCCCCAAGCTCCGGGGACAGCAGGGAGGCGCAGCGCGTCTTCCCGCTGTCCCCGGACTTGATATCAAGGCGGGCGGCGGGGAGAGCAGCGCTTCTCCCCGCTGCCGGCCCCTAGCGCCTGGGGAAATAATTTTTTTTCCATTATTTCCCCCCCAAAAAACTTGATGCGTCCTATGGACCGGTGCGTCCAATGGTGCGAAAAATACGGTACATTATTTCCTTATAAAGCATTAGCAGCAATACATTTTGCATCAAATATGGAGATCTTAAGTTATTAAATCTCTAGAAACTAGTACCTTATAAAGATGACTGGTACCTCAGGACAGTGCAACCATTTGCCCTACTTTATTCATTTACCAACCATCTTCCCTAGTGCAACATATTATTTATCCTGTTTGGTCCACCAGCAGGTAATCTGAACTAAGAATGAGCTTCCCAAGGGTTAGGTAGGAGTACACCTAATGGAATCTTCTCCAAAACAATCTCTAGTCTGAACTGATGGACAGGTCATGCAGAGCAAAGAAGCTTCACCCTTTTATTTGAAACTTAGAGACACTTGACTGTTGTGGGGAAAAACACAGCAACATCCATTCCCATGCTTCTGTACAAGATACAGAGCCTGTATACAGGTAGAAAAGAGTTAATGCATTTCTTTGGGGGGATTATTTAGGGGAATACCATGAAAGGTCAAGGCTGTCTCTTCCAATCAACTTGTGTATGCAATCAAGCTTTGCTTCTGCTTCATTTCACCCTCTGCACTGGGGTAAGGGTGAAGGTCAGCAATATACTTCCTATCCTCAGGTCTGAAAACAAGTAGAAAGGAAAAATGGAACAGGTGATTGTCTGTTCTAGTACTTGAAGGTAATATACCTACAAAATCATGAAGCATAATTGTTTGTAAACTTCATATTCAATTTTGAATTAAAAGACTAGCTTTTATTATTTTCACAGGCATTATGAAACTGTATTAACTATTTTGGATACTTTTTGCTAAAATGTTTCTTTATTAGAGTGCTCTAGGTTCTTGTGACTGTATTATTACAGTATTATCTCAGTGTAAAACTGTGATCTTTGTAGCACAATGCACTCCTGTCACAGGAGTGTGATAACCTACCAGACCCTTGTGATTGAGAATTTGTGTGCCTTTGCACAATTGGGTCAAATAATGAAGCAATTTGCTGCAGTTCCCTATTTAGTCCCCAAGCTTGTCTCTTTTACAACATATCAACGAGGAGCCCACCAAGTACAGCGCATGGTCCAGGTGGGAGCGTAGGAGGAGGGTCACCTAAAGCCTGCCTTTTCGGCGTTTTGTAATTTGGTTTTAATATTATGAAATGGAAGGGATGCGCTGTTCGAACAGAACCGTGCATTTTGAACAGATTATTTTGCAATGCATGCACAGGATCAAAACATGCGTTTTGATTCCAACTTTTTTTAAAAAATAAAATGTTACTCTTTTGTATTCATACGCAACATGCTTAACGGCTAGATCCTTTCCCTTCGCGTTTTCTACTCGCTTCCAGACGGTCATTTCCAGATGGTGGCCAGATAAGAAGGGAGAGCGATGGGGCTCCCGGACCTTATAGCAGCCGCATGGAAATAAGTTGTCCTGCAGGGGGCGACAGAGGCTAGCAGGACCGAGGCGCTGAAACCCCTGCTCTGACATGAGCCTCGCCCTTTGCATCGAGTACGACCGTGAGGTCGGAACAAAGCGAGCCAAAGTGGGCGTGGCCCGCGGTCTACAAACGGATAACTGTTAATAGCGAGGGAACCGGAGGGCAGGAAAGCACCGTTTGCGGTGCGGCGCATGCGCGCAAAGCAAGAACAAAACGCTCCATGAGCGTTCGCGGCGCGTCTCGACAGCGGAACGTGCGGCCGGAACTCCCCTCTGCGACACAACGCGGGGAACTTTCCTCACATCCCGTCCGTAGTGGGCGGGGCTACACTTCTCGCCGGCCTTAGAAACCAGATCCGCGCCAACGGAAGACATGACGCAGTCCGTGGTGGTTCAGGGTGAGCGCGCGCGTGCTCTCTCCCGCCCCCTTCTCCCTCCCCCCTCTCTGGCCCCTTTTCACACCACTCTGCTCTGTTCGGCAGCTTGACATCAGTTTGCTTTTTCACCTCACAGTGGGTCAGTGTGGCAACCAGATAGGATGCCGTTTCTGGGATCTGGCACTGCGGGAACACGCCGCCGTCAACAAGGTAACCGCCTGACGACTGGGAGGAGAATTAAAACGCCAGTCAGCTCGCGCATGCTCAGTAAAATGGAAACGGTCCGGAACGTTTTACGCGCATGCCTGCTTGACTGCTCCCTCTGAGGGAGCCGCTGAAAGGTGTGTCCGTTAAACCGCCGTGCTTTGGGATTTGTGGGCGTGGCCCTGGCGCGTGCGCTGGCGCGATTTTTAACGCACTCAGCTAATACTTGTCCCTGAGCTCCGCAGTGGACGAGTTAAAATGGCTGCTTGTTTAAAAGAGCAAATCCTATTCTTACTCAAGTCATTTTTAGAAATAGCTGCCGTTTCCTTTGTTCTGGCATTCCCGTGTCTTCGTTCGCCTGCTCTAGGCGAGGGACTAAATATACCCGGTGGCCAGGGAATGCTGTTGGGGGAAACGTGGGAAGATTAATGGGCATTGGAAGGACGAAGGGAATGGCTGGAATGTGGAACACAAGATCTCCACACACGAGCACCATTCTTTTAACGCTTGTGTTGCCAAAGTAGCACCATTAATATAGATCAGGGATGTGCACAAGAGAACCTCAAGGTTTGCAGAAGGACAGAAAACACTTTATTAAAAAGCTGAAGGGAACAACAACAAAAGGCCCAGTGAGGACTTTTGTGGAGGACTTAGTGGAATGCAGTATCCTGGAAGAACGGATGGCTAACTAATCGGAACATTAAATAAGGAGCCAGCAATAGGTCCAGGAAAATCAATAGGGGCATGTTCTCCCCTCTCTCCAAGAACTGATCATCCCATCAGGATGACCAAGGCAATTTCCATTACGAAACTGGGCCTGAAACCCGATTGAAATGGACCCCACTAGCCAACTCTTTGTTGGCTGTTATTGGCTAAGAAGAGCAGGCGTGATCATTCAAATGGGTCACCTGGGTCACCAGACTACTGATGAAAAAGCTGTCCTTTTTTTGCAGAGGAGAAGAGTCTAGGATGAGTTGATCCCAGCCACTTGCTCTGTTTGACCAGTGGCCCACCTTATCCAGAGTCCTGTTTTCACAGGGGCCAACCAGATGCCTGAGGGGTTGCCAGGGCAGGCTGGACAACCTCACTCCAAATTTTACTAATAAATACTGAGAGCCTTTAAGTCCAGATGTGCATTAAAGCATGAATTCATCCTGAAGAAAATCCAAAATTATTGCTTTACTGTGATGTTCTCTCTATATAGAGTCATACTCTTAAACTATAGATATGAAATAATTTGTGGATTCCATGTTTTTGAGCTCTACTTGCACTTTAGTGGCATACATGAGGCTTTATGTTAGGAGCATGTATAATCTCAGAAGAGTTAAATAGTTTTAAGAATGCATACTTTAAGTTTTAGCACAAGTGTCACACTTTAAGTTTTACTTACTGAATGATTCTTTTTTAGAAAGGAATTTACGATGAAGCATTAAGCAGTTTCTTTAGAAATGTGAATACCAGGTAAGTTTTCTTTTTATGAACAATCTTAAATTACTAAAGATGCCCTTAAAATAAATAACAACACAATATTTGGGATCCATAGAGAAATGTTGCTTCATCATACCTTGCACTACTGCAGGCAAGTTAATTAGCATCTTGTGCTGCGTCACAAAAATAAAATTGCAGGGATCCAGCATTTACTTTGTGGATTTCTTGTTCAGTTTATGCCCCACTTATTATTTTTATTTCTCTCCTTCCCGTTGGGTTTTGTAGATACCGTGGGTATCAGTGGGTAGGTTCTTGTGTCCAGTCATGTCAGCATACATTACAATCAGTTACTTGTGTCTGACCTGTACTGAATGGGATTTGGTGCTTGGTATTCATTGTTTTGGAGTAATTCACATTTTGCAGTATCAACTTGCCTCAATAAGATTGTGGTCAGTGTTGTCCTCGCATCCTGAGCCCTTCAGTCTCCAGTTTGAGTTACTAATGTTGTGCCCTTTAATACCATTGCTTGTCGTGTTTCACTATAGGAAAAGTGCTTTATACTTAACCTGAATCTGGTTTTTGCCTTCATGAAACTGTTAACCCCTAGATTTTTGCAGTTTGCTCTAACCAAGATATAAAATATATAACTGCTTACAATTGGTAGGCGTGCCAGGTTTTCTTTAATAGTTCTCCTTTGTCTACACAACTGCAGAAATTAAGCAGGTGATGTTTTTTCCATCCCTAGGCTAGGAAAAGCCTAATTGACTTCTGCATGGCAGGCTTCCATAAAATGAGCAAGAGCAGTGAAATTCATAAAGTGTACAGTCTTTATATTAGTTCTTGTTATTCTGCTTTTCAATTTAATTTAATTTCAGTGAAAGGGGAAAATTGTAATACTCTGATAGCTTAGGTGTAGTCCTCTTCCATTATTTTTATTAATTTTGCTTCTGTTTTTTCTAGGACAGATGATGATAGCGCTGACTGCAGAGGAAAAATCTATTCCTTAAAAGCACGCGTAAGGGGGAAACATCTTTGATTCTGTCAATTCTTATACTTTGTATGCCTCTGAAATATCTGAAATTTTAGGTTTCATTATATCTATATGTATGTGCACTTGGGTATATGTTTTGCTATTTGTTTGAAAACAAATCCTATAGTTCAATTGTAAACGGTAAACTAAAGATAATGGCTTCCAGAAACGTATATTTTAACAAACGAGAAACCAAGTAAAAGAAACAAATTTCAAGCACAAGGAATATATATATGAAGCCGCTGGGAGAGATCATCAGGGGGTTTGGACTGGGTGTCCATCAATATGCAGATGATACCCAGCTCTACCTCTCTTTCAAATCAGAACCAGTGAAGGCGGTGAAGGTCCTGTGTGAGTGCCTGGAGGCGGTTGGAGGATGGATGGCGGCTAATGGATTGAAGTTGAATCCTGACAAGACAGAAGTACTGTTTTTGGGGGACGGGGCGGGCTGGTGTGGAGGACTCCCTGGTCCTGAATAGGGTAACTGTGCCCCTGAAGGACCAGGTGCGCAGCCTGGGAGTCATTTTGGACTCACAGCTGTCCATGAAGGCGCAGGTCAATTCTGTATCCAGGGCAGCTGTCTACCAACTCCACCTGGTACGCAGGCTGAGACCCTACCTGCCCCCGGACTGTCTCACCAGGGTGGTGCATGCTCTGGTTATCTCCCGCTAGGACTACTGCAATGCACTCTACGTGGGGCTACCTTTGAAGGTGACTTGGAAACTACAACTAATCCAGAATGCGGCAGCTAGACTGGTGACTGGGGGCGGCCGCCGAGACCACATAACACCGGTCTTGAAAGACCTACATTGGCTCCCAGTACGTTTCTGAGCACAATTCAAAGTGCTGGTGTTGACCTTTAAAGCCCTAAACGGCCTCGGCCCAGTATACCTGAAGGAGCGTCTCCACCTCCATCGTTCTGCCTGGACGCTGAGGTCCAGCGCTGAGGGCCTTCTGGCGGTTCCCTCATTGCGAGACGCAAAGCTACAGGGAACCAGGCAGAGGGCCTTCTCGGTAGTGGCGCCCGCCCTGTGGAACGCCCTCCCATCAGATGTCAAAGCGATAAATAACTACCTGACATTCAGAAGACATCTTAAGGCAGCCCTGTTCAGGGAAGTTTTTAATGTGTGATATTTTAGTGTATTTTTGGTTTCTATGGAAGCCGCCCAGAGGGGCTGGGGAAGCCCAGCCAGATGGGCGGGGTACAAATAATAAATTATTATTATTATTATTATTATTATTATATAGGAATGTTGCAGGTTCCTTAGAGACTGACACTGATCCAGCTATGAGACACACAAACCTTCTGAACTGCGCATGCACAGTTTTCCCCCTTCAATCCAACCGTCATTTCCACACGTAAAGAGCCCGGTTAGAAAAATAAATAAAAGCTCATCAGAAGATGAGCAAGTTTGTAAGCTAGATTTAATAATTTTCTCTTTATCAGATAACTAATGGCACAATTGCTGCTTCTCCAACACGGTAAACATCTAAGTACCATTAGCAGTGCCATTTTATTTTATGTACATTTAGCTAGTGATAAAGTACTGTTGGCTTCAGTGTGTTAAAATTGAAAATACCCGTGGTGACCATTTTGCACATGTCCAATTGACACATGTTCTTTTGAAGAAGGCAGGGCGGGCTTACGTGCTCTGTGGATGCACACAGGAGTCAGGAACGGAACCCCAATAATACAATAGTGTCTCGGTTTCTGCTGTAGTGCGCTCAGGTTACAGAATGTCATCCCCTTGCCGCTTAGCATCAAGTTAAAAACATGAGTATTTAAGTTGCCATTTTGGTTGTGCTAATTATAGTAGGGTCTATCTAGTAGTTAATTTTATTGTTGGTTGTGATTTTAAGATGTTTTATTCTGCTACCTGTTTTGTGGAATATGCCCCAAGAGTATTTGATACAGGGGAGAAAAGATTGAAATAAATAATAAGAAAAGATTAAAAGTTATGTACCATTCTGAAAAGGAAATTAGCTGAGACATAATAGCGATCATTCTAATTTGTTTATTTTTTAGCAAGAGCATGTTTCCTTATGTGTTGCATATGTGCATTTTAATTCTTGAGTTGTGCTAAATCAGGGTTGCCAAAATTATCCTTTATTAAATTTCATCCTGAGGCAAATAAATTAGAGATATTCTTCTGAAGTCTGCTTTTTTATTCCAAGGGTGTGCTGAAATTAAAGAAAGCATTTTTTTATCTTTATCTTTTTCATTTATTTTGCGTAATGTTTTTAAAGACAGACGTTCTCAGTCCAAATTCTTTTTGTTCTGCTCCCTAAGGCTCTCCTGATTGACATGGAAGAGGGTGTAGTGAATGAAATTCTGCAGGGGCCATTGAGAGATGTCTTTGATAGCAAGCAGCTGATAACAGATGTTTCTGGCTCAGGGAACAACTGGTGAGGATAGAATTTTCCCCCCTCAAATCTTCATACAAAAATTTCTTACACAGATTAGATGGAAATTGAAAGCAGAACTCCTACATTTCTGTCTTTTTACTTCCTGCAGTCTCTTGAATAAATGGCCATGTTAATATTTTATTTTATTGTTACCTTTAGGAAAACTTGAAAACACAACTAACAACTATTCTTCCAGTATGTCATATCTACATAGCTACTCTTTTTAAAAAACCAATTTTGTGAATTTCCATGAACAGATGTATCATATTACTGTGTTGGTATTCTTCTACTCCTAGTCTTGTTCATTCAGGTCAAATGGTAATCTAATTACAGATATGAACAGCTGACTAAAGAGAAGGGAAACAGATGGAAATTTAAGTCAAAGAAATCTAAACTTTATAAAAAATGCTTTTGAATGATTATATAATGAAAGGGGAGATTCTGAACAGAAGAACAAACTTGATGATCACAAAGAAGTACTAAAAACTTCTAATAAGTCCTTCAGTCATTAGGGGGGAAAGTGTGAACAGATAAATTAATTCTATAATAATACATCTAATAGTAAAAATACTAAAAAAGATAGACATCAGATTAAAAACAAGACAAAGGATCAGTCCACTAAACCTCAGTTTGACAGGTCAAATTCCACTTAGAATAAAAATGTCTTAACCAGGCGCCAGAAGGCCAAGAGAAAAAGGACAAGGCAGTTCTTTAGAATTCTATCCTGGTCACACTGAACACTGTATGGTTTGGTTATACCTTTATATCCTTTATTTTCTTGATCTTTTTGTTTTTGGTTAAAAGCTTTTGGTAATATATTATTTTGTTTCATGCTGTTTCACTGATCTCCCCCTGTCCCATCCCATCCCCCGGCTCTTTTAACATGAATCCATTATCTTTTTGTTTAGGGAGGCAAAGAGTGTCCATGGACACACAGCTGCTGAGTCAGCCCTGTACATGCCAGAAGGCCTTTCCCCTGGTTGACTTTAATGGGGCTCAGCCTGCTATTTCCAGCGTAATTAAAGCTGCTTTCAAATTCTCCTAAGTTTCATTTCATTTAATTTTTAAGTTGTAAACCTTTCTACATTGTTGCTCTGTTAAGTCTAAAAAACTCAGTGGGGGAAACTCAGTATAGGCATAAAAATACTTGAAGAATTTAAAACATTTTAAATGAACTAGAATTCTCAGAGTTGAACTAGAAGGGTAGCATATTAAATGTTTCCTATTTACAGGGCTGTGGGTCACAAAGTATATGGGTGTCAATACCGAGAAGATATTGTTGAAAAGCTAAGAAAGACTGCAGAGCATTGTGACTGTCTGCAGTGCTTTTTTGTCATTCATTCCATGGGAGGGGGTAAGTATGGTAAAAGGTGAAACAAAAGCTTAAGAGTTCATGACCTTAAGGACCGCCTCTAGTGCTTCAAACCCAGCACATGATCAAAGATGGGACCATCACCTCTCCCCTATCCTCTGGGCATACTAGAGTACTTGGAGGAGGATTTGTCTGTCTCCAACCCAGCACAAACAAAGAGTTCCCTTTGACCTCTTGTGTTTGCTGTGTTGGTCAGTGAGCTTGGGCAGGCACGTAGACATTTCCTGAATCGAAGCTATAACTAATAGAAATCTGGTGATTGAATTGTGGACCTCCTTATCAGAAAATATTTATATAATGGATCTTAAAGCTCTGCTGCATAATGGCATGTTATGCACCAAAACTCTTTTGTCAGCATCTTTGTAATTTACATGAGAAGAGCATGGTTCTTGTGCAGCCAGACTCCCAGTTGCAAATCTTACTTGGGTCATAAACTCGTTAGGTGACCTTAGGCAAGTGATTATCCTTGAAATCTATGATCTGTGAATAATAGTACCCTATGTTAGAAGATTCTTTTAAGGACAACATTGTAATGTACAGAATACATTGGCAGTTTCTAAATGAGCAATATAATGATGTTTTCATTGTAATCTGACCAAAAAAATGTATTTCTGCAATAAGTATATTTCTATCACAAGCACAGAACACAACATAAATGTATTTGCTCTGTAAAATACTGTAAATTGGATAGTTCTTATGATGTTGAATGTTTTTGCTTAAAATAATCAGCTAGTCGTGATTAGAAAGTCTCAAGGAAATACTGCCTTCAAATCTGGGTTATCTCTTTAAATCCAAATGTTGGATACCATTTGAGATTGCAGTCCATACTGCAATCTCATTATCAAAAGAAATGATATTGGTGAATTGCTACCTTAAGCACTCATAATTTTTCCAGTAGAAGACAATCTTTGCATCTCCAAATCTGAACTTTCAATTGGTGAACTTTAAAATAAAAATAAAAACCTTTCTCACTTGTAAGAAAATCCAAAGGAAGTTGAATACCACACAAGACTTTTTCATGTACTCTTGTTGTTCTAACTATCTGAATTCTTGCTTCTAGGGACAGGATCTGGTCTTGGTACATTTGTACTAAAGCTTCTTGAGGATGAATTTCCAGAAGTATATAGATTTGTTACTTCTGTTTATCCTTCCCGGGAGGATGATGTCATTACATCTCCTTATAACAGTGTATTGGCTATGAAAGAACTCAGTGACCATGCAGACTGTGTATTGCCAATTGAAAATGAAGTAAGAATTTATAATACCATATTAATGTATTAAAGCCTTTCTAGATTACAGTTTTAAGTGCAATGTAGTTATTCTTTGTCTTCATTTTAAAATTTACCTGAAACAACTGAGTAAAATATTAAAGCTTTCCCTTACCTTGAAGTAAGCTCTGTTGAATCCAGCAGACTTTCTGAGTAGTCATGCCTAGGAGTCTGCTGTAAGTTGGATAGCTTTGCGTTCAAAAAAATTTACCAGCTTTTTCACCTATGCTTTTTCCAGTCTTTATTTGACATTGTTAGCAAAATTAATCAGATGACCAACTGTGGAAAGTTAGGATCAACCATAAAACCAGCCAGCTTAGTAACTTCAAGTGCAGGTGGAATAAAGTGTTCTCGGGAGAAACCATTTGATGCTATGAACAATATTGTGGCCAACTTACTGTTGAACTTGACAAGGTGAGCTTCTGAAAATTTTAATTAGATAAGAAGTGGTTGCTAAAACTGAAATCAATGGATGTCACCTTTAGCTTGTGTGGTAAAATGTCTATGCTCCCCTTTCATTTCTTCTGTTTGGCAGACCCAGCTTCTCTCACGTCTAGTCTACCTGCACCCATTATTGTAGCATACTAAGAGACGTTCCTTTTCCATCCCATAATTGAATAGAAGCTTGTAGTGCAACTGTTATGGTATGATGTGGGAGGGAAGCACAGCAGAGATGAATAGCCCTGCTTCACTAGTACAAAGAGGAAAAGCGCTTGTAGCAGCAGCTGAACACAGCAAGCACTACTCTTGTAGCCCCTAGGGTGTTGTTTCTTTCTATATTGCTAAGGGACTTTCCCCTACTTGAGGCTGGAAAATTAGTGAAAATTTTACATTGAAATTATTGCAACACATTTCACAGTGCAAGCTTACAAATATTCAAAAGCGTGATTTTGTATGCTGCAATATATGTGTCCAAACTTTTTTTCTATAACTCTTGCATTATCTCTATACAGCTCTGCTAGGTTTGAAGGATCTCTTAATATGGATCTTAATGAAATCAGCATGAATTTGGTTCCCTTTCCTCGACTTCATTATCTTGTTTCCAGCTTGACACCTCTGTATACGTTGGCTGATGTTAATGTGCCCTCTCGAAGGTGGGTAACCTTGTTTGACATGTGAGTGATAGTTGCTCACTACATGAAGATAAAATGGAATGTGTTTAGTAGCACATGATAAAGTGACGGGAATCTTGTACTCTTGTTATTTTAAAATCTTCAACATACTTTTCAATTGAAATAGTGTTCTATTTTTATTTGATGCATATTTAGAATTACTCTGCTGACAAATTATGATTGTGTTGACATTTGCTAAGTTTTCTCAGCTGCATATTCTCAGATACTCTTTTTTTCTCTTAGGTTGGACCAAATGTTTTCAGATGCTTTTAGCAAAGATCACCAACTGTTACGAGCTGACCCAAAGCACAGTTTGTACCTTGCCTGTGCCCTGTTAGTCAGAGGAAATGTGCAGATTTCAGACCTTCGTAGAAACATTGAAAGGTTTGCACACATCATACATTAGAAGAGAAACTACTAACTGCTCATACAGCAAATCTTCCCAGTTGGTGTTCGTTTGTAGGATCAAATTCCAGTAAGCTTATTAAAGTTATGTTGATCCACTCCTGCAAGCACAGCTGCATCCAGAGGGAGAGGGGAAAGACCATATTCTCAATAACCTACAGAGACTGAAAAATTAGTCACATATATTTATGTACATATGTATATAATTTTTCAAATAAATGCTTTTAAAATGCTAAGGTAGCATAACATATTTGCCTGAAAATAGGTATTAACACTACCACATACTATTCTGCCCTGATCTGGCAGAAATCAGTCTGGAGTCTGACCCATTTTGACTGGATCTGGAAATTCAAATATTTGGTACTCCCATTCATGTGTACAGTGGTGCCTCGCAAGACGAAAAACCCGCTAGACGAAAGGGTTTTCCGTTTTGGAGGTGCTTCGCAAAACGAATTTCCTATGGGCTTGCTTCGCAAGACGAAAATGTCTTGCGAGTTCCTGCGGGTTTTTTTTCCTCCCCCCCCCTCTTCCCAAGCCGCTAAGCCGCTTATCAGCTGATCCTAAGCCACTTAACAGCTCATCCGCTAAGCTGCTTATCAGCTGATCCGCTAAGCCGCTTATCAGCTGATCCGCTAAGCCGCTAATAGCGCTAAGCCGCTAATGGGCTTGCTTCGCAAGACGAAAAAACCGCAAGATGAAGAGACTCGCGGAACGGATTCTTTTCGTCTTGCGAGGCACCACTGTATTTGGAAAACCAAACAACCACAGCATTTTGTTTTTTGTCACATAGTTGCATGAAATTTGGAGGCATAGCAGCTACCTCGTTGCTACACATTGGACAGGTAGATGAGGGGGATTTTGTGCTAGCAACCTTTTAAAGTTTGCTTTTTCTAAACACACTCACACATAGAGAGATGTTCGTGTTTGTGTATGGAAGACTGTACAGTCAGTTGAGTTCTCAGTCCTGCCAATTCTCATGCTCTTTGGCCTGTTCAGCTGCATTTCAGTATAGTAATTCAGCTCACTGTCGGTTTGGCACTGGTTTCTGTGAAGTAGCAGGGCAGGGTGACTGCTCAAAGCTTTTGTTATGATACATTTGTCTCACAAGACCTACTGACACAAACCCACGACAGCCTGTTTATAAAGACAGACAGAAAACAAAATACATTGGATGAGATTCTAATCCTGGATTGGAAGCTGGAAGTCTTAATGAGCAAAGTCTAGCTCCCTCACACCCAGCATTCTACTGTATAGGCGCACACCCCATTTACGCACCTTCAGTATGTGCGCAACTGCACATGTACATCGTGATCCAAAAATGTCCCAAAAAGGGGCAGGGCATGGGCAGAACAGGGTGTTTGCAGGCTTTTTCAGTGGTTTCAAATATATTCTATTTCAATGATGCACGCGGTGCCTCGGAACGTAGCCCCCGCGTAAATGGGGGGTTACCTGTATTTAATTGCAACACTGGCTTTCTTAGAGGCTGTTTTTAGTTCAGATTGATTCAGATCAACCCAACCCACTCTGTAGTGATTTGTAGCTGCCTTTAGTCAATCTGGATTTGGTAGAAATTGGTCCAATTATGTTTAGGATTCAGCCAGATCGGTTGCACAGCTGTAGCTGAAAGCACATGAAAGTGCCACTTGGGGGATAGAGTCAAACGTGCATTTAGGGTTCATGTTTTGTTTTGTGTAGTTTATTTTACTGTTTGCCTTCATGTCAGTCTCATAATTTCATATTGCAGGTTGAAACCTTCACTTCAGTTTGTCTCCTGGAATCAAGAAGGATGGAAAACTGGCCTCTGTTCAGTACCACCTGTGGGTCATTCCCACTCATTGTTGGCACTAGCAAATAACACTTGTGTGAAATCTACTTTTGTAGAGCTCAAGGAGAGATTCACAAGGTTGTACAAGAAAAAGGTATGTCACATAATGAGAAGTAATATTGTCATTATAAGTAGCTCAGTTGTACTTATATTACAAGCGGTATGTGGAAATATGCTGCACTAATGGTAGCATCCCCACATGCTTCACTTGGACTTAGAAGGGGTTATAATACAGTTTGGAGTTAAAGAAATGGTTGGGTGACTGTGGTGCAAATGCACATGGACATGAACTGGAGGAAAAGAGAGCGAAAGTAGGAAGTCTCTGTTCTGCCCTGTGCCAAATCCCTCACATACCCAACTACAGCACACACATGGTGGATAGATTGTGTGTGATATTCTTGTTATTATTGTTATTGTTAACACTTAATCCAAAAATTATCACAACAGATCTTTACATTAAAGTAATAACCAGTTTTGCACGTGGAATTGGAAGAAGACTTGAATTCATTTGTTCAATGTTCCTGTAAAGCATGTGACTAATGTAACATCTACTCTTGCAGGCTCACCTTCACCATTACCTACATATTGATGGGATGGAGCAGTCCTATATCTCTGAAGCACTTTCATCTTTGTCTGATTTAATAGAAGATTATAATCAGCTAGATGCTGCTAACTGTGGACCTGCTATAGATCCACCAAGACTGAAGATAGCAATGTAGCACTTGTTACAGGGGCGGGGTATGTGTGTTAAAGTTTAGATCAGCAAATTATACTCATGCAATCCAGTTAAAAATAACCTGGGACGAACTTACTTTGGCTGGGGTTAGTAAATTTCATTGTCAAAAGATGGTGGAAGTGTTCAGTTTAAGTGAGTTTCACATATTTCTCATATTGCACAGATGCTGGATTACATATCTCAAAAAAGTAGAAGGAATTATAATACCTTCTTATGGTCTACCTCTCTTGATGTAATTTTAACTTAAGCACTATTTTGAAGATACTTTTATATGTAGATTATGAAAACAAACACTTTAAATATAATTTGACCATATCGGATTTTGTCATAAATGAATTTTATTTACAAGATATTTACATAATAAAATGTATAATTTCATAAAATTTGGCCTCGTCCTTGTGAATCCTTGTCTACTATATGCCCCAAACTGTTATACATCTGGTTATCAACTAGTCTAGAGCACCAACTGCAGTTTAACAACATAACATTACTAGCTCTAAACAGCAATACAAGACCTGATATATCTACTACTGTATACTCAGTACATACTTCTGAGCCTTATGTTGTAGAGAAAATTATGTTATAGCAATTTTCCATGCAAGCATGGTAAACTTTAAATAACGCAGTTATCCATGAAATGGCATACAAGAAGGTTCTATCCTCCAGTTCACAAATTGAGCATTTACATTCTTACTGATTTGCAGGCTCTGATACAATATTTTTAAGAGGCATACAGAAATGCTGCTAAATTGCTTGGCTGCTTTGTTTTTGTTGAAGAGAAAAGGAAAATACTAACCTGGGAGATCAATATCAAACACTGTTCCATATAAAATTGCCTGTCTAGAAAACTACGATTTGGTTCCAGTAAAGGTGTTTCACTACGCTATCGATCATCAAGAAATATGCAATTTGATACATACAATCATGCTTTGTAGATCTCATAAATAAATGCCCAAATCCTTGTTTTGTGTTGACTCCCTCAGTCACCCTGATCTATCTGCGGTGATGCATGTGTTGAAGTTTATGTACCCATCAGTAGCTGGTTTGGGTGACAAATTGAACACCACCACATTTTCACACAGGTGCAGTACAATCCTATATGTTTCTATTCAGATGTAAACTCCACCGAGTTCTTCTTAATCACAAGTTAACACTATGCACATGCATGCAAACTATTTGGATAAATGATTTTATGGGTTTTGAATTCTTACTTTTGCACACAGTCTGATACTGTTCACTTTACAGCTTTGAAATATTGCTTATGCGCAAATTTAGAGAAAAGTGAAGGGGTGTGCACACATTGTCCATGCATTGCACACTCCTCATTCAATCCCTAATCATACCTGCATTGAACAGGGAGATCTTCAGGGAGATTTCACTCCTGTTCAGCTGAACATCTCATGCAGGCTTTGAGGTCCCTTGCAGACCTGTTCACTGTGGAGATGATCAGGGATTGAGCACTTGGATGTTGGGGCGGGGCTTGTGTACATGCATCTTTGGGCAAACATCCATATGAATCAGTTGTGTATAGGTAACTAATTTGATTGGATTTTTATGCATGAAAACTTGCCATTTTTCTGTGGGATTGGTATACCCTTTCACATAAATTATCTAAGTATTGCATTTTAAAATATTTAAGAAAATGCTTTGTAGCTACAGTATTTAACTGGATTTAAATAGCCACACATTCTGCTTTTCAAAATAAAACACATTAGGGGCAAGCTCTGTCTTGGATGAAAGGATTGCTGTGTGAATTCATTTAAAATCTATAATTTCAAACACAGCTACCTGTCAGTGGTGTTGCATGAGCAACTTTTCATGGGAACATTTGACCATTTTCTTTCCTGTGTTGCCACTTACACTGCCACTTACAAGAGTTTGAGTTCAGAAAATATGTTTCCTGGATCATTGCATGTCTTCTGACAAACACAAGTTGTAATCCACATCAACTTCCACTTAAAGGAGCCTTCCTTTGGACAGTCAAACTGCACAGTAATCATTACAGATTTGTTGGGTATGCAACATCTCTTGTCCAGGCAGATTCCACAAAAGGTTGGTCTATATTTTTGTGTACTTGTGCATCCAGAAAATACTAGTTTCTCTGCCTTGGCAAGCTGGAATGTAGGTCGGCATGTTTTTCCTTTAGGTATCTTGAAATATAAAAGTAAAATCTTACTATTATGTTCAAAGTGAAGTTTATTACATGCATATTGAAGTAGCAGTGTTGAGGCCATATTTTTAGCTACCTACAGTGCATGCAAATTTAAAATATAAGTTTAGCATTGCTTGATCTTTGTGCAGTGCTGATAACTTAGTTCTACACTGTTAACTCCTGCAGGTTCACTATCCTGCCACCTTCAAGACCACTGTGACACTATATGAGTGGGAAATTTAATCAGTGACCTGTGAGATTCATCCCAGCACTTTACCACCTGACTTTCTGGACACCTGATTTGGGCTAATATAAACATGTGACAACTGGGGAATGCACTCAGCAGGCACCAGTGCTAACAGACATGGATTATACACTGCACTACAGTATATATTTAAAGCTGCATGATTCCACTTTAAATAGCCATTGTTTCCCCCCAAAGAAATCCTGGGTTCTGGAGTTTGTTCAGGGTTCTAAGAGCTCCTAGGGACCTCTAGTCCCCCTCAAGTAGCTGCAATTCGCAGTGTTTGCTGGGAAGAGATTGACTGTTAAATAACTCTTGGAATTGTAGTGCTATGGGGAATAGGGAGTCTATTAACCACTCCCAGTACCCTGAATATACTACAGTTCCCAGGATTCATTGGAGGAAAGCAATTAATATTTTAAGTGGTATAATTCTGCTTTAAATGAATAGGGTAGATGGGACCTGAAAGAATCTCCTTTGAACACCAGCAGTGCAAAGAAGGGCCCAATAATTCTCTATTGGTAGTTATGTGCCATATGAGCAATGTAGAAAACATTCCACAAGTTTCTATGAGATGATCTGTTATTCCTGTCTCCCTAATTTTCAAATCCACTATTGAACAGCAAGACCATAACTTCTCTCCCCACCAGCCCCATGGTTATTTAAAAAATCATACATCTAGCAGTTAATACTTTCAGCCTAATGAGGAAATTGTAGTCTGAAATGTGCTTTACCTTTATGCTCTTTGGAAATTTTGCTTGGCATGGTTGAATGTAGCACAGTCTCTTTTCCTTCCTTATTTCACATTTACTGTTTTCATTGGTCACTCTGTCAGATATTCCCATGCCACAGGTTCGGGAACAAGGTGTCCAAGGAGTTGCTTGAACCAGGCACTTCTTCTTTAAAACAAGCGGCACACTTCTGAAAGCTAGAAGACAGAATTATATTACATCTTGAGCCAAATATTTTTAAGCCATTTAATTCAGATCAGTTCTACTAAGGCAACCCAAAAATAGCATGGAACATGAGAAATTAAGCATGCCAGGTTACCAGGATCACCTTTTGGATTTTACTTGCTTAAATTACAGAAATTGGGTTTAGATTTTAAGAAATAGCTGCCACATATTCAATTAACTTTTATAGGAATTTAGCACCTCAGTCTCCAAAGATTTGACTTTATATCCTGGTAATGCTGCTTGTTTGTTTCTTAATGCCATGACTCTCAAGTCTGCCCTAGAAAGCAAGACATTTTCCTGAAAGAGTTCTTACAAAATAGACTGGCTATGTGAAATACCTGTGTTAAAGTGGATATGGGGCACCTAGGCCAGGCTTTATCAACATACATATGCTGAAAGTTCTGTATCAATTTAGTTTTCTTTAAGAGGATTGGGGTGGAGGGCTTTTATCCCTACATTCCAAAGAGTCGGAGCATTAATAGCTATATATCTTAAACCTGCTCTTTACAATCTCCACATAGCAAATCCTGATGATGGGAGTTCTACAGGATGACTGACCAGATTTGAAATGTGCACAGTTTAAGAGGACAGAGCAGATATATGAGGGTACCTGGGAAGTAAGCAGCAGCAGCTTAAAAATCACAGCGCAGGAAGCAAATTTAAAAGCCTGGCACAGATCTGAAATAAATAAAGCAAGGTTACAAAGCTGTGGGTTTATATATATATTTGTTGTACATAAAATAATTTCATTGCTTTTACAACAGGGATTTGTTAACTAGGGCAGTGCATGCAAAAAGAAGGAAAGATAGTAAAATATTAAAATTAAGCTTGTTCGGCAAGATACGGAAGGAAAAAACCCTTAGTTTTCAAAATTAATTGTGAGAGCATGCAAACCATGCATTAATAGTGTATAAATCATAAGCTGCTTGGATTGTTTTGTAGGTTCTCAGCATTTTCATAGAAGTAAGATTGCAACTGTTTGTTTTGTCTAATCTGCCTTTTTCAACTTTTCTCTAGTTGCTACCTAGTCTTGCCCTAATATCCTGCAAGCAACATTACAGGGCATGTTCTACGGCCAATGAGTGTTGCTATCTTCTGAAAAGCTTTTCTATGTTACATGAGTCATTTTGTTTTGGACCCCTAGGTTGGCTGGTGTACTTCTGACTATATTGATAATGTAGCTGAAAAATCTGGAAGGCCTACAATTTAAAACAAAGGGAGAAATCCCATCCTTATCGCAGGAGTGGGGAACTTGCATTCTGGATCCTGCATGTGGCCCTCGGTGTAACTTCATGTGGTTGGGGTGATAAGAGGGAAGAATGGAGTCAAACAAATGGAGTCATGGAAGGAGGTGGGGGGGGACAGTTCTCCCAAAGCAAGCTGTTCCCATTCTTTCTGGCAGTGGAGAGGGGAGAGAGAGAAAGGGGCATAAAGAGAGAAAAAGGAGTGGCAGAACTAAAGTTGTGGCTCTGGCACAGAGCCCCCAAAAGATTACCTCTGAGGCTCTCGACACAAAGACGGTTTCCCAATCCTGCCCCGGAACCTAACAGTGACCTACAAGAAGAAACAAGCACCTACTCTACCCCAATCTAACAATTATAAATTAAATTATAAAGCTGCCCTACAAGTACCAGAAGTTTCTGTTACCTATTTAAAAAGGGGAAATGCAAATAACTTTATCTGCCTCAAATAATAAGGAAACACCTCTTTAAAAAAATATATCTATCATGAAGAAGGTATCAGTCTAGGCTTGCCTACCTGACATTAATCTGTAACTGGTTGACTGCTGCTCCTGCTGTCCTGAAACACATTTGGATTGTCCAGATTTCTTTCTGCTCTTCGGTGCTGCACATTCATTAGGTGCTGGCTTTGAGATGAAGACAGGTGTACATCCAATTGCACCGTTCACACACAGACATTTGTAAAGAGGAGTGGGCTGGAAGTTGTGGCCATTGCCATAGTGCACCCCATTGAGCTCACAACCCACTGCTATCATATCTGGGAATAGTGAAGAAAAAAACCAAGTAAACCTATGTGGATCCCTGTAAGAGGTCTGTCCTAGACAAATGGAAAGTAAAATTTCCTAGGCGACATTTGTTAATAACAGTAGAGTTTAGCTTTTATGGGTCCTTTGGAGTATTCAAATAACTACATATACTTATTTTGCATATATAAATTGACTGACTACTGTATTAAAAATCCACAATTCAGACTGCTTAAGATTTTGCACCTACTGTAGTATAACCATTGACTATGACAGCAGGATATAATATCACAGTTGCTGCAACCATTATTTTATTTGCTGTTTCCCAAAAATCTGCTATAAAAGGGCAACGCCACAAGATTCCTTTCCAAAGCTCTCTGTGGGTGCCTGAGTTCCTAACGGTTAGCAGAGTCCAATTTAGAGATATAATTTCCAAATTGTTAAACACCAGCAATAATAGATTTCTTAAAAATTTAAGGCCCATTGACATCAAGAAAATGCATTTTTAAATTATCATTTAGGGTTGCATCTCCTTTGAAAGAAAATGGGTGTGAAACTGAAGAAAGCAATGGAAATCATGGTGTTACATTTTATTCCCTATTCCCATACTACACAAGTGATAAAAAATAGAAAAAACGAGGGACTTACATGCACACACTCCATTTTCATACCTAGGCTTATCTGCAGAGTAGTCGCAGTATAGCCCCTTGTGGGGGTCACAGACCTCAGCTTCATTACATGTTTCCCCTGACTGCTTGGCACACATCTTGCAGCATCCGCAGCCATCCTTCACCAGGCTCACCCCGGGGCTGCAGGTTGGTACCACTGGGCATCTGCAGGGCCAGTGGCATAGCTCTCTGCGTTGATGAACCTCTGCAGATTTTTCTCCAGCCTTTCCTTGCTTCTGCCTGTTGGTTTGCACCCTGCAAGAAAGCTTTCATATAGGTGGACTTACCTGAGAGCTGGAAAACATCCAACAAAAATGGCAAATGTGTGTGTATACACACAAACACACTGCTGTTATTTGTATTTATTTCCCCTTCGCACAAGAGATCGTGACAAGCTACAATTATGTACAATACAACAACAAAGTATTTTCCCTTGTAAAGAAAATCTTGTTTAACACTGTCCTAATTGGTACTGTATAACGCAGTGCTTTTTTCTGGGGGGATGCAGGGGACGCATACCTTTAAACATTTTGTGAATCTTTGTATTTTGGGCCATTTTGGGCCATTTACTGTATTTATTTTCCCCGATTTGAACTATAAAATGGTGATTTTCTTGAGTCAAAATGAGAGTACCCCTAAACATTTTTAAAGAAAATTGTATAATGCATTTGTCGAGCATGTATTCAGTCTGGTCAGGTATGACTGCCTCCCTTTGTACAGCAGTCTACATTCTAGCTAGGCAAAAGTCACACCATGTATACATGCACACACACACACACACACACACACACACACACACACACACACATCTCCATCAAGCCAAGTAAATGGCACTGTACCCAGATGGTACAGTGACACAGAAACTATACAACTATAAATATCCTCAAGGAAATGGTGCAATTCTGGTATCCTTACAACAACAGCTTTCGATGTGGGGCTTGGCTAACAGTGTTTAGCCAGCTTCCTGCTTCAATTGCCAGGTGTAATTTAGGACCAACTAAACCCGAAACTGTTCACACAGTTAGCAATTGTAGATCACATCTTAAAAGTGAACAACAAGCATTGGAAGACCCTGATTTGGATCAGGACCCTGACATGGGGGTAGAGGGCTTTCACCCTTTGTTTGTGTGCCCCCACTGTGGTCCTAATCTAAGGTTACCAGATGTCCCCGTTTCCCGGGGAGAGTCCCCGGATTTACAAATCAGTTCCCTGACAAAATCCATCTATTTAGTAGGAAGTTGAAAAGTATCCCCAGATTCATTGAAAAAAATCTGGTAACCTAATCCAGCCCAGGGGCCCTGAGCTTGCTATTAGCATTGGGGAGAGGAGGCTGGAAATGGTGTTCAGAACCTTTCTTTCCTTTCCTGTGCAAACGTTCACAGGTGCAGCACCATGTCACTAACCGATGACACTATTTGTGTACTTTACGTTATTCAGGAGCTTGAGCAACTTACTCGGGATATGCTATTCTGGAGGCGCAAGGGAGCATCTGTAAATTCTTGCGTCCAATGGCAGTGCATACAGCACACAAGTCAAATATTTGAGAACTGGGCAGTGGGCACATAGCTGGAAGAGCCTCAATAATATCCAGTGAGAGGAAAGAAAATGAAGGCCTGCCAGCAAAGGATTTCTTTTAAAAACAGCACATGCGTACATGCATATTCAGCAGATTGGCACTCCTACAAAACAAGCTGCAGGAATCTTTCAGGGGGCCATGCTCCATACACAGAAATATTAGTTTTCCCCACTCTACTCCCCAAAGTGCAAACTTCTGTAATCTTTAGAAAAACTAGTTCTGCTCTACTCTAAAATTATCTGTTAACCATCCTGGAAAAAGTGTACAGCTAATATTGAACAGTTCTGCTATCCTCATTTCACTGCTTATTTATAACCTGCCTTTCCTATCCAAGAGAATCCCAAAGCAGGTAACAACATAAAGCAATTAATGCAAAATATCAGAATGATGATCAACATTATAAAACAGAGTATATCAAAATACAAGGCAAGTTTTTTAAAAATCCCCTTTTTCAGTATCAAGTTGATTTCCACAGTTTTATCTTTCTTTCTATCCATAAAGCCTTTTAGGACAGATTAACCATTTCCCACCAAGTAAAAACAGTGGAGTGCAGAACTGAAAATTGTGTAGCAATTTCTTGCAGCAAAGGTACTACTGAACAAAATACTTGTGATAGGAATCAATAGTAACCTTGCAATGTTCTTTTTTTAATTAGGTGGAAAGGAGATAATCAGTCCTAAAAGACTTTATGGCTAGGAAGAAGAATAAAATTATGGAAAATAACTAGATACAAAAATGGGGATGGGGAAGAAACTGCTTGTGTACTCTACAAATCCCATTTCCATGTAATTTGGGTCATTTGTATTGGTCGATGAAAAATGACTAGATTTAGTTAATAAAATTAAAGCAGTTTTCTAAAAGCAATTTATTTGTAACTCAAGCAGACTGTACCATGAAAGACAACAGGGACCTAAACAGGGGGAATATGCTTGCTTTAAACATAGTAGCAGAAAATAATTTATAAAAATTTCTAGAGACTCCCCCAAAAAATGCTCTAAGAATTTTATAAAAGCATAATGTCATAATAATCTAATCAAGTGCCTTGTGTTAGAATTGCAAATTATGTAAAAAGAAAAAAGAATCACCCACAAGTAGGAACAACTCAATATTATGCACAAACAATTTATTCCCTTAAGTTAATTTCACTTGCTTAAGAAGCAAAACAAAAGTTTCAGCCTTTGTTCTGGCGAGGATTTTTTTCTAGAAAACTTACCTGTTGAGCATAAGTGATTATAAGGATGGTGGGGATGAGGAGCCACTGCATGTTCCTGTGAAGGCAGAAATGAAAAACAGAGAGAGTGAACAGGCTGAGCTGTGTCAGAGCCAACACCATGCACAAAGTCTCCTCTGTCTCTCCTCTGCAAACCTTCTCTCCTCAGCACACTCACAAAGACACACATATTCATGTTTGGAATCCCTCACAAAAAACTAGCTTCATCCTGAATCTTTCAAATAACTCTTTTTCCTGAGGCTTATTCTCCAGGTTAGGCTAGTTGTGCCTGCTCAGTACTTTTAGGAATATATTTTTAAATATTTTCCCTTATTTCAGAGCATTATTTTTTAATGCAAAGCATGAGATGGTTCCCTTGCTTCTTCTTCTTTTTCAAATTTCAATCTAGCAAATCGTGAGGCACTGCTCAGGGGTAGGTTGTGTCTGTCTGAAGATGTAAGAGATGTGGGGGTGTCCATACTGGGTATGGCAGCTTTGAGATCAGGATTAAAGCTAGGGAACAAGTAGACTGGTAGGATGAGGATTGTCTACAAACTATAGAATCCTAGAATTGTAGAGCTGGAAGGGACCCCATGGACTGTCTAGTCTTGTCCAACTCCCTGCAATACAGGAATCTCAACTAGATCATACATGGCAGATGGCCATTCAACCTTTGCTTAAAAATCTCCAAGGAAAGAGAATCCACCACCTCTTGTGGGAGTCTGTCAAACAGCTCTTACTGTCTGACGATTCTTCCCGAAGTTTAGCTGGAATCTCATTTTTTGTAACTTGAAGCCACTGGAGGAGAAAACAAGATGGAATTGGAATATTTGGTTGAAATGGCTGTCACTGATATGAAAATACCAAATAACTTTTGGGAGGTGTGGAGATATTTGGGAAGTTATTAATTTAGGGGGCAGGGCGATAGAGGTTGGAAGGAGAGTGAAGAGGAGCGGAAACCATAAATAGTTATTTGCACTGATAAGTTGTGGAATGTTTTGATCAAGAACCCCTAATAGCACACCCTGTGACTGGACTGAACGAGGCCTGAAACAGCTCCCTTTGCTAATTTTAACTCCGTTACAGACTTCAGGAAAGCAGCTGCTTAAGGAAGGCTTGTGAAAGATGATTCAGACACCCCTATTTAAAGGTGTCAGTGCAGCAAAATGTTTGTCAACAAATGTCAGAAAAAACAAAGCACTTTCATAGATTCCTCCCTCCTCTCTCCTTCCAGTGTACCCCCCAGAGAGTCATTTCTGCTCTTCAAAACATAGCCGAGAGTTTCCTCAGGCTAATCTCTTTCCCAAGAGCTTAAAGCTGAACTGAACCATAAAGTGCCCTGCAGGCTTCTGCTTCCAGTGTTCTCTGCAGCAGCTACATTGGCTCATTGCTCTCTAGCTGAAGAAAGCTGCTGATTGCTACATTTAAGATGCCCTAAATTAGCTGGAGCTGGCTGCCTCAAGACGGAGGAGTTCCAGTTGACAACAGAGTGGTAGCTGACTGTTTAGAGGCACAAAATTCTCATCACTGCAGTATTATTAAGGGCTCATCGACAAGGGAGATTAATGTGGATTTGAAGCTGCTTATGACTCTCTTTGTGTCACCCACATAGTATCATCCTCACCTACCTGGCAGCCTGCACTTTCCCTCCATTAAATTTGGATTTTCCTGATCCAGGGATAATCCAGCAAGGAAGTATATCCAATGTTAAAATTACATTAGCCACGTGTGGATGCTCTTAAATATATTGTGTGGGTGTGTTGACATTTTGGGGGTGCTGTCTATCACCACACACCATACTCCCATTTTATTGCATTAGTCCAACGGAAACAATGCTGTGAAAAAATATAAACAGATTTATTTATTTTTGCAGAAGTGTTCTAGCACAAAACACTGCATTAAGAGCCACATAGGCATAGCGTATGCATGAATGGGAGGGAGGGAGACATCTTCCTGGCAATGATTATTTAACTTAAAGAGATGGGACCAATTTTCAGTTATTCAGATCTGCAAATTGCCAAAACAAAGCAGGGCCACAAACAATTTAAAAATTAAAGGTTTGTGCACAGATAGATAAACAGGCCTCATGTGAACTCAGAGAGTCAGGAAGTACTGAGCAGCAAGGAAAACACACAGTGCAAGAAGCACCCACTAATGTGAACAGGAAGCAATGAGATAGACTTCAGAGGCATAAAACTGAAGGTGCTCACGTATAGATGGTGCAGCATAAATGTACATGTGTACACAGTGCATGGATACAACATAGGAGAGCTGAGACAGGTCTAATTTGTTCAAGAGCATTACTGCAACCAACCTACCTCCAAACAAAGCTGTCCCTTCTTGATGACATCATCTGAAGCCATTGAAGTTTAACTCTTTCTACTATAACAGCCACAACAAAAATATACCAAAACCATATAACTATTTTCTTTAGAAGGTGACAAGAGGTTTGTCTTTGCTCCTCTGAGAAAGCAATGAAAATACAAAACCTCAACAGGAGAATAGTTACAGGAGAAACCCAGTCAGATGGGTGGGATATAAATTATATATTATTATTATTATTATTATTATTATTATTATTATTATTATTATATCTAGTAGTACACAACCTGTGCCCATCACACTTAACAAGAGCAACAAATTCCAATAGCTGAAACAAGTAGCCTGGTATTGGACAGTATCATCAGGACTACATCAGACAACTTGTAATTATCAAAGACAATCTTTGCTGTCCCTGGTTACAAACTCTACCTGCTGATGGAATAAGGCAGTGGAGATTCTAGCTCCCAGAGCTTTAGCACCTCATCAATTGCTATATTGTGATGTGCACACAAAGACACTTAATATATTTAATAAAAATACATTAAAAAATATATTAAAAATGACCACATCCTTCGTTTTTAACCAAACTGGTGTCAAGGACTTGAATACAGCTCTTATATGAGGTGTGTGCTCTGTGAAAGTCTACAAAAAAAAAAAAAAGAAATAGGCTTGAATCTCTTTTTGCTTCAGTTTTCCAAAGATGTACATCCGTTTACTACTATGATAGGAATGCTATTCATTTTTTAACTCATCTGAGTGAATGGATAATCAAGTTCTCTGTTTCCATGGAAATGCCAGCTGGAAGCTGAGCATAAAAGCATTCCCTTAGTTTCATCTGTTGAAATGGGAGGGGGCTGGAGGGGTAGGCTTAACCATTCATATTGGACATAGGGTTACTGCCTGTGGGTTATCCTTTGAAATATTCCCTGGATGTAGAAAGCTGTTGAAGTTATGAGACAAAACCCCAAATCTGCCGCAACTCTTGCCCAAGACGAATTGGCTAATGAGATTATGGAGGCATTTGGGGTATTTTTGCCTGGCCTTTAGATTTTAAAAGTCCTCAAGACGGCTTACAAAACAAACGTCACATAAAATTTTGATCTGTGCTTTCTCCTTCTACTACCAACGCAAAGGAGGATGCAAATGGCAGTTGGTCCCAGGAAGGTCAGTGGAGTGGGGGTCTTGTTTAGGGTTACCAGATGTCCCTGGTTCCCGGGGACAGTCCTCGGATTCACCATTCTGTCCCACGGACAAAATCTGTCCCCGGATTTTAATGTCCCCACATTCATGCCTGGCGACTTCCGGGGAGGCAACATGGTGGACACCATGGCAGCAAGGAGCACCAGAGGTCCCGGCCATGTCAAAGTTCCAGCTAGCCAGTCCGCCACTGGGGCGCGGGGGGTGGGGTTTGAAACATTCTCGGGAGACAGAGGCTTCCTCCCTCCCTCCACGCCTCCTCCGGCCCCAGCAGCCTCTCTTGTGAGGAGGGCTGTGTGTGAGTCTGCTGTTTGTCCACCTCTGGTAACGAGACACCACCACGCCAGTTAAATCTCCATAGCGAGTGCACTCGCGCTTCAGCCGTCTCCCGGTTATGGGAAGCGTGTGTGTTTTAATGCGTGTTTTCCCAAGACCAGCGAGCGCCTTTACTCGATCTCTCCCCCGCCCCACCCACCAACCTCTTTGTTTGGTGTTTGTGTGTTGTAGATGGGCTTCTCTGCCTGCCTTGTGTCAAGGTGCGTGACTGACAACTTTGGGGTCCCCCCCTAAAAAAAGGTCAAGAACTCTGAACAACCCTTTCCTGAAATAAAGCATGAAATCCCCCACCCTCAAAAAAGTGTCCCCAGATTCCTTGAAAAAAATCTGGTAACCACAGTCTTGCTGCCTTGCGTCTTCCTCTGATGCTGGTGTTGGAGGCCTTGCTGCTGATTCTCTCTGTGGTCCATGGAAGGGAGGAGCCAAAGAGCAGTTGACCCCTCCCAACCATGCCAATGAAGGCAGTCCTGCTGCTGCCTTTCATCTCCCTCCAGTCATTCCCTCTGGGATTTCAACAAGGCTTCCATCTTGCATCTTCTTGCATGTTTCAATAGCCCAAAGCCCCCAGCATCCATCTTCCTTGTGGGAAGATGTTCCACCAGGAGAAGGTCAGTATAGCACTTACCTGCGCGTAACCTGAAAACAATTGCATGGAATATCATATGACTTACTAGTTATAAAAATGGGGCCACTTTTCATCTGCTTCACAAGAGAGGGAATGGCAGCATTTTATACATTACATAGGCCCCATCTGGACAACTAAAGCAATATCATTCAACTTTAAACTTTAGTATCTGGAATTTAGTAATCTGAATTACTTTCCCTCATATCAAAGAACCATAGAGTTGGAAGGGACGAGGTTTGGCCCAACATGGGGCTCGAACCCACGATGCTGAAATCAAGGGGCTCATGCTCTACTGACTGAGCCAACTCTATCACCACATGGGACAAGCTGGAACCCGGAGGCACCCTACAATACAATTACAATTTCTTCACCACCGTCATTTTGACAGAGTAAGTCTAATTCTTACCTGTGTTTTGTTGTGCTCCAAGCAAGTATTCCTCCACTCGTACTCTAAGAATCAGCCCAAATGTGCTGAGCTCCTTGGAATATTTTTCCTGCTGTTCTTGGGATTTTCCAGCTGGCAAATGGGTATGTGTCACTTACAGCACTGGTGACTCTTACATTTGAAATCTATCAGTGATAAAACATAAAATATCAGAAAAAATTACTTAAATTCCCACCACATTAAGTTACATTAACCTTTGTAGTGGTTGGTCACCATAGTTACCGTATTTTTCGCCCTATAGGACGCACTTTTTCCCCTCCAAAAATGAAGGGGAAATGTTTGTGTGTCCTATGGGGCGAATGCAGGCTTTCGCTGAAGCCTGGAGAGTGAGAGGGGTCAGTGCGCACGGACCCCTCTTGCTCTCCAGGCTTCAGGAAGCTATCCGCAAGCCTTAGGAGCTCCGCGGGAGTTCCCCTCAGGCTCCCAAGGCTTGCAGATAGCAGCCTGCATTCCAAAGCCTGGGGCGCGCTGCACAGCGCACCCTGGGCTTCGTGCAGATATCGGGCAGCCCCACAAGCTCGGGGGACAGCGGGGAGGCGGAGCGCCGCCATCCCGCTATTCCCCGACCTGGTTTGCGGAGTTGCCTGCATCCCGAAGAGAGATGCCTGCATCCCGAAGCCTTCAGGCAGATACCCGCAAGCCTGGGGAGACCGGCACGACTTCCCGTGGGCTCCCTAGGCTTGCGGATAGCAGCCTGTTCTGGGGGCTGGGGTCGGGGGAAGCTCGGGCTTCCCCCGCCCCAGCCCCGCACCTGGAGGGGAAATAAAAATTTTTTTCTTTATTTCCCCCCCCCAAAAAAACTAGGTGCAACCTATGGGCCGGTGCGCCCTATGGGGCAAAAAATACGGTAAATACTATCTCAAGTCTTATAGGTTGGAACTAAAACTGCACCCTTCAGTTTGTTCTTGTGGTTACTTTCATTTTATCTATGTTGTACTGTAATATGATAGCCTGTTCGTAAAAACACAGCCTCTTGTTCTGGTCTACAAAGGGAGTACCCTTGCTTTAAATATAGAAAAACTTAACACCTTTTCCTACTTTTTCCCTCAAAATTCAGATTCATCATGATAAACAGCATGAATAAAATTATTAAATAAAAGCAAATATAGGCAAGGGATGAAAATATAAATTGTAGGGAAGCTGCGAGCCTGGAGATTTATTTATTTTTTAATCAGCATAAACAATCATCATGTCCCTGTCACTGTCTGTGTCATATACCAAGGCAAGAATTGGCCAGTGAAAAGGAATAATATGCAAGCAAGTCATTTTACATTAGTGTTACCCTGTCAGGGGGCCTTAGTAATAACACCACATTTATTTTGGAAACACAATAATTCAAGGCAGATAAACAACAGAAAAAGGTTTGAGCATAGAGAGTGAAAAATCAGAAAGTCTGCAATCAAACACATTTTCTCTTAAGATATAGAATAGCTTCCAATATAATATAGAGCCAGCAGATTTCCACAGGAGCTCTGCAAAGATCTATATTTGTCATGGACAGAGCAAAAAGTAAATGGCTAAAATGGCTGCAAAAAGGTGTAATAAGGGGTGGAAAGGAATGCAAGAATATAGACCTACTTTGGACCAATAACAAGGGACATAGGTTAGCCCTACCTTGGACCAATGACAATGGACACAGGTTAGCAGAGCACATGTAACTGTGGCCAGCTATCTCTATACAAGTATTGTCACAGTTGGGTTATTAAAAGACATTTTCAGTCACAGAGACTGCTTGAGCCTCTAATGACAATGTCGGATCAATAAGCAACCCACATGGCAATCTTTATTCTTTAGGGATGGGTGCAACTCCTTACAGAATGGGTTGAGCACCAAGTAAATGAATCACCTACCAGCAGTACAGCTGTCTTGTCTGGATTGAATCTCTTTTAACCTCATCCAGTCCATTAACTCTTTTTGTCTTACCTTTTGTCTCTCTGCATCAATTTTTGAACTGTAAACAATGCTCTCAGTTGCAGGGTTTCTAAAATTTCAATATTGTTGCTCTTTTGTATATTAAAGAAAACAAAAGAGAAAATGCTCAATAAAAGAATATCTTTTTTAAAAGAATTTTAAGGTTTTGCAGTGTTGTGGCCTTTCTTAAATGAAGCCATACAACACTTTTGCTTCTGAAAGACATCTTGGTGTAAATTGGCTGAATAGCAGTTTCAAAGCTTTTCTGGCTACAACTAAACTGCTGTTTTGGGGCTGGGATGAAATTTGCATCATAATGTCAGAACGAAATTATGCAAAAGGATGGCAGTGTGACTGCCAAAACCATAATAATATATTATTAAGTGGGATGGGAAATCTATAAAAGAGAGTTTCAAGTGAAAGATAGCTGACATGCAAAATCACATTCAGGGTAATTTAAAAGGCATCATGGTTGGTCTTGGAGTTCATATCAGAGATTCTGTTATTAATTGAGAACCAAAAAGGCTAACAGCAAAATGTTTAAATAGACATTTCTGGTTCAAAAAGGCCTCATTCCTAGCATATCTATTCCCATGAGTTTTGCAGCAAGGGAGGCCATATCCTGTGAATAAATGCATGACATAATGATGTATCCATGGTGACAAATCATTGGCATAAACATGAAGTTTTATGATTTCACAGTTGGATTAAAGGAGAAAAAAAGAAAATTAGTGTAGAGCACAAGGAAGGCTTTTACTTCAACACCACTTAAGGGAATACAGAACACAGCAAAGAGAGAAAATTGCTTTCCATTTAAATGTTATTTTCTAGTTTGCCCTACAGTGAAAGACCCTTTTTAAGACATATAATTTGGGTAATGATGCCTATCCATTTTGAATATGCAGAATAATAATGATGAAGCTAATCTAGTGTTGGGGGGGGGAATTACAGCATTAATACTAGATGCTTTCTAGCAAGACGTTGTCGGCATTTGAAAATACATTAACATTTCTGGTGTCCTAAATGTGTAAAATCCAGATTTTTTGGTGGGTGGGATAGAGATTTGCTAGGTGTTCTTTGTTCTGGGTTTTGTTTGGGGTTTAATTTGTTTTCTTCATCCCTGTAAAAACTAAGAATGCACAGTTAAGCTGCACTCAGGACCTTCAGCTTTTGCATGAAACAAAATTCTCCATCATTTTAGAATGCCATAGCATACACGCTGCAAACTATACACTAGAGGTCACTATTATGATAACATAAAAATCTAGATGTTAAAATAAGCTAGAAGTCATTCATCATCTCAAAACGGTAATAGAAAATGAAACACCTGAACAAAAGTTAATTACAAATAAAATTATTTTGATTCATCCACTCAATAAAATCTAGCAGTGGCATATTGGGTTATTGCATCTATAATTTTAAATGCTTCTTTTTACTATACAGAAAAAACACAGTCCAAGAAAATAGCCTTTCTTCTCTAGCATTTTCAAAAGGTTCTCTGGTTTAGCATGGATTAAGCCAATTTGGATTGCATTCTGGTATGCTAAACACTAGGGAACTGTTCAACAGTGGCCTACAGAAAATTGATTTAGTCATAGAAGTGCCAAGTGGCACAGAATTATTTGTGTATCAGCTGTATCATCTTATATGTGGCTTAACTGCATGTGTATAAAAGCACCTTGATAAACATGGAGAAGGACCTTATCTCAGTGGCAGAACAAATGCTTTTCATGAAGAAGGTCCCACTTTTATTCCCTGGTATCTGAAGGTGGAAGGGCTGGAAAAGCCTTCTGCAATCCTGGAGAGCCACTGCCTGTCAGTGTAGATTGCATTGAGCTAGCTAGACCAAAGATCTGATTTGGTACAAGGCAGCTTCCTATAATAATAATATAGTAATAATAAATTATTATTTATACCGCACTCATATGGCTGGGTTTCCCCAGCCACTCTGGGCAGCTCCCAACAGAATATCAAAAATCCAATAAAACATCAAACATTGAAAACTTGCCTAAACAGGGCTGCTTTCAGATGTCTTCTAAAAGTCAGGTAGTTGTTTATTTCCTTGACATCTGATGGGAGGGCGTTCCACAGGGTGGGCGCCACCCTGCCTGGTTCCCTGTAACCTCACTTATCGCAGGGAAGGAACCGCCAGAAGGCCCTCGGAGCTGGACCTCCGTGTCCAGGCTGAACTATGGGGTGGAGATGCTCCTTTGGGTATACTGGGCTGAGGCTGTTTAGGGCTTTAAAGGTCAGCACCAACACTTTGAATTGTGCTCAGAAATGTACTGGGAGCCAATGTAGGTCTTTCAGGACTGGTGTTATATGGTGTTGATGGCCACTCCCAGTCACCAGTCTAGCTGCCGCATTCTGGATTATTGTAGTTTCCAGGTCACCTTCAAAGGTAGCCCTATGTAGAATGCATTGCAGTAGTCCAAGCTGAAATGGTTTCCTTTAAATATATGCTTCCATAACTCACAAAACTGAATTCCTGAGCAAGAACCCCTGTGACAATTTTTTGAGGTTGTCTATGTAGGAGAACATAAGGAACTGGTGGCTTGCCCATTTTTAATTCATGTTAGTTCTAGCGGGGGAGTGCCTCACACTGCCCAGGTATTTTTAAAAACCAAAAGACATTGTGATTTTTAAATGGATAGTGCAATTTATGAATTTGAACCTGTCAAGCCAAAAATCAAGTGAAGTCAATCCAAAGTGACCTTTTGGCCCACCATCTTGATTCAAAATTGTGCCTGGCATCCAAACATCAAGGAAGACTTTTGCTGCCACCTCAGGAACCCCTGTACCAAGTTTAGCAACAATATATTGAGAGACAGCTAAACCTATGCAAAAAAAATAAAAAAATAAAAAAATGGCAACATCATGCGAAGGTCATATTCTGGTCTGTCATCTTGATTAAAAATGGCTCCCAGCATCCAAATGGTGACAAAGTCCACCACTCACCACTCAGGAACTTTCATGCCAAGTTTGGTGGCAATATATCAAGACACAACTGAACCTATGCAAAAAAACAGGTGAAGCCATGACAAAGTCATGTTTTGGTTTGCTAACCGGATTCAAAGTGGCAGCTGGCATCCTAACGGTGACAAAGTCTGCCACCTACACCTCAGGAACCCTCTTTTCCTGTTTGGTGAAAATATATTGGGAAGCAGCCGAACCTATGCAAAAAAACCCCCAGTGCAATCATTCCAAAGTCACATTTCAGTCGGCCATTATGATTAAAAATGGCAGCTGGCATCCAAACAAAGAGCACCGCCCAACCTCAGAAACCCTTGTGCCAAGTTTGGTGACAATATCTTGAGAGGGGCCACATACCACTGGTGGGCAGAGCGACAAATAGAGCTCTGACCTGTGTATGGCAAGCTAGTTTCTGCGCACGCTCCTCTCCCACTTCCACCCAAACAATAGGCATTATCTAATTTCTAGCCAAGCAAAACCACTCAGGGAGGGTAGGAAGTAGGGCTGATGAGGGGTGTGGCCTGAGGAGAGGGCTATGATTCAGAAGGATGTGTGACCTTGGGCCAGATAGTCCCAAGGGCCAGATAGAGTCCTGGAGCGCTGCATTTGGCCACTGGGCCTGAGGTTCCCCAGCCCTGCTGGATATGAGTCTTAAAAGGCAAGTGATTTCAAAGTGTAGCTCTGAGGCTGTGCATAGAAGGCTTTGATGTTCTTTGAGCCAAAGGCTCCCAGGCCCAGATTATTCCTCTTTGCAACAGAAAGAGCCATGGTATATTCACAGAGCGTATGAAAAGCCCTGTCTATGTCAGTTACACTCTGCTCCCACAGCCTTCCCTTCTCTCACTTATTTGGTGATGAAGCGTGGAAAGGCAAGAGTGTCAGCATGAATTTCCCATGGTCCATCTTTGGCAGGATTTTGTCACAATGATAATGTTCACATTTAACGTTCCACCCTGAACAGATCGCTCCTTTCTTTCCTGACTCAGCAGGGTAACCTGTCTAGGGCCTGCTCTCTGATTATTCGGGACATGCTTCCTGTTTTGTTTCCTCTAAAGCTCTGTGGTTCCTGATGTTTTTGCACATCTTCATGTGGCACATCCTGCTCAGGGATTTCTTATCAGCGGTGTTGACAATGTGTTTTGTCAGCTGCGCCTCCTTGCTCTATCTCCAGCTAAAGAGAATGGCTTCTTTGCATTATTGTTATGTGGCATCACTTGATTCTGCTCTGTGAAATAGACTTTGTCATTCAGTTTGGTCTTCTGCCATGTTAAGTGACAGAGTGAAACTGCAGGTGGAAAGTGTGCTTCCCTACACAGCTAACACGGGGGTGGGGAGCTATCTGAGCTACAAGATGGCCACATGATTCCTCTGCTCTGCATTCCTCCAGAGTGTTTCATAGAACCAATCACAGCTCTCTTATATTACCTTTCTTTCATGCTAAAGCTCACAAGGGATGCTACCTGACATCTTAAAAAACAAGGAAGGTCTTTTTACCAAATACTTTAAGCCTAAGCCTTGCAAAACGACCCAACATCAGCAAAATGGTGCCCAGATTGCAGAAGATAGCTAACACAAAAGCATACATATTAGAAAGCTTAGGTTGCTTTCTCAAGTGAACAACTGTACACAATGATCATTCTCCCAAAGATCACTTACTCTATTGATCCTTCTGAGCACCCTAACAGCTAGACCATAAATTAAACTGGGGGGTAGCAAATATGGTGTCCGTCAGAGGTTTTGGACTACCACTCCCATAATTTCTGGCTCTTGTCCATGTTGGCTGGGTCTGGTGGGAGTTGCAGTCCAAAGCATCAGGGGAGCATCATGTTGGCTACATTGCACTCACCAGGCCTTTGTCGAGCATGACTCAAGTGTTCGGTCTTCATGACATAACATCTAACATAGGGGTGGGAAACCTGCAGCCCTCCAGATGTGGTTGGGCTACAGTTCCCATCCTCCCTGACTGTTGGCCATGATGGAAGTTGGAATCCAGTAAGGTCCTGCCTCCCTAATCTAAGAGAACTAACCACAGAATGCCCCTCTCCCACTGTAGCAA